ACACTGCAAGCTCTTCCCTCCATTACTTTATTTATTAGAGGTAAATTATACTTCACACTGTGTGCAAACCTGCTCATGTGGAAACTCAGTCCATTGCCAGTAAGCCAATCCTCAACATTCATTTTAGTGCTTATTGAATAAGGCTGGATTTTCTGTCTCCCAGCAGTTCCATCTCATGTCTGGTCCTCATTTAGTACGGGTTAGCAGCTGCCTCCCTCATCTTCTTTTAATTCATTTATTTCTGGGAAATGAAATTCAATATTCTCTTCTACACCCAACTGTGTGCTGAATTTGGGAGCAATGCTCTCTCCTGTCTTGGGGAGGTTGGGCTTGTGAATGCATGCTCCAGAACATAGAAGTTACAGAAATTGATTTATAAAAGGGCAAGAGAAACCTTTTGGCTTCAAATTATGTACAGTCATAAGTTTTAAGAATCATTTAGAATGTTATAGTGTTTTATATTTTAATAATTTTCAAGCTGCTTTGAGAGCTGTATCACCATAAAAAAATCTAGGTAAATTCTATAGATACTATCAAATGTAAAATGAGAGGGGTGTGTGTGTGTGTGTGTGTGTGTGTGTGTGTGTGTGTGTGTGTGTGTGTGTATGACAAAATAATTGCCATCCATTTATACAATACATTCCAATGCAGAAAGAGATATTGTAATCATTAATATTATCCTGAAAATACTAGCGCAAAGTGTTGCAGGGATACACACATCCATGAAACCTATATCAAGGGATATCAGGAACGGTATAGAAAAATGTAGGCAGTGTTTTAAAAAACCCTGCATCTTGTAGTCAGTCCTAGAGTTCTATGTGCAGTTACAGTATCGTCAGAGAAACTAAAACAGAACTGAAAAGTTTTGTGATCCCCTTACTTTTGACAATGACAAGAGCCATCATCTCTCTTCTAAGCTACATACTTAGGAATTCACCATTGGCCAGAGGGTCTTCTTTTTTTTAATCTTCATATAATGTTACAAGCTTTGTCTTTAGCCCATTCTAATCAGAAAGTATTGCCATCATCAAGCATCAAGATCCCAAGGCTCAGGTCCTTTCCTTTTCTCAGCAATCAAAATAAAAAGATATTTCTTGTCAATACCACAATTTCATGTTTCTTTTATTTCTCTTCCTGCATTATCATCATCATCATTCTTCCCCCCAGGATAAAAAATAAAACAAAAAACATTTTCTTTCTGTTTTTGTTACGTAATACAGTGGTACCTCGGGTTAAGTACTTAATTTGTTCCGGAGGTCCGTACTTAACCTGAAACTGTTCTTAATCTGAAGCACCACTTTAGCTAATGGGGTCTCCTGCTGCTGCCGCGCCACCGGAGCACGATTTCTGTTCTCATCCTGAAGCAAAGTTCTTAACCTGAGGTATTATTTCTGGGTTAGCGGAGTCTGTAACCTGAAGCGTCTGTAACCTGAGGTACCACTGTACTTGTTGAGACATACTCCTATAGAAGGGGAAGAAATTTAGGTTTGATCAAAGGACACATGTAGGAGTACATGAATAGTGCTGGAACTGGTCTATGTCAAACTCATAAAACTAATTACAAGTTATGTAAAATGATGGTAAACATTAGAAAATATGGTACAAAATGGTGCTATGCACCTATGCATGGGGAGAAGTAAAGAGTGAACCAGTTTTTGACTGCATCTGTGCTTCTATGTGTCTTTACATTAACTGTTTGTGACCCTGAATTGGATCCGTCATCCAGCAGTATTACTCATCAGAGTATATAAAAAAGGATCAACCAATGAAAGCCAGGAGGATTGTAACACAAGAGAGCAGTTGTCTCAGAAACCAAGCCTCCTACCGCTGAGAACTATATTAGATACCCTACAGTTAGTTTGGAAACCCAAACTCATTCAAAACAGGTAAGCTGAACCTGCAACAAAATGGTACAGTGTGGAATGCTCTTGTTGGAACCTGCCATGCCCCAGTTTTTCATCTATCCCTCGCAAACGTTTGGCCTCACCCCCCCCCCCGGATTGTTCTGATTGGGTTATTTTGTTTGTGCCAGCTAAATATTTTTTCTTTCTTCTGCAAATACTGAGTTTCCCCAAGTATCCTGCTTCTTCTCTCTGCTTTCTCAGTGGCTCCATTTGGCTACATAGCCATAATACCTGAGCACCCAAGTTTATTAATATTTTAAGTATATGCAGTCCTGCTGGTGAAGCCTTTTGAATTAGCCACAAAGGTATTTCAACCTCAGAGAAATGTATCAAGAGCAGGTTAGTTCTATGCAAGCGTTAATACAGAGAATTATTAGCTGCTGAAGAATTTGAGAGCAACTTATTATGGGAAAGTGGCTTAATACCAAAAGGGTATTAATATTCTCTAGAGGGAATATCTTTTTATCTCAACATCAAAGTATTTGACAAGGAATTCAATCCAGTGATCATACTAAGGAAATGCTTGGGTTCCTCTTCCTTCTTTATCGAGTGTTACTACCAGTCTGTCTTCATTTTGTGGCACTTGTAATTTCAGAAACAGAAACCACAAACCCCTGAAGTTCCAATGGAAATAGCTTAAGGTACTGTGTCAGTGCAACATTTTCTCCACCTCGCCACCAATTATAGCTCTAGGTTTTCCCACAATTCTCAATGGCTTTGAGTGGCCTCTTCTGATTACTTGGGGTATGACTGAGGCTGACAGACAAAGAACAGAGAAAGAATCTGTCTCCTTCCTACTGACTTTGACTCCCCAGTTATTTGTAGCACTTTATGGAAAGTGGAAGGCGTGCCAGAAGGAATCCATTTCCCCCCCTTGGAATGCAGCAGTTGTCCCTTATTGTAAGACGATCCCCAATAGCCTGAGCCAAGAAAGTGCTGACAAAAGTGAAACTCTAAAGGGCAGAGAACAGGAATGAGCTGGTTTTAGCTGAAGAACAAGCGCCATTCCAACACACACCCCTTCAAAATAAAAAAAGCTATTCTTTATAAAGGTGCATCTCTGGACACTTTGGTAGATACTTGGTGGTGTTCAACTAAGTGTTACCCAGAGTAGACCTATCAAAACTAATGAGCATGACTGTTAGGGCCATTAGTTTCAGTGGGTTTAGTCTCACAAAACCCTAGCTGAATACCACCCACTACTTCAGTAAGGGGAATTGCCAAACCTGGACTTTGTAGGGTGGTGTTCATGTAAGCCAGGCAATGTCAACAATGCCATTCTTGCAGCTTGTTGAACTATCACATTCTCCTTTCCTGTACCAGAGATCTGGTTTCCTTTCCTGTTCCAGTAGCTGAAGATATAGCTTCAAACCACCCAGTGAACAGTCTTGCCCAGTGCTTTGGAAATCTTGATCTTGGCCCCAGGATGGATTACTTTGTCACTTCTCTTTTTAAATGCTCCACAGCCTCAACACCTCCTACAGCTGGTTTTGAGAGAAGAGTCAGATACTTAGCACTTCTTTTCCTGTACAAAACATGAGACTCCCTCTGCCCCTAGTTCCTTGTCAAGGTACAAAGACGCACCCCCCCACACATACTCAGTTTGTGAGTTGAAATATGCTGAAATGGACCCCTTGAATAAGGTGTTTCCAAGCCTCGCTATCTTGAGCAGTGGCAGAAAATAGGGCATGCTGTAAGAACGTGAGGAGCCTGCTAGATCAGGCTAATGGCCCATCTAGGCCAGCATCCTGTTCTAAGAAGAAGAAGAAGAAGAAGAAGAAGAAGAAGAAGAAGAAGAAGAAGAGGAGTTGTTTAGATTTGATATCCCGCTTTATCACTATCCGAAGGAGTCGCAAAGTGGCTAACATTCTCCTTTCCCTTCCTGCCCCACAAGAAACACTCTGTGAGGTGAGTGAGGCTGAGAGACTTCAGAGAAGTGTGACTAGCCCAAGGTCACCCAGCAGCTGCATGTGGAGGAGCGGAGACACAAACCCGGTTCCCCAGATTACGAGACTGCCGCTCTTAACCACTACACCACACTGGCTCCAATGAGATGCCTGTGGGAAATGAGCAAGCATAACTCAAGCACAGGAACACACTCTCCCAATTGCTGTGGTTTCCAGCCATTGGTATTCAGAAGCGCTACTGCTTTTGACCATGGAGGTAGAGCTTAGCCATCATGGCTAGTGACTTGATAGCCCTCTCCTCCATTAGCTCAGCTGATAATAGCCATGGTCCATTCTCCTTTCCACCCCACAAGCTGAGCGATCTCTCCTTAGCCACCACACTTTCTGCCCAGCATGTTGCTCTATGCTTCTACGTCCTTCCCATTTTCTGTTTTAAAACAGAATGCAAATCTGGGACTCACAGGGCAGATCAGGCACATCAAGCTATTTTCCAATAGCCAACAGCAAGTTTAATATCTTTAAAAATATCAGATGATGTTGATATTTGCACTCTGCAGTGTTGGCAATGTGCCTTCAAAGTAGACTGGTGCACACAGTAAATAAAAAGCAAAACTTAAGTTACCTACTTTTCTGGCAATTCTCTCTCTCTCTCACACACACACACACACAGACACATACAGAGAGAGAGAGAGAGAGTGTAAAGTAGGAGAAAGAACTGCCTCTGCCTAGAACAGCTGAGAATGAAGGTCATATTCTGCCAAAGTCACAAAAGCACTTCATGCAAACTGACCCAAGGAAATTCTTGGTGGACACTTGGAAAAAAGGCAATGTCTCCTTTAATCTATCCAGTACCTCAGATGCAGAGAAGATATTTCAGATATATGAGAATCTTCTTACATTACAATACTTTCTCCAGAGGGGGGAATTGGCCCAGGCACATTCCCCAAGAACTCTTTGACGCACAGCATACGCAAAACAGAAATCCATAAGCACACTTGAAGGGGGGGGCGGGGAGAGAGGAAGATGCAGAGCAGCCTGCCACTATTCGGTATCATAAGATACAACCTATTTACTCAGAGAGAGAGAAATATCTATTCTAATTACTCAGATGCTGTAAGCATCTTCAACTTGAACATTTCCTCCCTATGAAAATAAGGTACAGAATTCATTAACTAGGAAGCTGGCTGCAAAAAAAAGAAAGAAAGAAGCAATTCTACCACTCCAAAGTCAGGGTAAAGGCCCGTTTATTTTAGTGTGCCACCTGAAAAGTGCTGCATGGGGGAGGGGGGATATGCCCCCTTCTACTGTTGACAGATTTAAATGTGCATGATATACAGCCATATTCATCCATGTGTCCCATAGCTGCCAGTTTTGTTTCAGTTCATTAGATTTTAAGGAATAAAAAAACATGCGAAGGAAACAGGTGGCACATACTTCGGAGAGAGAAATTCACTTTAATTGATGTGAGATTTCAAAGAACACAGGCTCTAGGTTTCTTCCACTTTATTTCATTATTTGTGGATTAAATGCCACTTTACCTGATCAATAATCCATGATCAATATAGCTACCACCCTTACCATAATCATTTCAAAAAGGCAAAAAACCGCAGCTCCTACGCCTGTCAGGAAAGTTTTGGAAGCAATGTTGAAGCCGTGGGACTGAGTCAAAAGACACCGAGATAGCAAGCAAGCCTCCACATGACTGATACCTTGAGCACAGTTCAACTTAGCACCCCACTGTACATGCATCAGCACAGCACAAGCGCACACTACAAGAGCGGGGAAAGATTTGAATGCTCCTGTGAATGGATTTGAGCAGTGGTGACCCTCTCACTGGGACCTCCTCTGCGTCATCCCTAAAGGCCTTTAAGAAGCAAGGCACGTTCAGAGAAAAATATTTGGTCAAGTACTTTTGCTGTATGATGTCCAGCTCCTTATTTAATCCATTTGAGTCTTAGCCCGTAGGTATAGCCTTAGCTGAGAATTCAAGTGCTTAAGGAAATTGCCAAGAAAGATTACTCCCGCAACACTTCACCCAACTAATCAGATCTCCCTGGCACGTTACTAGCTGCATTTTAGTGTCATGGGACCAGCCTGCCTGATAAGCAGCTTCCTTGCTTTCTAGTGCAAAACCTTCCACCTCCTAGCTCTGTTTATATTGTCTCATGTGTCCAGCAATTGCAGCAGCAATCTCCGAATTCTTCTTGTTTTGCCCAAAATAATCAACAAAGCCTCCATCTGGTCCAAGAAGGTACATTATGATGGTGTGATCCACCTGCAGAAAACACACAAGACAAATTGGGGATAAAGTGGAAAGGAGGGTTAGGTTAGCAGGGCAAGTTCTGGTCAGCAGTAACCCACAAGAATGATCAAACTGCCACACTAGCTCTGAATTTCTTCATAAAACCAACAGCTTGTTAGACAGCCTAGAAGTGCCTCAAACAGTGGCTCTTTACTTGACAGTGGAACTAAAAGAGAGCAAGCGATAAAAGAGGGCTGTGAAAGCAGCCACATCCTGCAAACCTCATAGGAGTTTGCTTTTTGAGAACCTTGTGTTTGTGTGTTTTTAAAAAGCAGGGTTCTTCCATGAAATCCAAACTTTCACTAAGAGCTAATGGCAGACTAAGGATTTTAAAAACTTCAGAACTAGCCTTCTGCATTCAAGATCCTCCATAACTTCCCTGTATCACATGACATGCAAGGTTCTTCTCTGTTCTGGCAAAGAATAAACCTCTTCTCTGAGGGGGGGCGGAGAGAATGATCCCTCCCAATGCAACTCAGTGGTCTCCTATTGGAATCCCTCTTGGAAGCAGGAAAATGCAAAGACCCCATGGCTCTTTCTGACATCACAGAGACAGTCCTTGCTCATCATGTGATGGAAATTCAAGAAGACAGGGCAGACACACCACTCTATTTGAATTTACTCATTCAGATTACGGAAGAAGAAGAGCAATACTGAAATATTCTCTGGCGGGACAGGGAAGAGGCCAATTCAGATATTACTCTTAGTCAATACTGATCATAGGTAAACATTCATGTTGTGTCACTATCTCATTCTGTCAACAGGACGGAAGTGGGAAGTGGGACCAACACAAAGCTGGCACTTTGGAATAACTAGATTCTAAAGAACAGGCATTAAGATCTAGGTCAATTAAAAATGCTGCCTGAAACAACGTAGGCAGATTAGCTGAACAGGACATAGGTAAGGCATGTGTCATTTGCTGTCTAGCTCCCTCTAGTGGCAAAATTGTGTTTTAATAATTTGCATGACAAATAACACCCCACACAGAATTCACATTAAGTATTCTGAGAAGGGAAGCTGGCTTGTGATAAAAGAGGGCATACCTGGGCTTTTCAGACCACATGATGGCCCATTCAGGACTAGCCAATAAGAAAAGGCAAGCTTGGATCCTGCACCTTTACGCAGCAACACCAACCTCCAAGATTCCTATTGAGGCCTACTTCTAACTGCCAGGCTGTTTTTCAAATCAATTTAAACATGGGTACCTTTCAGTAACTGCCTCCCTGCATATGAAAAAGGATACCTCTGAGCTCTTGTATTCTAGCAGACAGAAAAGGCAAATGAAGAAACACTGCGGTCTCACATGGAAAGCCGCCTCATTATGAACAAACTATGTACTCTCTCCTCCAGTAACGCTTGCTCACAATTGCCTATTAGCTTTTACGACTTTGCTCCTCTCACCTTATTCAGAAATATCATCAACTACAAGCCAGCTGCTCCAACTCCAGATATTTTTCAGACACACCCCAAAACCCTATAAAACCCCCACAACTAGGCAACACTTTCACCCCTCCATTTCCCCATCCTCTTGTAGGTTTCCTCCGATTCTCTCCTTTAGAAGAGATTTAATTGAGAAACTCCCCCTAAACTCGCCTTGTCCATTTGGAAAGTTCAAAACCTTTTCTGTGGAGCCAACTAGCGTTATCAATCTGTAACATATGCAAAAACGTTACTCACTATATAATCATTATCTTCATCTTTTGGGCCCGAGCTGTAATAGACACGATAGGCTCGAGCCACCTCGTCGATCTGTTCTTTCGTACCCGTCAATCCGATCAGCTTGGGTGAAAACTCTTGAACAGAAATGGAACTAGTTAGATCAGCTGACATTAAAGATGAGGGCCCAAATTATTACCCTCTTCCACTGTTGGAAAAGCTATTCAGCTCTACAAAGCTGGGTGTTTAGGGAGTCAAGTAGAATACCAGATATGGAGGTTAACATTACCTTTAACGTATGTGGCAATAGCTTCTTTCGTGTCTCTCTCTGGATCAATCGTGATGAAGAGCGGAGTGATGTTTGGCAGAGACTTGATCTCATCTGTCGCCATAAAGCATGATAGTTAATATCCCACTAACTGACTCAAGGCTACTTTTGCGTTCCAGGTCATAAAATACCATAGAACATGCCAATTTTATTACAGTGCATCTTCAAGATGGTGCTTTTGTGGGATGCCTTTTTTGGAGAAAATGCAATGTAATGTGGATGCTTTATTAAATATTGGGGTCCTCCTATCAGTTGCAACACATGCCCTAGCTGTTTTAATACAGTTGCAACTATAGCTGCCACTGTGAGAACAGGATGCTGGACTAGATGGGCCATTGGCCTGACCCAGCAGCCCCTTCTTATGTTCCTAAATGATGAACATGTTGCCTGTACCAGAGAGAAAGCTACTCAGGCTCATGGCCAACATTTGATGAATACTTCATAAGCTTCCCCTCTTATCAGTGGTGTGCAACAGGTGAGATTTGACTCATAAGGTCAAGAGATGACCTGGTACATCCATGGCACCACAGTATTCTTTTGAAGTAGGTATGGAGAAGGACGGGCACAGAGAGATTATCTGGATTTTATTGGTCTTTTAAAAGCCGTAAAATAAAGGGGGAAATGGGAAGGCTTATTACATTGAGGTATATATGTGTAATCAATGAAAAAGCAATAGAAGGTGAAATTAAAAACAGGCCCTGTTTTTCAGGCTGAAGTTAAATGAGGGTCCTGAAAAGACTGAAAACCATTGTTCAGGGACCCCAATTATAGGCCACAGCTTGAAGGCCTAATGCACAGGAACAAATATTTGCGCACTCAGATTCTTATATATATATTTTTAAAAACCTATGCATATAATATTTACAGTCTGTATCTGTTCACAGTCTGTTTAAACCCTGGTTATTTTCTGCAGAAATTTTAATGGGTAAAATGGAAAATTAAAAAAATATACATTTTAATTATTATTAAATTTATTACCTGCCCTCCAGCAGGGCAGGTCCCAGGGCAGAAGATGGCAGCCAGGGAGATGGAGGCACTGCGTAATAACAGGAAAAGACTGGGAAATAAGCGTAAGTGATTTAAAAAGGAATATTGTCATTTCAAGAATATTGTGTAGGAAAAGTAGCTCTACCTGAAGAAGGTTAGCTATTACCCATAAATCTAGTTCTTTTCAAAAGAAATATGTTGCATCCAAGAAGCTCCACGTTAGCTATTTGTAATCTGTATATTCTATTAGTAAAGAAACATTCTAGCAGGTGTACTAGAGAATGCCAGCCCATACACTTTGACAAGAACTCCAGAAATGAATATGAAATTCCATTTCTGCAGCAGATGAATGGAATTTTCATATGCCACAAGGAGATGCTATCCACAACAGTGAAATGAAAATACTGCCACTAGGGGGCAGCAGTTCGCTTTTACTAAGGGCAGATTAGTAAACTGCAGGCATATCTAGGTAAGTTTCAGGTCTCAAAAAGGCAGAGCTCCATTCTGTACAGTACGTGACTTCATATTCTACCAATTTACACAAAATATTTTATTACTTCATATCCCCCTTCCATTACCAGCGTAAAGTCATCTTTACTTACTTTACTTTACTTTATTTACTTAAGTTATTTACAGGCTTAACCCACAACAACTAGTGAGACTCGGGTGGCGCTGTGGGTTAAACCAGAGCCTAGGACTTGCTGATTAGAAGGTCGGCGGTTCAAATCCCTGCGACGGGGTGAGCTCCCATTGCTCGGTCCCTGCTGCTGCCAACCTAGCAGTTCAAAAGCACGTCAAAGTGCAAGTAGATAAATAAGTACCGCTCCGGCGGGAAGGTAAACGGCTTTTCTGTGCGTTGCTCTGGTTTGCCAGAAGCGGCTTAGTCATGCTGGCCACATGACCCGGAAGCTGTACGCCAGCTCCCTCGGCCAATAAAGCGAGATGAGCGCTGCAACCCCAGAGTCGTCCACAACTGGACTTCACGGTCAGGGGTCCCTTTACCCACACAACTGCTGGTAATTAATTATCTGTCTTACATGATTCCTGCTCCTCCAACTTTTATCACTTACAGCTGATTAAAGATTTCCTGCTTCCTTAAGTGACTGGCCCTCTCTTCCTTGCTGCCCCTGCAAGTGGAACTCCCTCCCAGAACTTGGGCATGGTGCCAACTCTCTCCTGTTCTTCAAAAGCCATCTTTTCTGCAGCCAAGTTTTCAGTACACGTAACAGCTTCTCATCACGTTACTTCATCCCTTTACTTGCATTCCCCTCCTATTTTTCCTGCTGTCTATTTCAGCTAAGCTCTATGAGAACAAAGTCCCACCTATGTCACCTGTTCAGGGCCACCAATGAAGGTCTTCACAGGCATTGTGCTGGCCACCCATGCTATAATGGACCTACTTACCACTGACTTTAATTAAGGAGTAGGAGAAATGAAGAGTGGAAGCAATGCAACCGACTAGAACACAATTTATTGTTGGTAGTCACGTTTCAGAGGTATCTTCTCAATTAACAATGTATATTAATAACTAGGGGGAGAGGGGGTAATTCTGTGCAGACCTTGAAGACCTATATAAATCTGCCACTGCCTGAGCAACAACACAGGCTAAAAACATTAACCTAGAGAACATAATGAGATTCTTCTCTATGAAGAGTTATTTCAGGGAGAGTTTGGGCTTCAGTATGGCTTACTTACCAATTTCATCGATGACAAGAACCATTTTTTCCAGTTCTTCTGGGCAAATGTCAGGGCAATGTGTAAAACCAAAGTAGATTAACACCCATTGGCCCAGAAAGTCACGATCCGATTTGGGCTGACCATGGTGATCGACGAGTGAGAAATGGCCTCCCAGCAATGGCTTTCCAAGAGCCCTTTTCCGCTCCTTCTCCGCCTCTGAAATCAAACCACAGTGGAAGGTTACCTGCCTACCACTCCAGCTTAAGAGATTCTATAGCACTGCCAGCAAAGCTGCAACTATATTCTTTCCCCATCCCACACTTCCTTTATGACAGCTAAGTTTGTATCGCTCTTTAGTACTAGAATCTGGCTTGAGTTCCCCACTCCCACCCAATACTCTTGATATTGCCATGCTCACTGTAGATGAGGGTGCTCCATTAACTATAGATTTGTATTGGTAATGTCCAGCATCTTGAGGCAGGGCGGTGGGGTTAAATGACAATAAAAAAGCCAAAAGCGGCAAGGGGAAATAAGTGTTACAAAATAAATGCAAGCAATGTCAGGTACTTGATTGCAAGTTTCAAAAAAGTTTCAAAGCCTTCAATCATTTTTCTCTTCTCTTGTTGCCTCTTCACCCAAGGGATTTGGAACATGCTTTGGGACACGCTCCCTCCCATTTGTCTTAGAAGTACTTTTCGCCTTATCAGAAGCAAATATCAACTAAAAAGTTCACTAGCTAAACTTCATAATACTCAGGTGCTTCTTTAAGCAATTCTAGTGACTCTGAAAACAGTTATCGGAAAACATCTACTGCAGGTATCAATATTTTCACACCCAGGATGCATTTGGGACCCACTGCTTTTTTTATCTTTTACCATATATTTTCATGGTAGTAGTTCTCCTACCTTTGCATCAACTACAGCATTAAGGGATTCATCTTAACAAGAGAGGGGTAAGAAAGTTGCTGGGTAAAAGCTAGGAGAAGCGATAATCTCTTAGGATCAAAAACCTTTTCTCACGTAATAGTTTAGACCTTAAGCACAGGTAAGGGCAGTGAGGATAGGCACTCAGTGAGCTACATCCGCAAAATATTCACACAGCCAAGAAAGAACACAAAGCCTTTGCATCTGTGCAGCAGGGTGAAAAATGACTCTACAATAGACACGATTAAGTTTTACATACTTTCTTCTTTCTTTTTCTTGAAGAACTTCATTGCTGCTAGCAGACTTCCTCCAACAGCACAAGTAATTGCCAGAGTCTTCCAAGTTACAGGCTACTGGGAAAGAGGAGGAAAAAGAAGTGCACATGTAAATAAAAGACTTGCTCACCAAGCCAACTTCCTCATTCAACTTCCAAGTCACTACCTTGTTTCGGTAAGCAAAAGCTCGGTCTTCTTGCACCTTCCATCTCCTCAACATTTCCCTAATCGAAATACGGTACAGTAAGCATGCAACTTACACACAATTAACGTGTGCGCATTCCGTTTTACACGCTTGGCTAAATAAATATATAATAAGAAGGGGATGGGTGTCTGGGATGGGGGAAACTTTGGCAATTCCACCCACCACTGAACCATTTGACTATAAGTGATTTCAGCTTTAGGCGTGATCCCCAGAACGTAGCGTAAATTGCAGGCTTACTGTATAGCTGTGGTTCCCAACGTTGGGCACACGCCCCACAGGGGGGGAATTTGATTTTTAAGGGGGGGCAGTGGAAAACAGGAGTGCCTGGCGTGCTCTGGTCCATGGGGTCACGAAGAGTCGGACACGACTAAACTACGAAACAACAACAATGACCTTTTGGGGCGCGGGTGGTGCTATGGGTTAAACCACAGAGCCTAGGACTTGCCGATCAGAAGGTTGGAGGTTCGGGTTTGAGCTCCTGTTGCTTGGTCCTGCTCCTGCCAACCTAGCAGTTCAAAAGTACATCAAACTGCAAGTAGATAAAGAGGTACTGCTCTGGTGGGAAGGTAAACGGCGTTTCCGTGCACTGCTCTTGTTCGCCAGAAGTGGCTTAATCATGCTGGCCACATGACCCGGAAGCTGTACGCCAGCTCCCTCAGCCAATAAAGCGAGATGAGCACTGCAACCCGAGTCGGTCACGACTGGACCTAATGGTCAAGGGTGACCTTTTAGGCTTCCTCCACGTGAATAGGAGTTCACTTTTTGATGAATAAGAATTATATGTCACGGGGAAGGGCATCAGGATTTTAGAGATGCCTAGGTGGGGCATGAAAAAAGAGGTTGAGAACCCCTGCCTATACAGCAACCAGCTCAGGCAGACAACCGCTTGAACCCAGCGAAGCTAAAAGCAGCAACTTAAGATTTGGAAAAGAGATTCAGGGGCTCTCGCATCTCCTCCATGCAAGGGGCGAGAAGTAGCTCCGCCTGCACAACTTAAGCGGAAATGCAAAAGGGGGTGCATTTGGTCAGCAGGTGTCGCTTCGCAGCCCTGCAGCGGCCGAACAAGAGAAGAGGCACCATCAAGCAGACCGAAACCCATTTGTCTCCCTCCAGGGCTCCACGTGCGCCTCCTCCCCGCCCTGCCCCGCCGCGCCCCTGCTCTTCCCTGGATGCGCCCAGGAGCAGCGGCTCCCCCTGGAGCGGGACTGGCTCACCCCAGGTTTGCTGGGCCCTTCCCGCGGCTTATCCCCCGGCGGCCCTGTAGCCAAGGGCTGAGCACGACAGCGAAGGGAAGGCCAGCGCGGCGGAGGAGCTCGGAGACCCCAAACCGCCAGAGGACGAAGCCGGGTCGCCACCGCCATCCTCTTTACCGTCCAGCCACGCTCCTGCAGCCCATAGAGCTAGGAAAGATCAAGAGCAGTGACAAATGTTGGATTTCCGGGGAAAAGCAACTGAATTCGCCGTCGTTCTTTCAAAAATTTATCCATGGACAAAGAGCACGCTCGCGTTATCCCTCGGCATCACTACGTGTGCTTAGCTCGGGATTGTAAAGAGTGTGTGGGGGGGGTAGACCCGGAAGTGCTTATGGGGGCAGTGCTGCATTCGGCTCTAGCCTTTCGTCTCTCTGAAAGTTAGCTCGACGGAAGTGTCCCGGAGAAACGCTTTTCGGAACAGGAAGTGACGGAAGCACGCCGGAAGCGAGGGTTGGCTTTCGTTGAAACCGGGAGGAAGGAGGGTTTTGGGTCGCGGGAGTCGTGCAGTTATGTCACCTCAGTTACGTAGGGGGCGAAATGGTTTCCTTTCGTATCTTCCGCCAGACCTCGATCCAGAGACGGCCAGACATTTTTGAAGAGCCTGATCTGCTTCTTAGTCGGGGCTGCGATGCACAGCCGTCCTAAGCCACCATCTCAGCCCTTCCCAGCCGCAATGTGAGGATAACAGACTTGCATTGGCATCTGCAAGGACAAGTTGTTGTTTTTAAGTGTTTAAAAAAACCTATTTAAAATACAGCACAAACACTCTGGGACCCGATCACAGCTTCGCCCAAACTTCCCATTTCTCAGTTGCTTCCGACCCTCGGGTGACTGAGACGGAGGGGAGGGAGTATTGAAAATAACCAGGAAGTTTCGTCTTTATAGACAGTTTGATTGTGACGCTAGAATTGCCTCCTTGGTTCCACTCACAGCCTACCTTAAAAGGGCATCTTTTAAAAAATATTTCCATTTCTCTATGGCGGAGGGAAGGCAGCAAGCAAGGAGGAGGGGCAAATGGATCAGGAAATGAAATGATGCTCAGAGAGTAGATTAATTTTCTTTCACTGCTTTGCCTCAGAAGAGGACTTGGTTTCCCCGGTCTGCTTCTTTAAAGCGAGGTGAGTGGTGTGGGTATGTGTCTCGTTTCCATAGTAACGATGTAGGGTGGGTTCTCCAGACACTTCCCCTCCCTCCTCTAGTGATTTTATAGTGCTAGGCAGACAGATGTGTGGGTTGTGGTTGTTTTCTGCAGGTTTATAAGCTGGCAGGTATCTTGCCAAATCCTATAGGCTTCAATTCTTAGTGTAAGTGGTTCAAATCACTGACATCCCTAAATCCAATGCAACCCATTCCTCTGCATGTTTACTCAGCAGTTCAGTAGAACTTGCTCCTAATTCGAGTACATATGTATAGGATGGCTTCATTTTATTCTGTCAGCTTTATAGAAGTCTAGCTTCTCCAAAAGACTGCTAATGCAGCCTAAAAGCTATATTTGAGTAACATATTCATAGGCACCCACACTTCCCCCTCACCACCAGTTTAGTATTTGAACAAAATCCTTTTCTTTCTTTCTTTGTGCTACATTTTGGCAGGACATATGGGCAGTTATGGATGACGATAATAATTGTAGCTGTACACAAGGAGCCACAACTTCTGAGGCACTCTTCTCCTTTGGAGTCATAGCAGATATTCAGTATGCTGATCGAGAAGATGGCTATGATTTCTGCGGACTGAACAGGCGATATTATAAGCATAGCCTATGTCACCTCCAGAGTGCAATCGAAGACTGGAATAGAACAGATGTTCAGTTCGTATTACAATTTGGGGACATCATTGATGGCTGCAATGCTGAACTTAAGATGTCAGAGACAGCACTGGGAAGAGTCTTGGAAGAATTTAAGAAGCTCAAGGCCCCTGTCCATCATATATGGGGCAACCATGAATTTTACAACTTCAGCAGAGACTATCTAGTAGATTCTGCACTGTACACCAAGTACTTACAAGAACAGACGTTTCTTAGCAATTCTTATAGAGACCAGAGTTCCACTGGAGATGATGCTTCAGAATTCTATTATGCATATCAATTTTGCCCAGTGTCTAAATTTCGATTTGTCATCCTTGATGCTTATGATATAAGTATTCTGGGGAGGGATACGTCTACCAAAAAATATCAAGAGTCTCTAAAACTACTTCGAGAAAAAAATCAAAATGAGAATCTGAATAGTCCATCAGGTACTGTATTGTGCTGAGCAGGGCTTTTGTATGTTTCCAGATTCACATTGAGGTAGCACCTGGCCTTGTGCTACACTGAGGGACCTGCCACTCAGAAAAATGAACACATCTGCATGTATTTCTCTGACTTAAAAAGTGTGTGGAAGGGGACTACAACAGAAGAACATTCAGTTTTGAGTGGCAGTTTTTCTACACAAAAAATTCTACCAGATTAGGCTAGGCAGTGGGCAGGGCTGCACATTAATGGCATTTATGTAATCCCCTGAAAGGATAGAGAACTTATCTCAAGAGTAACTGGTTAATGCCAGAATGTAGGCCAGGTATGTTCAATATGACATTTTGAATGTATGCAAATATGTACAAATGTTTACATATATATATAGCATACTTTGGAGGAAGCGGGAGATGGTAACATTTCTAATTTGCAGAAATGGGGAATCAAATGCTTTGACTACACAATTGAGGATGTATGATTTAAAGGGATGGATAGAATGTTGGTTGTTTCCTGGTTGGGAGCAATAGGCTGAGTACAAACGATTATAGCTTCTTAAGCCACAATATGAGCCTCGTGGCTTTGCATACAGCTGCATTGTTCTTTCCCTTATGCAAACTGGAAAGCAAGCCACAAAGTCTTCACTTAACTATCGCTTCCCTTCTTTGTCTTAACCATGAAAGCTTGGTTAACAGCTTGGGGGAAAGCCAGGTTAAGAACCCAACTTTAATCATGGCTTTATGCAATGGCTTGGTTTGAAACCATTAACCACAGTTTTCTAGTGTACACCTAACATCAAACTCGTTTAATTGAATACTTCCTGGCTGGTTCACTCACTTGTGCAAAGGGAAGAGTGGAGTGCTGTGTGTAGGCAGCCTTGAGGCTCATTCATATCTTGGCCTGTTGAGCTATGATTTCCTTGTGATAGTTAGGACTTTCTTAAACATTACTGGAAAAATAACTTGCAATTTGTACACTGCAAGTCACTACAGTAAGCAGTAGTAATGTCTGGAACGGAGATGAATATCTGAAAACACATGGCAAGTACTTGCCTATGAGCTGCAAAGGTTCCCCATGGCTCTTCCCCATGCATAAAAGTCACCACTTGTGGACCATTTGTGGACAAATAGGACCTTTTCTTTCCTAGAATGTGTGGAAAAGCTTTAGATCAAGACTTGGCACAGCCACATACCCTTTCATAGAGATGCAAAATTTGTAGAAATAACTACAAGTGGGGTCCCATTTTTGTCATGCTAAAGAACAGGAATATCTGTTACGTTTATCATTAAAGAAAGTATTTTTTACTGATTTATAAAGTTTGCCTTGAATGCTAGTTTATTCTTAAGAATGAGGTTAACTTAAAAGTCCCTGTAGGGAGAAAATGCATATTTTTCTAAAATGCACATTTGTATGCTAAAATATAAATGGCTTATTTGGTGAGGCTTTTTATTAGGTTTTCTTTTTGTACAGGTCTTGTTGAACGTCAGTTTGTGCAGTTCAATGGAGGATTCAGTCAAGAACAGCTGGATTGGCTTGATGAAGTCCTTACATATGCTGACAAAAATCAAGAAAGAGTTGTAATTATGGGTAAGACTTTTTTGTTTTTCACTTTTTAAGGCACAGCAACTGTAGTAGAATATCACAGTATATCTCATGAAATTCTGCTTTTTACAATTCTGACAAGCCATTTCTCAAGCCTGAGTCACACCCCAAAACTGGCCTTTGGAGCGAACTCTGTTCACGTCACAGTGGTCTGATTCTGCCATTATGTGGGCTATATCCATTTTCAGGGTAGGTTGAGGTCTACAGGAATAGCTACGGCATGCAAATTAAAAATGGATTGTGTGTGCTTAGCCACACGGTGCTCTGCAAAACAAACTGAACTTGGTACACAGTCAGGTCCAATTTATGAACTTGCAAATCATCGTCCCTTAAGGAGAGGGTGTAAATCAGAGGTTATGGAAGGAATGGTGCTGGGTGTTGGTAAACAGTATAGGGAAATCAGGTTCCTTTGGAGTTCCTGGAACACAAGCAGTAGAACACTTCTTAGAAAAAAGCGCCTTATGAGAGGGTTGCTCGGACATTAGAACTAGAGGCAAAAGACTGAGGGTTTCCTTCATCTCATTCTACTGCTTTAGCTGACATATGCTAAAAGTTAGGGTAGTGGGTTTTGATCACAATGCTTCATTCTTCATAAAGTATACTCTGACAACCAGAAGATTAAAGGCCAGTGAGAGGTTGCACACCAGGAAGAACATCACAGGAAGGGATACACCAGACTGGCTCTATCCCCTAGGGAAGCAGCAGCCGTGGGGAGTTTGCTTCCCTCTTTGTGCCAGAGGGAATACTCCGTTCCAACTGATAGTTGCCCTGGGATTGAAGAGAAGTGCTTTGTGGCCTCATCTAATTGACCAGAGGACCAAGCACTGCTAGGCCGTGTGTGGGTTTTGCAATTTGTTTTAAGCTGCTTTTAGAACCACTCAGTTGAACACCTGAATATAAATCTTCTAAAAAAACAAAAACAAAGCTCATGTCACCTTGCAAACCCATGACAGAGAGAATCAGGCCTCCAGTTTGGCTTACGTTTTATTTTTTCAAGCCCTGAAGTATGTCTGAGCTGTTTTCTCAAAAAAGAAATACAGGATAGTAGGAAAATGTGGACTAGTTACTCCTGTTTCTCCCAGCTCCACATCTCTACAGGGATGTCTAAATAACTAGAGATACAGTATAAGTATTATTCAAAGTATAATGTACTCTTTGTGTATGAATCAAAGTTGGGAACACACACACACACATATATATATATTGCTTTATTTTAGATACATTTATTATAGTTAAATTTATTCAGTTTCAGTTTGTGCAAGTAACGCTTTCCTAAGTATTCATAATGTGTCACATGTATTATTTCAGTACCTTTACAACTACCCCGTAAAGAAGGGCTAGTTAACGCTGTGAACTTCTGGAAGGTGTTGGACCACAATTGGTGCTCAAACATAAGAAATTGTAATTTTCTACTTGCTACTCCGTGATCTCATCATGATTGGTCTATCATGTGAATCAAGGACCTTCAGCTCATAACATTTGTTAATAACAATTTTGCTTAAAAATGACTTCAGGTGCCTGTCTAATTGTGAACTTGCAGAGAATACTACCAGTATATAGCCATTTTCAGCAGCTTTAGCATTTGGAGAGCCGTGTTAACAACTGTGAAATTTCATCTGTTTTGACTGCCTCTCTTCCTCCGCTGCAGGGCACATACCCATCCACCCCAATTCTACAAGCGATGTCGCCCTGGCTTGGAATTATAAAGATGCCCTTTCTGTCATCCACTCGCATCACTCTGTGGTGTGCTATCTTGCAGGCCACCTTCATTTTGGTGGATACTGTTTAGACTCTTATGGAGTTCACCATGTTACTCTTGATGGGATTATAGAAACTCCTCCAGAAAGCCATGCTTTTGGAATTATACATGTCTATCATGACAGGATGGTATTAGAAGGAAGAGGAAGGATTCTAGATCGAGTGATGCATTACAAAGGTTATCAGACTTTTCACAGATGATTGTATTAGGTCTGATTACTATTTAATGCATTGTGCACTATACTGGAGTAACTATTTGCCTGAAGCTCATTTGAGCCCACGGATTGGCATGTTCAACTTGAAGTGTCAAGCAAACTAAATGTCTGCACTGCTTAGTGAGGCATGGAAATGTAATCAATTACATTAGATTCAGTGTTGGGCATTTGTTCTATATATATTTTTCTGATTTTAGAATGTTGGTGTGTAAATTATTTAATACACCATGTATTTTTTTTTCAGTTGAAAATTTATAAATATTTCTATAATTAGAAATGCATACATTTAAATTTGCAAACATAAAATAAAAATTAGTAGCTGGGCATCTTTTGTTTAAAATGTGAATAATTGCATATTTATTCAACTCTGATTATCATACCCTGTTTGAAGGCTGGACCAAAAGCAAGACTCATAATATTACAGATCATAGTATTTGCATTTCACTTTGCTAGTAGCTTCTAGCAAAGAAATTGATGGGTTATTATGCTCTCTCTTTACCTATATTGCCTTACTTGAGACACACTACAGCTTCTGCTTTCTGTCACATCTTTGTAGGACTGCAAGCTAATCATCAGGATATTGTAATGTGCTCTGCAGATATGTCCAAATGAGGTAGGTGGGGTGTGTGATAGTAAAATTCATACGCAAATCCAGACAGATTGCTCAGAGACCCAGTTGTTCTATTACAAGTAGTTTTAATTACAGTCTGTAAAACATACAAACACTGCTGTCCCTTCAAGGCTGTTCTGCAGCTTCAGCTCTGCTGGTTTCAGCAGTACGTTCAAATCACCTCTAGACTCCAGCTGCTTCCGCAGAAGCACCTATTTCATTTGATCCAATCCCTTGCAGGTACCAAGGGCCTATAGTTAATGCAGTCCTAACCCACGTGGCCTTATTGCAGATATATTCTTTCCTTGAAAATCTAGATCAGGATCCAGAAAATTCCACTCAAATTGTGCTCCAGCTTCCAGGATTCAAGAACATAACAGACAATTTAAAACCAGACTCTCGAGGGAACAAACTGATCTCAGCCATGGCTGTGATCGCTGTTGATTTGGCACAACTGACAAATCAGAGCTGGGCAAATAGGTGCTAGAACACAGATTCCTTCATTTCCACCTTCTTAAATAACTGTTTTACAGTGAGACGGCCAGGATGTTCGCATCTCTGCATTCATGTAGATGTACAGCCACATTACAAAGGGGAAAAGGGAGAGGAAGATTGCAATGGCCAAGTGAACCCCACCCAGGGAATTTCTGGAAGGAAAGAAAAGACGATTTACTGAAAATCAAGTCAAATTAACAGGAACTTAACCAACTTATTGAGATCTCATCTATTTTTATTTTTTTAAAAAAAGATTTTTGTCTGAAACTTTACGGGGCTGCACCCAATGGTGGGCTTGTGCTACCAGAAAGTGTTTCTGCAAAGGCACAGTAGCTGATTTTTGCCAATCCTTACCTCCTGCAGCCGCCTGAACCACACTGCTCCAGAGGGTCCCACAAAACCCAGGAGCAGCTTTTCCGGGGGCTACAATGAGAAGAAAATTGGGTGCTTTGCTCAAGCACAAGTTTGGGTGGTGTGGGAAACAACTATTCCACCCCCCAAAGAAATATGCATAATCACTCCTTTATATGCTGAGAGTTACTTTTACCTCAACTGGAATACACATGCTGAATTATAACTATAAATTAGACTTTATAGAAAAATGCAAACTATTTGAATGTGCTCAAGTTTACAGACTTGTAAACTGAAAATCTTACGGCATTAAGGCATAAAACGAATCACAAAACTAAAACATCACAAAACTAAAGTCATTTTGAGGGAAGAAGGCTATACCATATCTTTGATAAAGTAAAGACTATTTCTTCCACATATTATAAATAGCTAAAGGCTGAAATAAATAAGTTAAAAGACTCACTTGGCTGAATGACGACAAAGGCTCATCCAGACGGTAACAATCAACAGACCAAATAACTCCCTGTTTTTGAAAAAGATTGTAAGTTATTCAAATGTGCTGTCCATAAATTTAATCATATGCAAGCAGACTCAGCAAAGAACAATAATAAATAAGCTTACCATAAGAAGTGTCAGATGTCAGTTTCTCTGGGGGAAAGCAAACAGTTTCTCACTTTAAAGCTATAGCACTAAGCCCAACACTGCGGCAGTAGCTTAGTACATGTATAAAGTAATGGAAGACGAGGAAGAGGCGAGAATGGGAGGGCAGGGGGTTGTGACATTTCCTTAATTTTGAGTCCCTATCCCTTCCCAATTATATAGTACTGCTTCCAGTGGGCTGTATGCAGCCACAATGAGGTCAGATTGTAGGAAAAATCTTCTGTGATTTCTTTTTGTCAAGAAGTTTGACAGAACTGCATCTCTGTGGAATTTGAACCAAGGATTTCAGAACTTTAATCCCGTGCTTTTGGGGTAGTCTGCTAGCCTGCTGGCTTCTGGTTCTTAACAGACCTATAGTTAGGGTCTTGTGAGAATCCGACTGCTAGGAAGAAACCTCTAATTTCAGTGGAAGGTTGACAATATGGAAACTGCAGAAAAAAAGAAATTATTACTTACCTGCCTTCTTCCTCATGCAAGATGCTTTCCTGAGCATTAGTAAACAAGGAATACCCCAAGATGGCAGAACCCACAAGACAAGCAGCTGAATGTAGATCTGACAGACTCCGCCACACAATATTGTCTAAGGAAAGTGGTAAGTCACTGGTACAAATTTCAATAGAATTTACATTTCCAAACTAACAGTGCAAACCTATACAGGCCCACTCAGAAATAAGCTCCACTGAGTTCAATGGGCCTTACTCCTAGGAAGTGGAAATAGGACTGTAGCCCAAGTTAGTTGAACTTAGGTCCCGATGAAACCAACTGGACAAGTTGGTCATGATTTAGTTCACAATGATTAGTGGGAATTAAGTTCAACTAACTTAGTCTGGATCTACCGACTGTTACTGAATTCATTTTCCTTGGATGTGTCTCTTCAGAAGGCCTTCAAACAACAATAAGGAGGAAACTGCAATCCTCTACAGAGTTTGGCTCACTGAACTGAACATGCATAGGATTGTGCCACAAGTGATTTTATACTTGGTATGTACTAAAGATCACCAAGCAGAGAACAAAAAGAGAGATCCTTCATGCAGGCATAAAATATCTAAAATGACTGGATTTAGCAAATAGTTAATATATGCAAGAGATTACTTTATATTGCAGAAAGCAGAAGAAACAGCTGACACGCCACAACAAATGAAATTTTGACTTCGAGTAAATAATTGGTTAAGATGTGACATCTGGGAGAAAGCGATCAGGATATGGAAGAATTCATCATTCCGAGAGATAGAGAGAGAGAGAGAGAGAGAGAAAGAAAGAAATAATAGTAAAATAGGACAATATGTTTCAAAAAAATACAGATTTCTCTTAACTTGGAACAAGTTAGTAATGAAATTAAATCATAGGTAATTTTAAAACAAGGAACTTAAAGAGGCATTTCAGTGAAATGGACAAAAATAATGCAAGCTATTACTATAAATAAACAAGCTTTCAAAAAAGAACAGCCTGGATGTCAGTAGGGTGATAAAGGGAATTAATGCTCAGCATACCCAAGATCCTTTAGAGGAGGGAGAAGTTGGAAATGAATAGGCACAATATGTGTTGTTCAGATTGTGTATCCTAATGAAGGGTGTTTTGAAGCATTTAAGAGTTCCCATCAATGAATCTGATGAAAGGTCTAATATCCCCACCCAGCATCTTCACTACATATTTGTTCTGTACAGCATCTAGCAGTACTTTGGAACTAAATAAATGTTAAATAGTAGTCTGAACATAGGCAAGACATAAAGACCTCCCCTGCCCTCAAATTATAAGCAAAATTAATATAACAAAGAGGAAGAGGTGAATGGTCCAATTGATTTGGGGATTGGAAGAGGGAATCTAATACTGTACCTGCAATTGGTGGACTAAGGCCGACAACCAGTGTGAGAGCTGCAGGTACAGAGTAGGCAACCTGAGAGTGAGATAGAACGAATCTACTAAGTAGAAATTGAAGGCAGTTACAAGGAAGACAACATACTCCATCCTGGTTACCAGACCGATAGAAGAGCCAATCTGATGCCCCCAGATAACCACACCAGGAATAATAAGGAAGGAATGGGTGCTTGCCTCCCAGGAAGAGAGAGTATACAAGATCCTGGAAGGAAAGGGATGCTTCATTTGTGCAAAGGCGGCCCCTTGGATCACAAAACTATTCATAAAGGCAAAAGAGTCTGCTGAAGAAACGGCCCATGTCATCATCAATACAAAGAGAACAATGCAGTCTGATGAGATGATTGCAAGTGAGATGCTTACTGCTGCTAGTGGTTCTGTTGCCTGGAGGATGTATATTTGATCAGTTCTAGGCAAGGCTGGACTGCCCCTAAAGGAGGTTTGCATTTTGAGGGTTGTTTTAATTACAGCATTGTCATAAGAGGCCCCAGTGGCCTCCGTGGCACTGAGCATCTTTCACAGTAAAAGGTGATGCACACCTTGACAGAGGTGGTTTGGACAGAGGTGGTTTGTGCTCTGGAATCTCCAAATTACAGTAGTCTAATGTGTTGTACATGGGGCTGTTCTGAAGATTGTTTGGAAGCTGCCATTGGTTCAAAGCACAGCAGTAAGGACTATAATGGTGACCAGGTGGTGGGAATATATCTTGCTGGTGCTTAACCAACGGCAGGCCTGCTTCTGCACACAGTTTAAGGAGCTGGTGCTTGCCTTTAGAGCTCTGGATGTCTTGAAGCTTGGATTCCTGAAGAATCCAGCCTCCCAGTTCACTGAGATCATCTTCAAAGGTCGTCCTCCAGGTGCCATCTAAAGTGAAACGTGATGATAAGGGGAAAGGGGCCTTTTCAGGCATCTGGTTGGGCACTGAGAGAACAGCATGTTGGATTAGATGAGACCTTGGCCTCATCCAACAGAGTTCTTAGTGGCAATCTGTACCTATGAAACCCTCTCTCCAGGGAGGTTTCCCCAGTGCTTACTCTGATATTGAAGATTGTAAGCCACTTTGTGAATGAAGTTCCTCAAAAAGCAGGTAGGTTTTGTAAAAAAAATACTGCATCTCTAGCACCAAGTCTTATTTCCCCAGCACTTGAAACTCTTTAATTATATTGCACTGTTTTATGCTGCTTTTACAGTCGTTTTTGCAATCTATTCTGTTGTCTTATCTGTAAGCTATTCTATAAATATTTATATAATGTAAATCCACAACAACAAAAATAAAGTGTCATGTTAGAACACAGTGTCACTGAGCAACAGCCCAAAGCCAATTATAGAAGGAGTTTTGATCAAGCTGCAAAAGCACTGCAGACAGATGACATGGCTTGAAATTCAATGGGGCTGCCTGACAAGACACCTCCGACAATGTCAAGTTCTCTAGTACTTGTAATAGCCTCTGAATTTATACTCACTATCCAGAGTCCTGGATCTGGGTCATTGACCTGCAACAAAGAAGGCAGGAAACATTGCTAAAAACATTAAATTGTGCATAGCATAAAAATCCTTCCAACTGATCCGTAAATCAGTTAATCCTGAGCATTCATATCGAAGACTCCAGGATAAATTGTTGGTGAGCCTTGCTCAGTGTGAAATGGGCAACTGTAAGCAGATACCTGTGGAATTTTGCAGATTAAAAAACCCAAACATATACCCAGTGCTGTCTTCTAGAGCATTTCTGTACCCAAGAGTAAATCCAGAAGTAAAATGGGGGTGTGTGGGGGGGTATTCTCTAGTAAATGTGTTTGGGGCTGCAGCCTTAGTGGAACTAAGGACAACAGTCTAGCTATTTTTTTTCAGGTACTGTCAGCAGATTGCTAATAGGATATAAATGAATTGCATATTTTACCAAAATAACAACTCAGGAAGATATAAACTGTGCACATACTGTTTTCCCCTAGGCAGTTTTTAGAGCAGAAGACTGATTCTGCTTACTCTTAGTAAGTGATATATTTCCTAATCCAGCATTCATAGCTTGAAAACTACATAAATATAATGGGGAGAATGAAGTCTTACTGTGGCAGGGGGAGAAATTGCTTTATTTCCCCAATGTCACCTGTTTATCCTAAAGTATTGTCCAAATCATTGGAGTAGTGAAATAGACTAGACTTGATCACAACCAGTTTCAGAACTAAATCAATTTAAGTAAGGGAAAGAAGGTGGGGGAAGGGAAAATTGGAACAAAGAAGGATGTTATTGAGGGGCAAGGTGTATTGCTGGTAGGAAGTAACCTGGAGCTTCTTCCCTCTTTTTTAAAAAGCTACATAACTGCATAGGTAAACTGTTCCAAATATAATCCAAGATGGTCATTAAAACCCTTCAAAATGGAGCCTTAGACCAAGCTATTTGAAAGACCATCTCCTCCCGCCTGTATCTGCCCATATCTTGAAAATAAACAGATCCTCTTGCCTGCTCCCCTGCCTTCTGCGTTGTGTGACAGCATGTGAGAGAGCCTTCCCTGTGGTGGCACTTTGTAAAATGGTACCCCTGCCCTGAGAGATCTTATCTATCTCCCTCCCTACTTGTTTTCTGCCACCACTTAAAAGCCTTTTCGTCTTCAGAAAGCTTTTGATTTCATGGCTGTTCTGATTCTGATGCGTTAGTCCTGGCTCTCTTGGTTTTGTTTGTTTGTTTTCAGTGTGTTTCGTGTTGAGATGCTGTGACTTTTTAATGCATCTAACTTGCTTTTAACGACGGGATTATGGTTGCTTTGTTTCTGTGGAGATGGGAGAGCAGGTTTATTGCCCCAAATAAATAAACATAATAGAGAAAAATGCTCCTTTTCCCACATAACCTTCTGTGATGATGAAAGAAAGGTGTGCGGTCGATTTTCCCTTCTCGCCTGCGCCACTCCCGCTTCAAACCTCTCCAAAGCTGCAGTCCTGAACGCCCTTTCCTCGTTACCCTTCGCCCTGCCCTGGAAACCGGCCAGCTGCAACCCTGCGACCGACCTTCGCCCACCCGCACAGCCAAGGTGCTCCTTGCACAATTTTCTCGCCCTCCTCCTCCGCCCAGCGCAGCACCATCCCCGACCTGCACGGCCCCGGCGAGTCCGAAGAAGACGGCCATGACCAGGTTGCTAAGTCTCCAGACCCGGCTGCTGGCACCCGCGGAAGGAGGCGGCGGCGACTCCCGCTTAAGCCTAGGCAACGAAGCGGCGGCGGCGGCGGCCTCCATTGCTCGCTCACCGGCGGCAGCTCGCTCGCGTGCCCGCCCCTCTCCCGCCCCACCAGCGGAGAGAGGCGCTCGATCGACCTCATACACGCCCCTTACAAAGCCCCCTCCCGCTCTTGTAGTCCTGCCATGCACCGCCCACGCCGCGCACTTCCGACGAAGCGGGCAGGGTCCTAGCCGAGCGCGGCCGCAACCGGGAGGCGGTGCAACGCAAAGCAGCTGCCAATCTCTGCTTCAGACCCAGTGCCGGATTTACGTATAAGCTAAACAAGCTATAGCTTAGGGCCCCACTCGCTTGGCCCCCCCCCAAAAAAAAATTAAATGGGGGGGACTAGATGTACATTTCCAAAATATAAGTTCAACAATTACTTTGATAAAATACATATTTTGTTATGTGCAAATGGTTTTAGATACCCATTAGGTTCATAAATTACCATACAGCATATATTCAACACAAAAAACAGCTACAATTTGTTGTTGACAAAGGACAGCTGGACATATAAAGGGCCCCATTACATTCAGTAGCTTAAAGGTAATGGGACCCCTGACTATTAGGTCCAGTCGTGCCCGACTCTGGAGTTACGGCGCTCATCTTGCTTTATTGGCCGAGGGAGCCAGTGTACAGCTTCCGGGTCATGTGGCCAGCATGACTAAGCCGCTTCTGGCGAACCAGAGCAGCGCACGGAAACGCCGTTTACCTTCCCACCGGAGCGGTACCTATTTATCTACTTACACTTTGACGTGCTTTCGAACTGCTAGGTTGGCAGGAGCAAGGACCAAGCAACGGGAGCTCACCCCGTTGCGGGGATTCGAACCGCCAACCTTCTGATTGGCAAGTCCTAGACTCTGTGGTTTAACCCACAGCGCCACCCATGTCCCTATTCAGTAGCTTAGAACCCCATCAAACCTAAATACGGCCCTGCTCAGACCAGTGTATTAACTGAAGACCCACTTGCCAGGACTTCAAAGCTGACCTGGTTGCACCTTCCTTTTCCAGGCAGCAGACCTTGACCCTTAACTGCCAGAAGCCCGAAAAAGTCTCTCTGAAATCACTCCAGTAACAGTGGCAGTAGGGTCACCAACAAGGGGGATGTATGAAAAATATATGTTGCCATGTATAATTTACTGGAAGCTTCTCCCTTTTGAGAAAAACGGGTTTAAAACTGTTATGAAATAAATATTTTCATACTGCTCCAGGCAGCTGTCAAGTGAGAACTGGGCACATCAGTTCTTGCACTGTGGACAGATTTATGCTGGCATGACCTTTCATATACATGAAACCAATTAAATATGCTTCTTGAGGCTTTTATTTGCGTTTCCTTTCCTGGATTCCAGCTAATTGGGAAGTGTTGGCCAATTACACTGGAAAATTATGCTGTGACCCTAAACACATACTGGTCCCAGGCTGAATGATACACAGCTATTTCTTCAGTGGAGCTTCCAGGCACATTGGAATAACCATATTTCTGGAAAATTACATATTAGAATCGGGCTGCAAACTTGTATTCATGTACTGGAGTTGCAAGCCCCAATGAACTCAATGGGTAGGCATGCATAATACTGCATTGTAAACAGGGCTTACATCCAAGTTAAAAGTACTTATACTATATGAGCTTTTAAATTCAAATTAATGGGAAATTGATAGGAAGAAGTAGGTACCATACAAGATTTCACACTTGGGCTATGTCAGTATGAGGAGAAGCACCATAGGGAAGAGACAAAAGGGGCCACCGAGAACTTTGGGATCAGGTTTGATGAGTTTCAGCATGGTGATCTTAATTCTGCAAAGGTGGAAGAAAACAAACGAAGAACTACCTCTTATCTCATTGAATAAACATTGAAAAAACATGGGAAGGATAAGATTTATTTGCAGAAAAGAGGAAATAGGATAATTCAGGATTTAATGGAAGTGCTTGGATTGGAACATAAGCATATGGGACAAATTATTTATTTAAATACAATTATATTCCACCTGTTTTTCAGAATAAAAAGGTTACCAAAAAACAAAACAAAAAAGATTGCTGTCCCTATTTTTCTTTTTTTTAAAATCCACATATGTTAGTATCAGGAAAGGCAGGTCATATGTGAACATAATTCTTGTTATTCCATGTGATTCTTCCATAAACGTCTTGTAGCTTTATTTGTGAACATATTCCAGAATGCTAAACCCACAAAGAAGATATGTGATTCATTTTATATAGAAATGTCTTTTCATTCAACACTGCATCATTTGAAAGAATCAGGAAGTAATTCTAAGATATAATCTCATTTGAGGTACTTAATCACATATTAATCACTATATTTCAAGATACAATGTTTTGTTATCTAGTTGCAAAAGATTCGGGAGAGTTATGGAAAAGATGTAAGTTGTTGGAATAAGTTGCTTGCTGCTGTGGCTCATTTACCAGGATAGGGGGAGGCGAGCAAATAGGTGTATAAAATTAAGCGCAGTAGAGAACGCTAAACTAGACGGACCTTCCGTCTGATGCGGCAAGGCTCTCCTCATATGCGGAGAAAGAAGAGAGCGGGTTTCTCTCTCTCATAATACAGGTACTAAATCCATTAAATCTGAAAGATAGGAGGTTGGGGGGATGATGCAGGACAGACAATAGGAAGAATCTCTTCAGCCCGTTTAAAACCACCGAATTCGCTGTCACAACATGAGAGAGATGGCCGCCAAACTGGGCTGCTTTAGAAAGGGGATTAGACCAACAAGGCGGCCAATGGCTAACCTCTCGTCGCTATTGCCGCCAGTCATCTGAATGACCGGCTTCTGGTGCATCTGCGAGTCGGGGAGAACGGGGCTGCGGCGGCGGGGCATCAGCTTCGCCATTGTGGGAGGCGGCGGGTGCAGGACTAGCCGGATCCAGCTGGGTCTCTCCTCCTCGCGCCTCCTTTTCCTGCCTCCCTCCCTCTTCCTGCGTCTTTTTGGGCGAAGCCGTCGGAGGCATCATCCGTCCCGCCCGCTGCCTGGGAGGGGTTACCCTGATGCCGCGAGGGTGGGAGGGGACGAGCGGACGGCGGAGGCTGCAAGCGGAGCCCCAGTAGCGCCGAGAGAGAGAGAGGGAGGAGGAGGAGAAGGAGGACGACGACGACGACGACGACTGGCGGTGGTTTGGGTCGGTCGGGGCCAGGGAGGCTGGCGCCTGTTGTCGCGCGTCCCGGCTCCGGGTGTCCCGCCAGCTGCCTGCTGGGGCTGAAGGGAGCAGCGAGCGGGGCAGGGAGGAGCAGCAGCAGCAGCAGCAGCGCGCGGGCGAGGAGCCGAGGGCGGGCGCGCGGGACGGGCAAGGAGGGGGTCGGGTCCGCTGCTCCTCCGCTCCTGCTGCATTGCAGCCTCCCTCCTCCTGCCGTCCGTCCCCTTCTCCCTCCTTCCCTCCCTCCCTCCCTCCGCGTCTGGCGCGCTGCACAATGGCGGCTCCCGGCCCCGGCTCTGGCTCCGGCGGCGGCGGGTCCCAGGCGGCGCACACGACAGTCAGCAGCATGCAGGGTAAGGGAAGCGCGCCTGGGGAGGAGCGGCGGCGGCGGCGGCGGCAGCCGGGCCCGAAGCGACGCCCGCGGAGCCTGCTGTAGGCCGCGCGGCGCTTCGCTCCCTTCCAACCCTCGCCGCCCACCACACGCTCCCCGCCTGGCTAGCTGGCTGGCTGCGGGGACGGGAGGGGGCGCCCGAGCTGGACCAGGCCTCGCCGGAGACCGAGAGGCCTCGGCCGCCTGGAGTTCTCCAGCGAAGCCGAGAAGAGCCACTTTCCCGTGTGGGGCTCCGCTGGGTGGGAGGGGGGTGTGGTGTGTAGGGAGGGAGACGAGGAAAGCGGGGCGGCGGCGGGGAAGCTTCGTGTGTGTGAACAGGCGCTTCTGGGCCGCAACACGGGTAGGGGTGCAGTTGGGGGTGGCGGCTATACGTGTGCATAGATGTACGTGTGAGGGGAAACTCGGGGCCTTCTATCTCTGCCCGGGGCATGTGGGCGGTTTCCGGGTGATGGGAGTAGCCACGGTTCGGGGACTCATCCCGGGGTGTAAGCCTGGGGAGGGTGTGGGGAGCCTAATCGCCAGGGCGTGATCACTACTGGGAAAACAGAATTAATAAGCAAAAAATACGAGGCTGACGTCTGGCTGACTAACGAAGGTATGTGTCGGAAGAACGCATGCGTTAAGGTCGGGGTAGAGGTAGCATGTCCATGTTGCTCATGTCTGCTCAGAAGTAAGTCCTGTTGAGTTCAAGGGGATTTACTTTCCGGTCCGTGTGTACAGGATTGCAGCCTAATTGCCCTTGGGGTGGGGTGGGGGGTGTAGGGGTAAACAAAAACTAAGTCTGTGTAGGTCCCATAGATTTAAAGCACCTCTCTAAGAGTCCTGAGAACCTTATAATTTAACCCCCACAGAGCTACAGTTCCCAGCACCTTCACGGATTACAGTCCCCATAAATTGGTGGCGTGTTTGTGTATGCTTTAAATGTATGATGTGTCTGGAGTCCATAAGTGGTTTTTCTGTAGGCATGCAGGGGGAAAGTGGTCTTGTGTGTTTTTTAGGAGTGCAATATGTAGGTAAATTAGATGTGAGGCCTTTCTGACATTGAAGTTAGGCGGTGGTTTTGGTTGAATGGGGAATGCATAACAGTGAGTGCTTCTCTACTCGAATAAAGGGAGTACTGTATCAGATTATTAGTAGGTGTGCTTGTAAATAAGGAGGATGCAGAGTGCATGAATGTGAGATGTGGATGGAAAGTGCAAGGTCCTTTTCTCAGCGTCGTTGCATATTGAGCAAGTGTTTTTGAGAAACAGATGTTGGCTTACCACCCCATAATTCTGATTATGCCCATAAGAAACCTCTCTGTGTACCTACTAAATTTTTGGAGAGGGGACACTTTGATACCTATGTATATTTAACAAAATAAAGCTGAAAGTATATCTTAATATTTACAATGTAAACTCAACACTGTTTTCCTAACAACTCCATTTAATACATCGAAGCTAAAATTAGTGGTATTTCCAGTGAAATGAGTATAGGATTAGGTTTGTACTGTTGAAATAATGAATGGTGCTGTGTGACACCAGTGATGCTGTTTTAACACTTAATAATCAGTTCTCTCCTCCCACAAATGTGTATGATCACTCACTGCAGTATCTTGGGACACGGTGTTCTCAGGATTGGCATATTGCTTTCGAACCAGCTAACCTGGAAAGCCTGTTACGTCCTGCAATGTACAGGATTTTGGACATAACTGATAGCAATTGAAGGGGCTCTCTAGTAGGAGGACTGTGAAAGACATCTGGAGAGCTGCTGCCAGTCAAAGTAGACAATACACAGAGGGACTGGTGGTCTGACTCAGTACAAGGCATCATCACCTGCTCATTATATGCTAGGAAGCTGCCCTTGCCACTTTTCAGCACCAGCCTATGTACATGCAGCAAAATGCTCATGTTCGCAATTGTCAAATACCTGTATGTTGTTTGCCTTCTATTTCATGTATAGAAGTGCTTCCCATATAGGGATTTTGTTGTGTTTGAAGTATCCTTCATAGATACATACAAACACCAGACTAGTAAATGTTGCTGAGCTTTACTGCTGAGTTGGCACTGGACACTAACCACCACCTTTTTTGGGTGTGTGTTACAAAGTGTTCAAGGTCAGTATCTGAGAAACTACATATATATTGTTATATATAACTGCAAAGCTATGTAGACTTCTCTCTTAAGCTGCATTAGATGGAGTAAAGTACAAGTATAGGGAGGTGTTTGCTTTTTATTTACACTCCAAGTGCTCTTGATTAGGTAATTATATGAGAGGCAGATTGTTCATTGTACAACTCTGATGGTCCTGTAAGCATCTCACAATTTTGTTGCAATATATTATTTTGTTGTTTAGCACCTGGAAGTGCAGTACCACACTCACTGAGTTTCTGTGGGTAACAAGAAAAATGTTTGCCAGATGCTGCTTGCATGTTTGGCCTAATACTTGGTTAGATCCTAAAGCAATTAGATCCTTAATAGCTCTTGTAGCAAGAGACTCCCCTTATTGGGCTGTTTCTTGTTTGCTTAGTGTTTTAGTTTGGGATCTCAAGAGTGTTGATTGGTATATAGCAGGCTATTTGGCTTTTCCTTTCCTTTTGTTTTTAGGCCGTTAAATACTCCTAGTATTATTCCCAATTAACATTCTGTGTTAACATGGGAAGGATAGGAACACACTCCATACTCTTGTAGTAGAAACGGTACTATGAGCACCTAGGAGTTAACTCTCAATAATACCCATGCATTTGGGTGCTCAAGTAAACCAGTATGTTATGATATTTGAATTTTGATTACTCACCTGGGTAGTCTTGCGGTAAAGAGTGTTTGTTCCTCTGCATATTGGAAAACAGCCCACATTGAAAGGCAGGACTTCAGGCTGGTTCCCACATTATGGTGTTAAGTAAGGGAAATGGCTTTCGAACCACTCTTTTGCCTAAAATATGCAGGATATCTATTTTTAACCCTTAACTTTGGTTGTTGCAAAGTAAAAGTTTATTGCAAGGGTTTGCTGAACCACTCTGTGAACATCACCTGTACTTGTGTCTTTCTAATGAGTAGCACATTTGAATCAAAATGAATGATCACAGCAATATGTTACAGGTGTACATTAATTACTTAATGTAAAATCACAATATGGGAGATGACCTTTAGTCTTGTATAGAACCAGTTCTCTTCACCAGGCTGCAGACTGCGCAGATGTACTGCTCTTTGAAGGAAAAAAACAGTTGGTTTTCTTCTATCCTGCCTTTCTGCCTGCTTTCAGTGTTAGAAATGTAAGTATTCATTCCTGGCAAGAAACTTAGCTGGTGATTTTATTGAAACTCATCACCTAATTCGTTCAAAGGCTATGATGAATGAAAACTAGGAGATTTTCATTATTAAATCAGTATGGAAAAATCTTGTATTTGTAATTCAGTACAGTGTATCTCTCCTCACTGAGATCTACTGAGTCCAGGTGATGTGCATAGGACTGCAGCCTAAATCATTGGTCTGAGTCAGCTTCATTTCTCTGCACTTGTTTTGTAAAAAAAAAGCTGTGTTCTCATTGCTGGTTATATAACCATCTTAAAATTGTTGATTTTGAATTGAATTGAAAGTGCCTACACTAGATTTCAAAAAAATATGATGTAGGGCCATAGATCATAATCTTTTCAGGTTTATAATCTTTTCAGGTTTTCCTTGTGCTTCTTTACTGAATTAAGAAATCCTAAACAACTCCTTTTTACTCAAAACTTGTATCAAACTGCATTAGAAGCAGGGCTTTTTTTCCAGCCAGAACTCCGTTCCGGCACCTCTCAGGTGGGTGCCATTGCTATTATAATATAACAAGGGAGGCGTTCATGGTGAGTTCCGGCACTTCTTTTTCTCGAAAAATAGCACTGATTAGAACTGTGAGCACGAGCAGAATTTGAGGAGTTGTGTTGTATACATAACCTTGTGAAAAACCTGTAGTTCTCTTTTCAACAAGGTATTAATAGACCAGTGGGCCTGTTTAGACCCCAGTTCATGTGTTGATACAGCAGTAAATAATGTGTAGCTCTCATGCACACAAGAGCTTCCTCATTTACCTGTGGCAGGGTGGCATCCCATTACATGCAAGGAGCTACCCATCACTAAGAGCTCCATATGAGCATTGGAGGTCCTGTGAGTCTTTAGATCAGAGCAGTGAATTGTAATTAAATGTCAGAAACAGTCCTGTAGATCTTTCTCAATCCATATGCCTAATTCAATTATAATAATAATAGATAAGTTCATATAAGTCATGCTGTGGAGTTGAGTTTGGCACTTCTCCTTCCCAAGATTTATTCAGATGGTAAGTGACATACTACAGCAGTATCTAGTTCAGTTCACTCGTACCATTTCCCCTGTGTCATTTCCCACAACATAGGTTTTTGTTGCATAAATGTTGTATAAGTGCCAGCATAGGAAGATTTCAGTCAAGAGCTCAAGTGGATGTTCTCCTCACATAGGAAAAGTAGACCTTTAGTGTTACCAGCTAAAAGCATGTGAAGAGTGCATTAGCTTCTTCTTGAAGTGAACTGTTGGAAATTGATTGATTTTGACCATATTTCTGTTCTGAATGAAATACTTTGTTATACCACTATATTGCTTCACTTGGAAAATGTTTTTGTGCATTCCAAGGTTAAAGAGAATTTAGTGCTCAGAAAGATAATGCAATACTAGGTGCGTGCCCCCCCCCCAAGACTCCATGGCTTGATTCTCATCCACAGTCTTATCAAGGGTACTTGAGATATATAATATTATATATTCCAGAAAGTCCCAACTGATTGAATGGGTGGTAAAATGGCAAATGCAGGTCAATGTGAACAAGAGTAAAGTGCTGCATGTCATGACGACAAATAGTAATATTAATATTAAACACATGTTCCCGGAGTCTGAGAACAGGACAGAGGCCTTGGGGTCGTAGTGGATAGCTCAATGATAATACAAAATCTAGCTATGATGGCTCCATAGTTGGAGGCAGTAATGCATCTGAATACCAGTTGCAGGAAACCATGGGGTGGTGTTGAAGGCTCTTCTGCTTGCCTCCTGCTTGTGAATTTCATTTGGCATCTGGTTGGGCATACTGTGACTAGGATGCCAGACTAGATGGGTCATTTTTCTGCTCCAGCAGGCTCTTCTTATGTTCTTAAATCTGCACGGGATTATAATTTGTAGGCAGGTTCTTCTGAAAGGCTCAGAATCATAACATGTTTCTAGACCTCATGCTTTTAGAAAATCTTGGAAACATGTAGGCATACCAGTTAAAGGCTTGAAAAACTTTATAATGAATTGGATGTTGTATTGGTTCCCATTAGTTAATGAATACACCCTCTTTGTTCTTGGACCATGCCATCTAATACCTATCTTTTTGCTACTATGTTTTTGTTTGTTGCTTGCTTCTGATGTTCCTTGTGCCCTCTATATTTACATCTGACAACTTTATTTCTTCATTTTAGGCCAAAACAAGTTTCTTCAGCCCATCCAAATTTTGAAGTTAACATAAAATAAAAATAATAAGACAGTTGCTCTCTATAATCTGTGTTTAGAATTCAGATGTGTCCTGTCCCAGAGGAAACTAGTTAGCAGAAACAAGCATTGCTCCCTTTACAGCCAAAAAGTTCTTGATTGTAATAACAGAATGGAACATTCTGAAAGGATGTCATCTACTTTACTGAGACCATCTTGGTTACTTTCCTATAGTCCTTTGCTTTTTAGCTGATTTGGCTAGCTTTTTTCTTTCTTGCCTGAGGCTCTTGCTGAGCTTAAGTACCATATCTTCTGGATTTGTTCATTCATGGTCCTTTTCTCTGACTCGAGAAAAGATGGCCAAACTTTAGAAAGTGTAGCTTTCAGTGCTGGATAGCAAATTATGTCAAATGTTAAGCTGTATGAGTAGGCTCAATGTGCTTCCAAGCTGTTGTCAAATGCCAGAGTAGATTCTTTCCTTTTGATTTGCATATGATTCCAAATCCCTTGTTTTCAACTTGCAACTGAATATTTGCATAGACTTGTTTTGGCTTCTTTCTTGGGCTAGTTATGGAAACTCAATCAGAACCAGCAACCAATTTTTTTAAAAACAACTTTTTAAACTAGGTAAATTTTACTTCAGAATATCTGGAGATTTTATCTGTTCCTGCATCTTATCAGAAAGGAACAAGTATGTTAGTCCTCTGTCCTAGAGTTTTCATTATTATTTTTTCCAGATTGCATATACTCAGTAACAGACATTGCTTGTACTTTTCAGTCAAATATCTAGGGGTGTTCCTTTTTTACTCCTATTCTTGGACAAGATGGTCACTCATTTATTCTGTTTCATGTGTAAAAGCATTGAATTTGGTGCAAATTTTCCTTCTGCTGGGCTGTGGTATTTGGTAGAAAAGCCAGCTCAAACCTTTTGGCAATGTCCAGTGAAGTTTTCACTAGCTCAGGGATTTCTGCTAGTGAAACAGAACTTATCCCTCTTCTCCCTGTGTGCCCCTCCCTGCAATCTCCCCAAATCCTCTTTGCAGGGTTGGGAGAATCCTCAGAACACATTAAGGGTGCAAAAGGGTGGGGATATTGGGGGAGAAGAGGGAGGGGAAGTTCCAGCCAGAAGTCCTTGCACTAGCAAAGGTACTTGATTAGATTCTGCTCTTTATTTCCAAATATGTTTGTGAGGTGCCTCAAAGAGTAGAGAAGGTGGCATTTGTATCTGTGTTTTTTTCTTTCTAGTTTCTAAGTTGAGCTGTATATGAATCTTACCGTAAAAGAGAAAGGTAATACCGTATATTTCTGTTTATAAGATGCCCCCATGTATAAGACTATTTTGGGGGACTCCAAATTAAGAAAACACCCCTCAGCACTATCCGTGTATAAGACGAGCCCCAATTTTAAACCTGATTTTTTGGTAAAAACAACCTAGTCTTATACACAGAAAAATACGGTATACTTGCAGAAAAACACCCAGTTTAGACAGACGAAGCTGACACTGTGTTAGAAGCTATCAGCAATGCCTTAATAAAACGTTCTCTGCTTATATCATACCAGATAGTTACTTCTTATCTTGGACAGAATGGCATCATTCACACATCAGGTGAAGTCCAAACAAACTATGATGTGAAGCCAAGATTTGTTCTTGGCTTCCTGGCCATGGTTTGCCTAAATGAAACAAATCACAGCTCCCAGTTCAGACAAAATACTAATGCAGGGATTGCAGTTTGTTGCTCCTGCTCGCCATAGGAGAGGAGCAAAGTGAAAGCAGTCTCTGTGTTCACAATAAACTATAGTTAATGTGCAAATTGGGCCATTACGTGTCAGATAGTAATGAAATATAGGTTGGCCAATCAGTATAAGTGATGACATGCTAAATGAAAGCTCCATGATTAAAGGCAAGTTTTATCTGATTCCTGGGGGGGGGGGGGCAGAGTGTGGCTATTACATTCATGTCTTGCCTGTGACTTACCTATGGTGTCTTGTTGGTCCCTACTAGAGACAGAATGCTGAACTAGGTACATCACTGGTTTGTTGGAGCAAGGTCATTATGTTGTACTCAATGATTATGGCTGAGCACAGAAGGCTGTCATTTTCACCATTCACATTTATATACCTGTGAATTTTCACGAGTGCAGCTAGTATAAACCTATCCTCTCAGTTGACCATTGGGCTTCAGCTAGTTGTGTATTGAAAGAAAGAAATGAATGCAGAGGGTCAAGTGCCCTATAGTTTCATGGATTACTATGCAGGCCTCAACAAGTCACTGTTTTCTCAGTTCCACTTCTGCAAGTGGCAAAATATATATATACTAGCATGTTACATTTAAAAAGTCATATGTGACTTCCAGTGTTTTGTGAATGCATTATCCACAATTTTGGGGCAAACATGAATCTTCATATTGGGCACAAAATGTAGCAACCTGAATTTCTCATGTCTTATTTAAAAATAGGATTATTATTTATGTTCAGAGAATGCTTAAGAGAAACCTCAGAAACCAGAGAACGACTCAACAGGATTTTCAGTGGGGAGGGATTGAAGTATTAGTACCTTGGATATGTACTTGCTCCTCCTTACAACTAGCAAAAGTGACATAAATTATGCAAAAAAGTAGGCAAATTGGGTTTATCTGCATTATTTAGACAAGCTGGAGAAACAACATCTGTCTGTCTCTAAAACTAAGTCAGATATAATTCTGCAGTGAATGGTGAAAACAGACAGTGATACTTGCACATGTACAGTATACCCAGAAATACAAATCTAATATTGGGAAGCCTTCATGATTTGTGTACTTATTTAACTTCGGAAAGTACATGTGGGAAACTTCCTAGCAAAATCACCATTTGTTCTTAACATTTTGTTTAAAGTTAATAACAAACTAATACTTAACCTCTGTAGCTGACCTGATCTGGACAGCCACCTGCTGATGCTTTACTGATGTTTTGGACAGTACTGTATAGTACAACTTTGACTTTTCCAAAAGGTATTAGATATTGACAAGAAAACAGGTTATTGGAGTACTGTCTTTGCAACTCAGGCAGTGATTTAACCTTTTACTTGGTGTTTGAGGGTGTTTTTTAAAAATGAACATGAAATGTGATTTTTAAAGGTTGTGCAAATATCTATTTTCCAGAAAATGAACTAGAACTTATCTTTTTTGCTTTAGGCTTTCAGATAAACTTCTGTGAAAAAGCACAAAGTAAGCTACATGTTTTATAGTATTCTGCTATTTTATTTTACTTTATTTTTATATCATTCTTGGTACTGGGAATGTGTCCACTGTTGATCTAACTAACCAGCCATGCATTAATACATGGGCAGAGCTTCCATTTTTCATCTTGCTACCCAAATCTAATTCTGTTGTTCTGTCAATAATTCTTTAGTATCTCTTTTACTTCTTGGATAGTAAACTAGAGGTCGCATAGATAGTTGTTCCTAAATTGTAATGAATGAAAGATTTAAGACTTTTATAAAATGAAGTGGAAATATAGATATTTGGGGTTTAATGGAGTCTAACCACTTAGTGAAAAAGTAATCATAGGAACTGAGAGGATTATTTCAGTGGGGGCCCAAGTCACCTTCTTGTTTCTGCTCTTGTTTTAAAGTTTGGCATGAACTGCTTTGCATTGGCCTTGGTAGTGTGACACAGTAAACCAAACTATGGCTCGCATTCACTTTGCTCCTGCCCAGTCAGTTTGGTATAGCAGTGATGCCAAAGTTTGGCTTAACAGGTCATCTGAAGGTGGGATTGTGCTTAAACTCTACACTCTTTATCTGTGATGTAGTCAAGAGCAAACCTTGGCTACAGACCATGATTAAGGAGGAGATAACTTAACCATAGATCAGTGTGTGGGTGATACACTAAGCCAACCTTGGCTTCATTGTTGTGCTGAGCTAAAATAATCAGGGATGATCAAAGGGGTTGCGTTCTCCCTGGGAGCTAGCATGTTTGTGGTAAGTCATGGTTTGGCTTAGTGTTACATGGGAATGCGACAACTGTCAAGCCATCAATCCAGTAGCGTAATGTCTAATCTGATTGGCACTGGCTCTCCCAAGATCTCATGGAACAGTCTTTCCCACTGCTACCTGAGATCATTTGAGTGGAGATGCCGAGCTTCTAACTTTTGTCATGCAAAGCTTGTCCTCTGCGACTGAATCAAGGTATTTTACTATGGGGTCTGGTTGTAATTTAAATGACCCAGTAGTGCTCTCTGTGTACCTTTGGAATGATAACTTTTGAAAACATGACCGGATACATCATTTTGAAACTGACGTCTCTATAAAAGTCAGGAAAAATTGTCAGTCACTACCACCCCGTGTTTGAATGATTAATGGAAGCTCTGCACAATTAATTTTTTCATTGTTTCATTCTCTTATGGCATTCATTTTTTTTAAATTGCAATGTTCATTATATCGTTATGATTGCCTGCCATGCTTTAGTGGGAACTTTATTGGAGAAAAAAACCCCAGCACTGCTAGCATTCCTCCCTGCCCCTTCTACTGGGTACACCTTGTATAGTTAAACACATCCGTCATGCATTCAGGCTGCATATATTTTTCATTTTTATTTGAAGCTAATGGATATGCATATTTAATTTTGAAATGATGAAATGCTTGTAAGATGACTATTGATGCTTAGTGATTTGCTGCCTAAGGGTTCTAAAGATGATCCCTAGTAGGAGGATGGTAATCAAGAAATGCAAAACAGTTTGTGCCCCAAATATCGCCACCAGCCATCTAGACGATCAGAAATGTAGTTTGCCTCCTATTCCGGTTCCCCTGGGAAATGCCATTTTGTAGTCAGTTTGTAATGCATTTTGGCAGCACTGTGAAGGTATATACCTAGAAGGGGGGAAACGACGACAAAGTAAACTGAAAAAAATCAAGCAGTTTCTGAGATACCTTGCATGGTGCTTTGGCGCCTTGTATTTTCCTGTCACAATGAAACATCTGTTGTTGTGTAGAATGCTGTTTTATTCTCTTGCGCCTCTTGCAGATAGTGCTGTCCCCATGGATTAGGAAGTGCTAGTTCTTAAAAGTGAGGGCCATAACAAAAATGAAGGTAATTTTTCAAACAAACAGATAGGAGCTGTGGGGGCTTCCAGATCAGGTCCATGGGGGCGAAGGGGAACTGTTTCTGCTGCGGCCCTGATCTAGATAAGAGGCCCCATAGCTACTACTGGTAACCACAGGAGGATGGGACCCAGGTTGAAACTAGGGCAGGGGTAGGCAACCTAAGGTCCGGGGCCCGGATGCGGCCCATTCGCCTTCTCAATCTGGCCCGCGGATGGTCCGGGAATCAGCGTGTTTTTACATGAGTAGAATGTGTTCTTTTATTTAAAATGCATCTCTGGGTTATTTGTGGGGCATAGGAATTCGTTCATCCCCCCCTCCCAAAAAAATATATAGTCCGGTCCACCACATGGTCTGAGGGACGGTGGACTGGCCCACTGCTGAAAAAGGTTGCTGACCCCTGCACTAGGGCTAAAGATTCCCTTCTCCTTCCTGTAGTTCCAATCCAGTTTTCAGGAGTAGGAGTCTTCGTTCCTATTTACTATTTAAAAGTGAAATGAAAACCATCCTTTCTGTTTTGTCCCTGAGTTGTGGTCCCTCCAAGCAAGATGCTTGTGTAAAACAAGAGTAATGCTTTAGCTTCTTTTTTCCTCTGGCTTCTTATGCTCTACCTATTGCTTGAATCTTTTGTCTTATGACTTCATTCTACAGTCACCACTTCGTGCCATTAAGGACTCCTGTTTTTTTTGGGGGGGGGGGTAAGCAGATGGCTTCTTAAAAGATTAATGAAGTTGTCTATAGCAGTATATTTCTAGCAGAAATAATAAATGGGGACTGAGTAACTTGGGCAGCTGTGAAGGTCACAGCAGAAAAAGTAGCATAAGTAGGTAGACCACAGATTATTTGCATATTTTTATTCATAATGAGCAAAGCTTATAAAATTTGCATAAACCTTGTGGCCGTCAAGTCATAGTTCTTAGACATTTCAAAACTCTCCATGCCTCTGTTAATGCAATTTGCAGGCACTCCCTTCCTAAATACCTTTAATTAGAAATCAGTTCAAGTGATTTAAGTGGAACATCATTTCATGTAAGTATGCTTTAGGGAACATGTTCTAAAACTGGTGATATTTGTAATAATTCTGGAGGTGGCTAACAGTTGACAGTGGTTTTAATCTTAAGGCTTAGAAATATGGTCTTTCCTTGCAAACAAATATTTCCTGTGGAAACAAATATTATCCTGGTTATTTGTATTTTATGCAGCTTTTATATCTTAAAACTAACTGCATTAAAGAGTTTTGAATCCCCAGAAGATTAGAACTGCAACACAATCTCTCAGATCAAGAGATAGTATTAAATTGCCCCAGTTGGGGTGTGTGTGTGAAAGAAATGGAAAGCTGTGAATGGGGCAGGATGATCAGCGATTTCCTACACAATGGAGGGTATGTTGGTGGTTCACTGGAGAAAGCATTTAGAATCAGTCCTGCCCTGACCACACTCATTTCTTTTCTCTGTGGACAGTATTCAACTAAATCTTGTGCTAGCATAAGGGAATTTCCCCTTGTTTCTTTCCCCCACATGCACCCCATGCCATCCCCAAATCCCTGAAGGATAGAGAAGAAACCCCAGAACAGATTTAGAGGGCATGCAAGTGGAAGATGGGGAGAACATTTCATTGCACAGGGTGAAATCCTTGTGCTGACCTTAGCACTATGCTTCACTTTAGCTCCACCTTAGCACTATGTTGAATACAGCTCCACACCTGCTAGATCAGTCAAGAACATAGCTCCCATTCCTGCAATCTTAAAAAATGTTATCCTAACCAGAGAGATTATCCCAATTTTTTCCCCATAACTAGTTTTGGCAGGAGGGTTACTTTCCATTCTCCTAAACATGTCAAAATTATTAACCCAATCTTTCCATCCATTCTTCCTTTCTGTAGTAGTTCTTTTCAAATGAGTTTCTAAAGAAGCAAACCTCTGGCATGTCCCTGGTTCACACATGATCTATAATGATGGTAGTGTCCTGGCTGGGTTTTTAAAAAACCTTTCTCCTGTCTACACACTTAAGTCTTCATTCAGCGAGAAGGTGACTATCTACAGAATTCTGGCAAACTCAAGAGACTCAGTGACTGATGAGTGCCATCTTCACTAAGGATGAGTTGTTAGGAATATGTTGCAAGAAGTATTTGGGGAGAGTACTACCAGAAATAACACACACAGAAGCCCTAGCAAATGGTACAATTAAGGCAATGTGAACACATGATGTGAACAATGCAGATGAGTGCACTAGCTCTGAAGTCACTTGTTCTTTCCAGGCTTCTAAAATGTGCATGTGTCTGCATATAAACAACCTTCCACACTTTATACATTTGCCTTCCATTTGCTGTAAGATGACTGAAACAGTGATGAAGGGAAGGGGTGGAGCAAGGAATGCTAGAATGCTCATTCTGCTTCACTCCCTATTATGCTTAAATTGACCGGACTTTAAAGCATACTTTGGACTAGAGAAGTAGTTTCTTCAGTTCCAAATTAGTAATGAGAGAAGAGCTAGAAGTTAAAATGTGAGACATAGGGACAAGACCTGGAAGGTGGGGATGGTTCTGTACATCCATCACAAATTAAGGAAGAGGCTTCTCCTATTTCATACTCCGTTCTGTCCTTTCCCCTTATTTGGAATCTCAAAAGGCAGACCAGGGCAGTGCCACTCAAAGTGGTGGTCCATGGATTTGTGCTTGTCTGCAAACCATCAGCTGCTGGTCCACAACAACTCCACCACAGCCCAAGTTGGGAGGGATGTTTCAGGGACCAAATATGGCACCAGTTCCTGGCACATCAGTGGGGTGCGAATTGCTGGTCCACCACAGCAGACAGTTTGAGAAACACTGGACTAGGGAATGCTTTCAGGACAGCTATTTTTCTGCTGTCTGAATACTTAGCTTTCAATACTACCCATGAAACAAATAATCAGAGCTTGTAAAGAATTTCTGTAAAGGGGAACAGTATAGTCTGGCATTACATTTAATATAGAGATAGTGTTTTTCATTGTGCCTTTTGGTTGAAGATCTTTAGGTTATACTACTGATATTTATTCCCAGCTCATCCATAACCAGGACAGCTACATGTACTATTTTTGTTAATCAATACGAGATTCTCTTAGCAAAATTCTTACACTGTGGTTTAAAAGAGGTCCTTCCTTCTCCTGCATAGCAAAGTGTTTTATTGAACTATGTGCTGCTTCACAACCCAACCCTCTAGAGTAGATTTTCTGTGGGAATGAAGGAAGGCTTGAATAAAATCACACGTCTCTTCTGCCTACTGGAGAATCCTCTGAGAAGAGCTACACTCACAGGATCTCTGGATTCAAGCTCTTTATCTTAGATCTATAATGCCTTATTTGTCTTTGTCATCACTAACTCGCATTTTGCACCACTGAAAACATTAACTCTTGGGAAGCACAAGAGGAATTGTCTGCTCAGCCCTAGAGTTGCCCTCCAAAGGGGCCAGGCAGCAGAATGTATTGATGTCCAAGTGGCATCCTTCTAAATTATTGGTCCTAAAGCTAAATTCTAAACAGAAAATTTGGGAATAGTATGTACAGAAGACAGGTATGAATATGGGTTGGTTGTGCACAGCCTTCTATCTAGTCTCTTGGCTGGACTGTCTTTTTATTGATTTAATACCACTAATCCCCATGTCTGCTGTTGGGAGGAGCAGAGATCAGAATGTAAATCAGTGCAGTTCCCATGTTGAATGTGAATATTGAGTACGTGTACTGCATCCAACAACCAGTAACCTACAACAAGGCCTTATTCTTCAAATGTGATCATTTTTGTTTGTTTGTTTCTCCCAATTTTTCCTGGAACAGAATACAATGATGGCATTCGTGTACCAGGTTCTGGTCTTGTAACAGCATCATTGTAGTTTCTGGGGAAGACAGAAAAGGCAACCCAACTCTGACCTGCAATAACGTTATCTGCACCAACCTGGTGCATAATGTGTGTATACAGAATCAAGGAACTGAACCCAACATTTATTTCATATGTACTGCTTAAATCTGTAGACACAGGCTAGGTCACAAAAATCAGGTTAGACTTTTAATAAAATAGGTATGGAGGTTTTTTGAGTGGGGTTTTTTTTTTTTAAGTAGAAGTTTTTTCTGTTCCAGGCATATCTAGAATTGCCTTCAATTAGATAGGCTTCCCAGCTTTTAAGAATTAATAGCCCAATGTTGCAGGTGTATATGAGTTAATCCTCTTGTTCTTGCAGTATCAGAAATAGAGCCTTCATCTTCATTTCCTTGTGAAGTCACTTGGGAGGTATGAGGCTCTGGTGGTGTCACACAACAGTGTGATGTCAACGAAAGCTAGCAGAAATTACCTAACTAGCTTTAGTGTCATATATCCATAGACTTGGGTTTATTAATTGGGTCTTGTGGGGTTCCTCTGATTTGGGCCTTTCTGGTATTATCTGAACCACTAAGTTGCTGATACCATCTTTCCTGTTAGCATGCAGAAAGCGGTGAGGAAGATGCACTCCTGCAGTTGCTTTTAATCTACTGTTTAGATATGTCAGTGTAGAGTGGTATGATTGAGGCTTTGTGGTAAGCCATATGCCTTGAGCTTGTGCAAATGAAAAGTTTGAATTAGCTGCTATATATGTGCGTATGCATGAGTGTATGAAAGAACATGAGGGTAACAGAAGAGCAATACAGCAAAAACAACTTGAGGTTAAAATGCATGCCATGTTGGTTTAGTTGAATTTCTTGCTTACGTTAGATACTGAGATGCAGGGCCCAGGTGCTTAAGACCATACTGTACAATCCTATACATGTTGACTCAGAAGTAATTCCCATTGAGTTCCGTAGGGTTTACTCCCAGGTAAGTGGTTATGGGATTGTAGGCTAAATCTAGCAGGCAGATTTCTGAAGTGTCCAGTTGATTACTCTCCTGGAAATAAATCCCATCAATTCACTTCCTTGTTAAAGTGTGTTGGTATTGATGTGTCATATGCCAATCATTCCTATGCATTGCAAGGGGTTTGAACTAGAGGATCCTCGTGGGTCACCCTGCAATTCTATAATTCTGTGATTGAATAACAGGAATGTTAATAAGCTGTTTTAAAAAACTTAGGTCAGTTCATTCATTCGCTAACAAAGGAAGTACATTATTTTTAGAAATACTCAAATTTTGCATCAGAATTTTAATTCTGTTATTGAGTTAGACAATTTAAATTCTTTTCCTCAGTGTGTTAAAATAGATCAAGTTTAATCCAAACATGATTTCCATAACCTGTCTGTCTGCACAAAACATTTATTATTGAAGTTTGCTAAGTGGAATCTGTGCTATGGTGCCTCATTAATCTCCTTTACTTCTTCTCAAACTGGGGCTTCCTGCTTCCTTGACATGAAGACTGTTGCTGTGAGGAGATAGGAGGTATGAAAAACCAGACAGTCAGTAAACGTGGGGTGGCCTCGGCACACTTCATTGCAGAATACATGATAGTAAAATGTTTGATAGGCTCAACTTTAAGTTCAACTGCAGCTTTAACTTGCCACTTGCTATAGTTGTGAGATACAGCAATGTATTTATGCCTAGGTAACTTGCACACATTTATAGATGCTGTATGTATTAATATGCCAGCAGATTATTCTTCTTTTTAAGCGATGAGTTCCCCATTCCCCATTGGCTACAAAAAAAGCACATGTACACTTGCTCTTTCAACACCTACTGGCATGTGCAAGTATGTCCTTACTCTCTTGCATTCACACATTCAGGCTTGCAGATACATGTGCATATGCCAGCATACTCCTATATGCGCACTGATCTACACATTCTTTCTCATGCCCAGAAATGTTTTCTCAGTTGCATGCAGACCTGCACATCTCCCTTCAGTAGGCAACAGTATTGGCTTGTTTTTGCTAGTTACGTTTGCTGGATTTTGTGACCCAGCTACATCACATAGTGGTAATTCAAGCTACAGTCAAGGCTGTATTCCTGCCCATTTTTATTGAACCTTGTACACATCCTATGCATGTTAGTGCTTCAGGATAATGAGGTGATATATTTTGACCATTGACCTAGCAATATTATCAAAAATATGAATACATGGGAACTATTTTGCGGCTAGCCACCAGCATTAAAGGAAGGGGTTCTAGTAGTATAATTGTAAAAACAAGGGCATTTGTAGACCAAAGAAGCTGTTTGTCAGATGCAGACTTGCTCAGCGGCTCAATTTGGTGTTAAGTGCAGAAGCCCTGTCCAATGACTAATCTATTGATATTGCAATATTAAATGTTCATTGTTTATGTGAAATGTTTCATGTAGGGAAGAATATGCTATTTTTTTGGTTCTGGTTTATTTTGGATGCTTTCAATACAGTAATACATGTTCTCTTGCCGACAAGAGTGTTTTTTGTGTGTTTGTTTATCTCTCAGGTAAGCGCAGAGCACTGAAGTTGAATTTTGCAAACCCACCTTTCAAATCCACAGCGCGATTTACTTTGAACCCTGGAGTTCCTTTTCAGAATCCACACATGTGAGTATAAAGCCAGAAATTCCACCAGATGGAACCATTTTGAAGTAGGAAGATAAAGCACTTTCCTTTGTCACACAAATTTTGTAGGCAGCTCAAAAGATAAAATTGTAGTCTGGACTGAGACGTAGGATGTTCTGTTTATGTAACATTTTCTCATGTATTTTTGGAACTTCAAATAAGCTGTTTTACCTAAAGGCTTAAAGCAAGACTACTCCTTTGAACTGTACAAAAAAAAAAAGTCCTGTCATTTGCTGGCAAGTCATCTCCATATGGCAGAGGTAGCTTACCTGTGGTCCTCCAGATATTATTGGACTACAAGTTCCCATCAGCCCCAGCGAGCGTGACCAAATGTAGCCCCACGCTGCCAACCACAGTTTAGCCACTCCTGCCTTACGGTTAATGTCATTCACGGACTGCATAAACCTATGCCTGCTGCTTTTCAAGTTTGCAAAGTTTTTATTCCTGTATTTGTTTTTAAGATATTTGTGTGAGACATCTTAGTTTTAAAATTGAGGGGGTTCTTTTTTTAGAAATCTAAGAGGTGGTGAGAAATTACTAGAACCCTGTAAGTCTCCAAGAAAGGTGTTAACGGACAGCCTTATATACAGGTTCAGTGTAAAGTGGAGTATCCAACAATTGGTTGTTTAATGCAGCAGAATGTCTCTTGAAATACAAGCCTTGTGTCCTCAGATCCACCAATCTGGACTGATGGGTGACTTCTCAGGCTGTCCAGTCAGCATCTCCTTTATATTCCCTTGTGAGGTTTTTGAAGTCCGGCAGAGTAAAAATCCTCAGAGCTTTGTGCCTGTCATTCCTCCAGTTGCTTGTACTTCCTTTGGACAATTCTGCCATGTATGTGTGTCTGTATGTTGCGGCTTTGTTCATATAGCTCAGAGCTTTCTATTTCCCATGAATATATCAGTTTCATTTCCTTATTAAGAAACTCTTCCTTGTTTTGATTCTAAAGCTATCCAAGTAATTATAGATGGACTTTGGAAAAGTATTCCTGTTACTTATAAGGTCAGTTCTGAAAACCAGAAGATGCAGCTATTTCAGTAGACATTCTTATAAGATGTCCAGTTTCTCATCCCAAAAGAAGAGAAGCAAGGTTCAGCCTGCAGAGTTCTGGCATCCAGCAGTACCACCATTTATAAAATGCCATATTAATTTAAGGACTTAGGACTTACTCCCCATATTAGAATATATAAGCTAGCTGGACACAATCTTTTCACAATAACCTCATCGGTCCTTTCTCTATGTAGTGGTTCTGCACAACTTTTGTCTTTCAACTTTTTCTCTTTGATAGATTTCACCTTCTTAAGACCTTTATTCTTAGTAAGTTAATTCATCACCTTCTAGTGACTTTCTTTAATAGTGATATTTTTCATTCAGTGGCTTTCTGAACTGGAATTTCTGTAGATAATAGCTGTTCTTTTCTGGCTGTTCTTCTTGCATCTAATAATAAAATCCCTAATTTCAGGCTCATCAGGCAGCTGGTGGTATTGCTTTGAACTTAAGACTATTTTGATAAAGTAGGTTGGGCAAGGGGAGAAATAAGTTTTTTCTGCAACAGCCAGCTTCCCAAATATTGTGTTGGGGGTTTTTCTAGACCACCCACTGTAGAGATAAATATATCTTACATTTGACACTGAACATCATCAATAATCTGTTTTGAGAATAAACTTGTTATGTAGTCTGTGAAAGGAAGCCTATTTCTATCATAAAAATTGTGTTGGGTAGTTCTTTTGAAATAGGAAAGGCTTGTTTTATCCATTTGTCCCCCTCACCTTTACAAACTCCTCATTTAGTATTTAGGCTGCAATCCTGTACCAGCTTACCTAGGAACAAGCCCCACTGAAGTCAGAGGGGCTTACTTCTGAGTAGTCTTGTCTAGCATTGCACTGCGAGTGTTCAGTGGTTAATTTTTTTATCATCTTATGTCTCAGATTTATGAAGGTTTTCTTAGGAGCTGGTATGTTAACAAGTAAGGATCATAACATCTAAAAAAAATCTCAAATTCTTTTTGAAAATCTTTTGCTAATGTGGGTTTTTCTAATATGTCATTCTTCTTCTAGACACCTTTTCTTGTGTTGGATATTTACTTTGTTACCTGTTATGGAAGTCCATATGTGCTATGAATGAGGCCATTTGTTGTTACTGGATTAAATCTTGATTTCCAGTCATTGTAGATAGTGTTTCATTAGTTGGTGGTTATTCTTCATTCTGTATAAAAGAGCAGCCTAAACATAACTGTGTTGATTAGATTTTGGGGATGTAGTTTGTCATCCCATTCATCTAGATGGGTAATGCTGAAATTTCAGAGAGGATATTTTCTCCTGTGGAGGCTAGGCATTTGGGCTCAGTTTTGAAGGCTTTATCCTATTTTTCTAAACGATTGAAAATGTTGGACAATTTGCTTGATCTTTGTGTCCTTAAAGCTAATGGCAGTCATTGGTTATACTGCTCCTTACCCACATTTAATTGCCCCTTAGGCATACTTTGATGGGTTCACAGGTTGTGTTCAGGGGCTTCAGTGATGGAATTTTCAGATAAGAAATTGCAGCTTTTATTACAGGCAGGTTGAGGAAAGGAATGTATCTTCTTTAAAGCTCTTCATTCCAAGATTTTCTCTGTCCAGAATTCAGCTGCCCCCCAAAAAACAGCTATGGAGGAGATTACCAAAACACATTGTTCAGGTGAAAAGTGGTTTCAGAAGGGGATAAATATACTTGGTGATAAGTATCAGTGTGTGCTTGCGGGCTTCTCTGTTTATAAGGAAGAATGGTTTTAGCATAATGTTAGCTTTCTTTCTGTAGAATTTGTGGTTGGCTACTTTATTCAAGGTGAAGCTGCCTGGTTTGTCCTGCAGCTATATGTAAATTAGGCATAAAGCTTTGCGGAAAACTGCTGCCAGTGTGCCCACCACCAGGTTAGAGTTTATTCACACTTTATTGCACCGTCCTGTGCCTTCTCCTGTCACCTTGGCTAGATAAGGAGCAGAGTTCTTTATGTGTGTTCTAAAAGTTACTTTATGTGCTAACATTGTGGTTAAAATGATGTTACATACATGTAATTGTAATATGTCTGTATTGGTCCTATAATTTTAACTTGATAAATTTAAGACTAGTTACTCTGACTTGATGTTTTTATGGTGTGTCTAGGTCCTTGCCAAAGCTTGAATTAAATCTCCTGAATTAGCAGTTACCTCATATGCCACATGTATATAAAGGCAACAACTTACTTGCGCATGTTTGTGCACATGCACATCAAATTGACCTGGAAGTGGCTGGAAAAGGAGGCATAATGGGGCAGAGTGGGCTTATGTGTGCTCCACCATCGTGCACAGTAACCTGGCACGCAACCCTCACACAAATCGAGGGTTGCCTGTAATTCTTTCTTCTGTGTAGTATAGATTGATAGAGATTCTCATTTTGTGTTTTGTAAACAGTCTAGTACTTCATTTTCATAGTTTCACCATAGAATAGCAACATAGCAACAACTTCCACAGTGGGAAGGTTCACCTGAGTCCTATGATAGATCAGTATTGTTACAACTCGCTCTTCCATTTCCCCTTCCTTTTTTTCTACCTCTGGCTTGGCTTGGGTTCTTCTGATTTGGATGGATTAGGGTCAAATTTTTCCCTACATTGATTGTAGATTATTCTGAAAGTTTGTAGAGGTGGTAGATATACAGTCTTCCATGCACATGAGTCTGTTGCTTAATTCTAGGTAAACTATACAGTAAGATACAGAATGCACAATAACATCTGTAGACCCTAGGGGCTGTTCTGGTACTGTGGTGATTTACATTTGACTCACAACTGTTGCAGCCCTGGTTGGGTATTTATATCATCTATGGAGCCCTGTTAATGAGTCCTGGAGGCTGCTATAGTGAACCACGTTGAGACTAGAAATATTTCATGTTCCTTGGTGCTTTGCTCCCATTTTGTAAAAGATCAGACATAAGAGTTTCCGCTTAACAAAAGGCACAACTGGGAGATACAACACTTTGCCAGAACAGCAGCAGGTATGCTTCTTCCCTGATGCAGTGCAGCTGTATTTGTTGTACAGTGGCTGCAGAGAGTGAGTGGGGAAAGCATGTACATACATGGCTTTCTTGAAAGTAAAAGGCCAGGTAAGAGTTTTTTCCAAGCTGGTTCTGCCCTGTTTACTGAGGTTTAGCTGCTTCAGCTAAAGCAGATTGGTAAGCTCTGGCATTCATTGGGGTGGAATCTACACACAGGTTAAAAACGTTGTGAAAATGCTTTTTCTAAAATCGTTTTGAAAAATGCATGGAATTTGCTATAGCTCACAGTTGGCATCTAGTGTCACAATTGTATATTGCACTTTACAACACATTCAAAACATTTTGTTTGCAGCTGTATAGCTAAGTCCTCCAGATCTCTAGATTGTATTTGTTTGCAAGAAGTGAGATACGAACAGATACTTTCAAGCTGACCATCACCTTGTTACATTTCATCAGAAAGAATTCTGCTTAATTCGTGAACCCCAATAGTTCACACTTCCTGCTAAGTCTTTTACACGGCACTTTTCTTGCTATACACTATAAAACTGACAGCATTGAGGGGAAGTGAATATGGCTGGAGAGCTCGAAAGGGGTTTGCAAGTGATCCAGATCAACATCTTTACTACGTTCATAAGTCATTAGTTTCTCTTTGAATACAGAATTGTTGAGGCCATCCAGGTTACATAGATGAATTGCATGTAGAGGAATAAGTTACTGCAGTTGGAGCATGGCTTCCTAAGATAGGCACTAAGATCCAAAGTGCACACTTCAACTTGATGAAGTTGAACCAAAGTTCTTGATTCTGAAGGCTGCAGCATGGACAGATTCTCAAATGGATGGCATTGCGTTAAATCTTCAGGTCTTAAAAAAACAAAATAAAATCAGAGCAAGGGAGATTTGGCCGTAATTAAATCATTTCTGCTGGAACATGACTTTAATCCCGAGGTACCTAATGATTCTGTGCATCTAGAATAGAAGAGGAAGTACTAGACTGGCATGTTCCCCCTAAGCTTTCTTCTTCAGAGTACCTTTGTTGAACAGCCCCAGAATATTTTAAAACTCTAGCTGGAGAACTGCCCCCCATGTCCTTTTCATGCAGCTTCAAACTTCCCCTCAAGGGTTGGGGCAGGCACCTTCCAACTCAGGTTTTTCTTTTTCCTTGACGAAGGTTCAGGATTTAGAAAAGTAAAATCTATGCAGAGAGAATTAATTCCAGTACATTTTTTTTGGACAAGAATTATAGAATTATTATATTTGAGTAAAGACTGTCTCCATGCCAACCATTACAGTTTGCTATATTTCACAATAGAGATCGCCAGAATGATTATCAGATATGGTGAGCTCATCTCCACTGTCTTAGACAAGGTTCCTTATCATTTTACTCTTCCGAAGGATGCTTTCATATACACATTGCTTTAGGAACAGTGGTACAACCCTCGCAGTTGCCTAAGGCATTATTTATCCTGTGTATCTCACCTTAGATCCTTGAAGAAGATGCCTTAAGGACTTCGTTTCTTCTCTTTTTTGAATTTCTAGGAAGGGTCATTGTATCCACCCCCCCCATTCCTATTGGAAAGATCAGAATAATTTACTTTCTCTCTTCTTACTTGTGAGCCTCTGGTTGGATTTTCCTTTTTTGTGGGGGGCGGGAATCCTAAGAAGCAGATCAGAGAAGCATCATGGCAGATCTCTGTGTCCCCCTCTCTGTCTCTCCTTAATTAGCAGAGGACTCAAGGAGATTTTGATGCATCCCTTTTCCTAACAGTCTTGACCGTTGGTTTTTATGTATGTAAACATACTGAATCTTCCTCCCCTGTTTGTCCTGCCCCTGCAAAGGGGTAGGTTTAGTTAGTGTTAGAAGAGGAGATTTCTTACCTGGAAATACTTGTGAGAGATTCGGATCCAGAAACTTCCTTGTTCCTCACACAATCACAGAGTGGACAGTGAAAGCTAGCTTCTAGCTCTTCCAGTTTCTTAGGGAAGAATTCAGTTCCCTCCAATCTAAATAAGTAGGGTAATAGTTACTTCTCCTGATTGGTGGATCCAAGACACAAGCACTAGTTTTCAGGTAAGAAATTTACCTTTATCAAAACAATATGATGAAGCAATGTAGTGGTAAACAATGTAGTAAATTGTGACAAAGAAGGTCAGTGGCACTAATTAGTTGATTTTAGCTAGCAATTTTATTGCAGGTATGTAGTTCATAGGACAAAAGGAAATACTGCATCTGAAATTAAGGCTGGCATGCTATTCCTAAATGGTCTTGCTTGGAGGTAAGCCCCATTTATTTCCGAGGGATTTACTCTCAAGTAAGGTGGCAGCGGATTATAGCCTTCCATGGCTTTCATGCATTAGTATTAAAAAGGCTTTAAATGAACTGCCACACACTTTGCTTTTTTTCCTTTTTCCAAAAAGAGAGGTATAGACTAGCCCTTAACAAGGAACTGAAATGTGCTCATTTTGTATATAAAAGGCAGTCTGTCTTTTCAGTTACTATGTGTGTATGTGTTATTGTGTCATGTGATAACAGCACTGTGTTTTCCTGTCATTTTTACAACTCTTTCCTGGCTGAAGTGATACACAAGCAACAATGGGTAGTAATCACATTGCCCCGTTCACTTTCAAAAGGAGAGAAGCGGAGATGATCGTGAAACTTTCCAGCAGGCTACAGTAAGCGTAACTGTCTGTTAGCCCCATTGTCAGATATTTTCATAACAGAAAAAGCAAAAGAAAGAAAAAGGCATGAACACCAATATAGATCCTTGCAGAAATTTGTCATATTATGAGTGAATTAATATATATATATTTAAATTAATTATTAAATACTTTCAACATATATTTCATTATTATTGTTTAAAGCTTATTGCTGCATTCGTATTAGCAATTCCCAATGTTCTGTCCCAGCTGACTGTCATTGGCTCTAGAAAGACAGTGTATTTTTTTAAAAGAGTACTGGTATTCAGAGGGTAACGCAGTGTTAGTTTACAAAAATCTCTCCTTTTAAAACCATAAATATTTAATTCTCAAGCATGGTTGACCATAATGGATGGAGTTGATGCAGGTGTTATAAGGTTGTTGCATATTGCCTCCAAAAAGCCTTCACTGATAGAACAGCTCTAAAACCTGTGAATCAAGTTGTCTTTTGTGAAGTATTATTTCATTTTTGTAGCTGCCATACTTCCAACACCTATTGATCTGTAAAACAGCCCCCCCCCAACAATTAATGGACCAGTGAAAATGAAACGTATGCTTTTGGTGAAGTAAGCCTGAGGCACAATTGAGGTAGAATCTACACACTTATAAAAACCGTTCTGGAAACGCTTTTTTAAAAGTGTTTTTTTAAAAAATACATTGAATTTTCCATAAGGCTCACCATCACCAACTAGTGTCACATTGTATATTGCACTTAAAACACACTTAAAATGTTTTATTTGCAGCTGTATAGATGAGTCGCAAGGCAACTGAAGAGTTGCCGTCCATTGCACGGGTGTTAGATTTTGTTCTGAATCTTCTTAATTCATAAGTAATTCATATTGGCTTTGAGTACTTCTAAAACATTTTAACATAACATTATAGCGAGTCGTGGAGGATACGGAAACATTCTGAGAAAATCAAGTATTTTCATCAATTTGGCGCAGTTCATCAGGTCCAAATTTCTGAGTCAGGCAATGCAGTACATTTCTGGGTAACTAAAATGGTGTGACCTTAAAGCTACTCGCCCAAACAATGCAAATAACTGTGCTAGTTCCATGTTTACCCTTCCAGGAGAATAAAGAGTCTTCTCTAAGGTCCCCTGCCTCATACTCACTGACAAGAAATAGTTAAACTTGTAATTTAGGAAATTAAACCAATCCTCATATAAAGGAAATTGTATTTTTATACCATATTTTAGATCGGACTTAAAACTCCATAAAAAGTTATAATAAGAGAATCTATTTCCTTAAAATATTTTTTGCTGAATGTGAAATTGTAACTTAGTGGTTTGGGGTAGCAGACTGCAGGCCTCTGGGGACTACTTTGTTATTTTCCTTAGACCCCATGAACTGGAGACAGGTATAAAAGACATAAACTTATAATTGAAGTGTGTTAAGCCCAGGAATTTGCCTTTAAGTTTTGGAACTGAAAAGAGCCTCTAGTGCTTCCTTACAAAAATATACTTTGTCATACATCATTCCCCGCCCCCCAGCTTGGTTTCCACAGGGATCATTTTGTTGCAACAGTTGCAACAGTTGAAAGCCAGTCTTCGTCAATCTACTTCACATCACCCAGGGATCTGTCAGTAGATTCCAATTTAACTACTCTGCTATCCCAAACAGATTATTGGACTCATCATGTTCAAATCACTGATTTTGTTATGTCATCATATATATATATATATATATATATATATATATATATATATATGGAATCAGGCACATCACTGGCTCTGCTCCCTGGGCATCCATGCATAAGATTATTCTCTGCAGAGATTGGGGTCTCATGCCATGACTATGATGCTTTGCCTTGAAAAGTGGCAATGCTTACAGGATGCGTTTACATCGTTTGATATATTTCTTTGTTGTGATGAAGAGGGACAGGCAATTTTGTCCCAAAGCTTTTCTGCTTCAGTTTTTAGGCATCTGCAGCAGTATGGATGTCATTTACCAGCACATCTGTAATACCTCTTGTGCCAGTGCTGGAAAATCTGGGCAAAGCAAACAAGAATGATCAAGCAGGATTCAAGAGTGCATATTGTCTTGCCAGGGCAGCAATATTACTAGATGCCTTGCCTCTTAGGAAAGAAATACTGTCTCTGATTGTTGGCTGTTGATGGTCTCACTCCTGTGAAATTATTTCTGTGTCCTTTCAGTTGCTGGTAGTTCGTTCATTTTTTTTTTGTCATACTGTAAAATGTGGCAAATGATTTTACTAGCGTAAGCACTTACAGGTGTTGCAATAATGGCTTTCAAGCTCCATAGCACTCCTCCTCATGGTAAATCTGCCCCCTTAGCATGAAGGCCTTTTAAAATGTTCTTTTGCCATAGATTTGACTAATTGTTCCATTGTCTGTTGCAAAGTGTACTGTTATAACCACAGCACGTACACTTATTTTCTGTAGACCTGGAAAGAATTAAAACTGGTTTCTTTTGTTAATCTATAAATTCTGAGAACTGTTGTAGTGAGAATTGCCCTCCATCCAGTTGGCTTTCCAAACCCTTAAGAGCAAGGTAGTGCTATGTTATCTTCCTGTACTAGAATATTGCTTTTTAGCCTTGCAGTGTGCTGCTGTTAAGGTTTTACTACTCCGCAGAGATCCTGGGCTCATAGATCTCTCATTCACAAGGACCCCTTCTACATAATGCCCTGATTGGTGACAATCAGGAAGCATTAACGTATGATATTTTTGATAAGGGGATTTAGAGCTATTGTGGTATTACCATAAAAACAGCTCTTTCCCCCAGTACTATTAGTCTGTGTGGAACAGTAGTGATCAGAACTGGGATCCCACGGGCAATGTGTGATTGGCAACACTGATCACCTGCAGGTGCATTTGTACAGAAGTCCTCTGTGCATAATTGCCCTGTCAGTATTTCTTATTGAGTCACAGTTTGTTAAAGCTTTATCATCCTTGGAACAAGAATGCTAAAGTTTGGGGTTTTAGCTGGAGCTGTATACCTGTCCCAAACCTTTGAGTTCTGTTTCAGCAGCTGTCTAGCAACTTGTATGCCTTCTAGATTGGCCTTATTAACTAGCATATGGTTCTCATTCTACAAGAAACTGAGGTATATCCTTGTAAATTCCCCAAATCTGATGGCTTACTCTAGCAGAAGGTAAGATGGAAAAAATGAAATACTCCCCTCCAGAGAGTCAGAAACGTTAAAAACAATAAAACAAACAGGCAATATGCCTATAGAAAAAGAACGGTCTGCTGTGAACCAGCAGCTGCACTAATCAACTAATTTTGTCTGAATTAGGTTTAAATTCCTTTAGCTCCATGCAATGCATTACCAGCCTCAGTCACTGATTCTGTTAGGACTGAAATGGAAATGAGAGATGGGAGAGGTGTTCAGGTTCTTGTCTGAACATGTAAGCACCAAATTGTGTAGGGATTCTGGGTCCAGTGTACAAGCCCTGCCCCCAACTTCATCATGCACACTTCCCTCATTCAGTCCCTGACCTTCTCTTGTGTAGGGAAGGTCTGTGTAGGAATTCTCCTCATGTGAATGCAAGTACAACTCTCTTCGTGATCAATCATGTACAAGTGAATGTGGGTAGAATTCCTATAGAAGATGGGAAGGTTTGGAGACTGAGCAGGGAAGAGACGTGTGCAGTGACATTGAGGGTCAAGCTTGCATGCATGCTTCTGTCCCTCTACGTGGTTTGGTACTTTTGTACTCATGCCTATACACAGTTGGAGTTGGGTGTTATCAACTCCTGATGACATAGCACTCCAAAAACACTGAATAATCTTGTGCAGTGGTTTCTCGTAGATGTCAGACACCATGAGGCACAGAATTGAACTTTTCTCCCTTGTTGGATATTCTTCAGTAATGTTAATTTAAATTTGATATGTATATTTTAAACACTGTTGTGCACCACCCTAAAATGATGTTAAGAGTGGTACAGAAATGTGTTGTATATATATTAAGCTCTGCTTTCCTGCAGCTTTCCTAGCAAAAGGACAGTACATATTGAAAATGAGGATTTGTTCTGGTGTTACTTAAATACAGTAACCTTAAATGGATTTGTGTTGATGTGTAGTGACATTGACTTAAACCTTCGCTGTGGACAGAACCCTGATTTACTTTTGTATGCTTTGGTTTATAATTGTATTTTGAGTGCTACTATGGCTTCTCTCTCCTTTCTCCTCCTTATCAAAACCAAAAGCTTCTGGTAGCTAAATTAATTTCTTAGTATTTAAATTTTAATATTTGGTTGTATGAAAAGGAAAATGGAAGTAGTTTGCACACACAACTAAATTAGGCAGATCTTCTAAGCATCCAAATGATCCTTTCACCTAGGTATCTGAAGGGTTGATTAATGATAGAATCAGAAACGGTATCTGCCTTTGACTTTAAGATAAAAATATTGGAATTCCACGGAAACCTGTTAGATATTGTTTTATTTATTACTTAACCTAGAGGGAGGCGGGATCCTAGCTGAGCAGCTCAGGCTTGTGACAGTTTGGCCACATCTATCCCAAGGTTATCAGGGTGGGGACAAGCCATTTGAATTCTTTGACATGTCACTGATGTTCGAGTCCTGGGAATCTTGTCTTAGCAAGATGGTGAGCTATGCTCTTGTTACATGTGTGCTATTTTGGGGTATTTAAGTAACTAGCCATAATGCGCCCCCCAAAAAATTAGTCATACTATGATGATGTCAATATTATTTGTATGAATTTTCAGTATCCTAGGAGTAGCAGACTTAGGGAGCAGTGTATCTTTTTGTAAACAGGTTCTGGATGTTCAGCCTTGTAGCTGCAGAAGACAATTAGCAGGACATCAGTTTACTTTTTTGTAGGATCTGGGGGTGTCTGTTTCCCTATAGGTTGTTTTTTCTCAGATTTATTTAAAAGCACGAGTATTTCATATTACCAGTATCCCGCAATGTGCTAGAAGATTGGGAGCAATTAATGCCCAACACCTGTGTAATGTGATTTCTAAGACAAATTGCTTTATCTTTAGCAGGTGCAAATGGCAAAGCTTACAATTGAATTTCTATTTATTCTTTTTTGTTTCAGCTTCTCTCAGCTTCTAAATTCTTTTCTTTTCCTTTTTCATTCATTAACATTTTGTAGAAAGGTCTTGTAGGTGGTTTATTTATGACACAGACAGGAATTCAGAGATGCTGATAGATTATTTTTTTGCTCGGTATTATGCTGCCTCTATATTTATCTTGTATAGCTGAATCTATATTAAAGATGACATACCAAGATCAGGGGATGATGGAGAAAGGGAGAGAGATACTTCATCATCTTCAGAAATTGGTGTTCTTACGTAATGCCAAGCCTTTGTATTGCACCGTTCTGTATTTCCTCTTTTGTGGCAAACTGCAGTTGTAAGCCATGATCAAACCATGGTTTGCATTTCAGATTGCAGACAAACTTTGGTTTGCACAAACTATGTTTTTGCCTATTTGGATGTAACTGCAAACTGGTTTGCCACAAAAGAGGATGTGTAACAGTGTGCAAGGGGAGGAAGGTGTGTACATGCCCAAGGCTCTGTTTGAATTGAGCCAGTGTCTAGGAACTAAAAAGCCTTAGATCAAGCCTTTTTGCTATCTAATATTCTTTCATTGGTTTTAGAGGGTCTTTCTTGAATTCATGTTTGGACTTATTCCAAAACTAGTATTGCAGTGCTTTTGTTGAGTTTGCTAAGTAATTTGATTAATTTTCCATAATTTTACATGAGTGATTACTTCTGAAGTATTCTCTGCTCTTACCATAATCACAGTTTGTGATAAATGTACAAATTTCCACATTAAATTTTCAGCTATCAGGTTTGACAAGTTCCTTGGTTCAGGGCTGAGAGGAAGGGCTTTAAAACTATGAAGCACTTCTAAAATTGCAGCTGAGGAGCCCAGAGTTTAACAGTCCAATCCTAAACATGCTTAATAATAATAATAATCCTACTGAATTCTTTGAGACCTTCCTCTTACAAAGTAAGCTTCATTTTCAAACATTTGACAGTGATGGGTAGAAGATACTGGAGACTTTCACATTTGTCTTGAGATGAACACTGTTCATATTGGAAGACAAAAATAGAAAAACTGTATTTCTTCATGCAGAACCACTTGTCAGCAAGAAAAGAAACCTAACACAGCTGTGGAAGTCTGTTCGACCCAATGTAAAAAATATCCTTTATTACTGACGCAAAATTCTGCACACTTCTTCTAGCCTTAAAATATGCACCAGCGGCTTTGTGGCTTTTTGACTAATCTTCTTTTACTTCAAAAATACACTGACAGAATATTGGCTCTGCATGTATTTTTGGAGTTAACATGATCCCTTCATTTTTTCTGTTTTCTATTAATATTTATAAACCTTTCTCGGAAACCCAACAGCCACAGGTATGGTGTTTTCTTTATGGTGTTATCAATGCAGGCAATAAAAGGAGAAAGACAATCACCAGCCTAAACTTAACTCTAGAAGAATGTAGTTGCTTTATGTTACGTAGCATAACTAATATTATCCTTCTGCATTTCATAGGAATATAATACAGTTTTATGCAGGAATTTATAAACAACCACAGAAATAGACATACAGTTATTGTAATATAAGAGACAGATGGTCTTGATTAATAGCTAAAAAAATCTAGTTGCTTTAGGTGCAATTGTTATAGTATCCTGCCCTGTTACCTCCATCTAGATTAGATCCTTCATGGAAAGTATATTATTGCATTAGTTTTATGTTCACTACTCTGTATAAATGCATTTAATCAGTGCTGTAAGAGAGATAAAGTTTTCAATTGATATAAAATGTGGCAAAATTCCTTCCCAATTTTTTTTTGGCAGAGAGAGACTGAGAACACACAGCATTGAATCATCAGGAAAATTGAAGATTTCCCCTGAACAACATTGGGATTTTACTGCGGAGGACTTGAAAGATCTTGGAGAAATTGGACGAGGCGCTTATGGTTCTGTCAACAAAATGGTCCACAAACCAAGTGGGCAAATTATGGCTGTTAAAGTAGGTGATGCCCGTAATTATTCTTGTACTTTCCAACTGCAGGGGCAATATATAGTGGATAATTTAATATCCATCCATCTTGCGCTCAGCAGTTGTTTGCTTTCCCCCGCTATCTGTATATTTTGCCTTGTAGTTTAGTGTTATTAAATACTTAACTGGTTTGTAAAATTATGGGTTATAAAATTTAAGGAGAACATCTGTCAGTTTACCAGCTGCACGCGTTGCTGCACTTAGTAGAAAAACACTCCCGGCAGCCAGCCATAAATTCCTTTCTTTATTTTCTTCAGACAAGATTACGTGCCGAATAAACAAAGCGACCCGTCTCTCATGACGCGTTGCTCTAACTACTTTCTCTTTTCCCTCTCCCTCGAGACCAACAGAGCCAACGGCTCAGCCCCTTCCGTTTTCCCCTGTGACGTGGATCCCCTTCTCTCTGAAGCACCCTTTCCTCCCCAGACTCACTATCCTCTTCTCTGTCTTCTGAGGAGGACTCAGTACTGATCAGTGGGGATCGTTCCCTGTACCCTCTAATTCTTTCTTCCCTCGCTGCCTGCAGTTCCCTGACAACATCTAATATACGTAAGCTTCTTTTTAACACAAACGCTGTATATATACTGAGACCCTTTATCTCTAGGTTCCTGGTTTTAAATCCAGCTCAGGTTTATTATTCTTAAATGCGGTTTTGCAGTGGACAGGTCAGGGTCCTTTGTGAAACAAAGCTAGTTGCCTTTCTACAGTAGTTTTCATTTTTCCTACTTATCTACTTGCACCAGTGTGTTTTCAAACTGCTAGGTTGGCAGGAGCCTCGGACAAAGCAACAGGAGCTCACCCCATCATGTGGATTCGAACTGCCGACCTTCCATTCGGCAAGCCCAAGAGGCACAGTGGTTTAGACCACAGCGCCACCTGCGTCCCACTCATTTCTTGTAATACTCTTTTAACAACACTGGGCTATAAAATAACTTGAAGTGAAGGCAGAATTGAGCCCTGTACTCAGTCCAGTTATCAGCAAATATACTGGCATGTTTCATAACATGTAGGCCACTAGTCATCAAGTATAATAGGAGTAGAAGAGGGCGTGACCAGTATGCTTTATGGAATATTAAATGTTCTTTACCCTGCTTTTTCCAGCATCTGTGTCTGTGAGCTACATAAGTGACTTCTGGCCTACAGGGAATCCATTCTGTCTTGTTCCCTCCTCTCCCTGAATTTGTAGGGTGGCACATGCCATATTTTTTTCTGTGTAGCCCTGCCTCTGCTGAGTCCTGTTGAGGGTCAATATTTGGGTTTTCCATAGCAACAAATTAAGGTTTGTTACCAAATAAATAGGTTGGTACCAACAAGGAGTTGCTTGTGTATGCTGCAGTACAGCACACATAATATGAATGCAGAGGTGGACATTTGTAAACACAATGGACAGGCTACCTGAGAGACACATCACATTGCATCTCCCTGATACATCTTTAGTGGGTCCTTGGAACATTTAAGGATTCACATAACTTCCACGTTGACCTCAGCAACTGTCATACATTTATCTGTATGATAGACACAATTGCCATATTCAAACTTTGCTATTATGGTGATGTTTAATCCATTCCCATGTATTCAGTAATAAATACTAGATAATAATAAATTATGGGAGGAATTCAGCATTCCTCTATTATAATGATTCTCTCAGCTTGCCATACAGGACGATCTCCTCCCTGCCCCCAGGGATGCTTTTCTGGAGGTTCCCACAATCACTGGAACCAGTTTGATCTTCCCAGGATCACTCCACCTTGATTTGTGCTCAGCTTGTGTTTTCTGTGGGAAGTCTTGATAATAGGTGGCTGTTGTCAAAATGATGCTGGAAAAAGATTCTATATAGATGGCCAGTAAAAGAAAAGTAAAAGAAAAGAAATAATTCTAAAATTCCATAGACAGAATTCTACAGAAAACAGGAAGGTCAGGCAGATACCAGCAGCCACTGAAGAAAGGGAAATATGGTAAAGAAATATTAGGAGAGGAATTCCGGAGAAGAAAATGGGAGCAAAGTCAGAAAACTCTGGAGATAAACTGTGTTTTTGCAGGGCTCTTGAAATCAAGGAGAGCACAATGGCAAGTGCTTTGCATATTTGGTCATGGGATTCCTTGGGAATACAAAGATTGGATAATGTATTGTATACAAAGGCTAGGAATAGTTCCAAGCTGAAGGGAATTGTGAAGGTTAGAGGGCATTGGCCTATATGCAGTTTAGGTATTGCCCAGAGAGTTAAGAAACACTGGAAAAAGGAAAAACAGATGGAGTGTGTTATATTTGCAGTTGTGTTTTAGAGTTCCCATTTCATCTTCTGTATAACAGGCAGTTCTTTACTTGGATCATTCTGTTCTGCCCATCACTTCCTGGGCAAACAGTTGAGCTGCTTACTATTTGTACTCTGGAATGTGTAATGGCTTTACAGCTGTAGAATAATTGTGCCCAGAAGAATTGTATAGTGTCTCCAGAACAAAGCAGAACCGTCCCATGTCTGCTATTATAACTTTCTCAAGTGGCTTTGGTCAGCATTTGTTTGGTGGGGGGTGGTATGGTATTTTTCTTTAGAAAAACAGGGGTGTGGGTGTTCATGCTGATTTTCGATTGGGGCTGGAAGAGAGGTTAGCTGTTTAGCCCTGCACTGTTTTCCCTGGAAAATCACTCTATACAGAAGATTTTTGCCCCAGAAGGTGATAGCAAATTGTGGGTAGTACTGGAGGAGGTTGCCTAGAAAATAGCAATGGGTAAAGGATCAAAATCTGGATTAGGATTAGGATCCACTGCAGTTGACTTTTCTAAAAGGAGAGACATTGGCCCTTAGTCACAGATTGGCTACCAACGTGTCATTCTTTATGGAGGGGGTGGGGGACCTTAGGCCAAGGGACCAAATATGGTCCTTAGTGATCTTTCCAGACCATGCTTCCTCTCCAAGCCACACCTGTGGCCAGCCTTGCACTGCGGCCTACTCAAATGTTTTTGTTAGGCTGGAATGTGTCCCATGAATTGAGTCATGAACTGAAGAAAATACTGCCTAATAAAAGGGAATATTCATCCTCAAATATGGATCGTTGCATGATAATGATAGCATAAATCAGCCTTCCCCAACTTGCTGTCTTCCTATCATCCTAAACTACTGGACAAGGTGTGGTGGTTAGACTTCTGGACTAGTACCTTGGAGATCAGGTTTGAATCCTTCCTCAGGCATGTAACTCTTTGGTTGTCCTTGAGCTAGTTGCTGTTCTTCAGCCTAACCTTCCTTACAGGTTAGAGGTTATTTATTTTTCTTAAAAATCACCTGAGCTGATTAAAATGGTTCAGATGACATGTCAAAGCCCATGGGTTTGGCCTGGAGTGTGGAAGGAGTTAAGCAGGCGCTTTTGAGCAGTACATGGTTCATGTGGGTGAGCCCATAATAAGATATTAATGTGACATGCAAACACAGCTAGTTCTGTTTACTTTAATTATGATATCTCTTCCTTTCTTATTCTTTCAGAGAATTCGTTCGACAGTGGATGAAAAGGAACAGAAACAGCTTTTAATGGATTTGGATGTAGTTATGCGAAGTAGTGATTGCCCATATATTGTTCAGTTTTATGGAGCACTCTTCAGAGAGGTGGGCATTCAAAATCTGCTTAGTTTGTAACAGATTTAGTTAATACGTTTTATGACGTTTTAATGGGTAATGAAGCACATTAACTGAAGGGCAGGCAGTAGACAATTTGCAAGGGTAAACTAGTTTGGTGGGGGAGATGCATGTAAAGAAAACGTTAGCACTGCTTTATCTCTAAAATGCCTATTTCATTTCAGTGCTTCTCAAAAGGTTCATTATAATCATGTGTTATACACTTGTGGCTTTCAAACTTTCTACCTTTTATTACATTTCACTTTTATCACATTCCTCCTCTTAAGGAGGTTGGGATGGTGCACATGGTTCTCCCCCATTTTTATCACAACAACCCTGCCCGGTAGGTTAAACTGAGATATAATAGCTGGCCCAAGATATTGAGAAGCCTAGTAAGCATCTGACTACTCCAGGGGTCACGAGAAATGCAATGCCATTGTATTTTGGGGTGGACAATTGCTATTGTATTCGAATGTCACATGCCGCCTAACTACCGTATGCACTCATGTATAAGCTGACTTTTTCAGCACATTTTTTATGCTGAAAAAGCCCCCTTGGCTTATACTCGAATGAGGGTCCCACCTGAGCGCATTTTCAGCAACCCCTCGTCGGAGCAAGCTGTTTGCTGCCGCCGCTCGTGCTGCCACTGCTCTGCCAAGCACGGCTCCTGTGCCTGCCCTTGCGAGCGGCAGAGGCTGTTGGTGGTGGTGGAGGAGGAATGAGCAGCCTGAAAGCAGCCCTTTTGGGCTGCTCGTTCTTCCTCCGACGCTGCTGCCACCAGCCTCTGCCTCTCGGCAGCACCCTAGGTAGGCAGAGAGACTGGAGGGGCTGGGGGAGAGAGAGAAGCCCCCTCTGCCGTGTGCGCATGCGCACACACGCTCTCCGGCCCACTAGGAGGTTTGTGGTGTGGTGAACCGGCTTATACTCGAGTCAATAAGTTTTCCTAGTTTTTTGTGGTAAAATTAGGTGCCTCGGCTTATATTCAGGTCGGCTTTTACTTGAGTATATACGGTAATTGATTAGACCAATTGTAATTTGACAAAAGAGGAAGCAGAATATTTTGTGAGGCAGACCAACCTGAAGTTTGTTCACAGAAATATGTATGTTCTGCTTTGTCTCTCTTCGTAAGGCAAAGGTTTGCATCGGTGTTGGTTTGTATGTCCGAGGACCTTCTTTTCTATGCTTCCCTTTCCATCACAGCTTAGCAAGAGTTGCACATTGACCACCCCATGTGTGTATTTCAGATTAACAATAATAAAACATGTCTTGCTTACTGCTTTTTTATTCTTAGGGTGACTGTTGGATCTGTATGGAGCTCATGTCTACCTCGTTTGATAAATTTTACAAATATGTATATAGTGTATTAGATGACGTTATTCCAGAAGAAATTCTAGGCAAAATCACTTTAGCTGTAAGTATTCTTTCTATTCTCACTGCTGCCTTTTTTGTGTGTGCACACTTCTGCTTAGATTTTCAAATCCAGGATCTAGGCGGGAGATGATTTGACTTATTTAGGCTTGTTGCTGTGAAACCTAATGGTTTACCATATACTGCTCAGTCTCTGCCAGGGCGGCTTCAGAATATTTTTTTCTTCTGGTGGTGGAGGGGCACAGAAAGTACAAAATATACTTCTAGGTGGGTGGGTTGTGTCTCACATGCTAAGATCTCTGAAAGAAAAATAGCAGTATATGCCAATGACAGGAGTCCAGCAATGGGGAGGCAAGAGTGGGGGTGAGCTCCTTGGTTGGGGAGTGCACTGCCCCCTATCCCAGCACCACCCATGGCCCCTGCTAGCACAAGCGGGAAACAAACCATGGTCTTACACAACCATTTCTATCACATTTTGTTTGCATTAACTACACTGTAACATGGTATAGCTGTTAAATGTTTAAAGGGATGCGTCTGCATTTCTGCCTTATCAGCTGTCTGAGATGCATCTTTAAATTGTTTGGCTTTGGATTGTGTAATAGGAGGCATTTTATTATTTTTGTTCTCAATAAAATTTCTCTTTCTCTCCTAGACTGTGAAAGCACTAAACCACTTAAAAGAAAACTTGAAAATCATTCACAGAGGTAGGCTTTTCTGGATTTGTCTTTCTTACTGTGTGGTATGCCTGTCACACGCAGTTCTTCCTGAGCATGCCTGTAGATTATGCAAAATACATTTGTGAGCCGACTATTTGGGGTATTCCACATGATCATTTTATGTTTCACTATGTCCGTGTGAGTTTTGGTTCTCTTGGGCTACCAGTTGGAGGCTGACATTAGGACAGAGCCAATTGACAACACTCATTGGGTGTTACATTTTTTAAGTCACAAGTTTCTGTGTACAGAACAGGATCATAGTCCTATGGGAGGGGGTTTCTCCCATTTAAGTCTCTCACACACCAAAGCTGCTGCCATTGGTTGGTTGGTTGCTTGGCTGGCTGAGGTGCCTAGTTTGTTACTCCTTAACAAGCCAGGATTTGTAAGCCAACAACAAACCATGGTTTAAGGCTGGCTAGTGATCCTGGTTTGTAAGGGAGCAACAAACCGAGATCCTGAGTTCGGATATCATGGGAAGCAAGCTCGAATCCAGGTTCCTGATTTATTTCTCCTGTTAATTCCAGAGGGGGAGTGACTCTAGTTTCTGTGACATGCAGTTGCTGTCTTTAGTCGTAACTTTGTGTCTGACGCTATGTAACTTTCAGCAGTTAGAAACTGAAGTGCTTTGATTGCAGCTTATCTGCTTAAATATGTTTCTGTTTGCCCACATCTGTTGCAGATATTAAACCTTCCAATATTCTTCTGGACAGAAACGGAAATATTAAACTCTGTGATTTCGGCATTAGTGGACAACTTGTAGACTCCATTGCCAAGACCAGAGATGCTGGCTGCCGGCCCTACATGGCAGTAAGTGGGATTTGAAAACTTATATGTGATGGGTGAGGTGCGAATAGAAATGGAATCCTTTCTTTTACTTGCTTTGTTGTAAAGGCAGAAGGTAAATATTTTGTACAAGAATGGCTGAGGTTGAAATCATTCTTCAGCTTCACAAGCTAAAACTTAGATGAAGTTAGCTTGATGTGAGGCTTCTCCAGCTTAATCTTAGTACATTACATCACTGCACACCCAAGGTGTGAACAGCTTTTCTTGCAGTAATCAAATCTCTTTCATGCTTTAGTAACCTGGTCCCTCTACTGGTGAAGGTATTGGAAGCATCCATTTTCTATGTGTTTGCATTTAGATGGTCATTTGTAGGAGGAATCTATAATGAGCTAGTAAAACCCTGTGGCTCCTACCAGAGCTTTTCCTGGGAAGAAGAGGCTTGGGAATAGAGTGAGGACATTTTGGGCCATGATGGTTACCATACAAAGGTGCAGGGAAACGGGGAACATACAGTTCAGTGAAATTCCTTTTGAGTAAATTAAGTCTGAGAATTGCTTAGTAACATTCTGATGAGGATGTTGGTGCCTTGTGGTAGCACGGATCAATAAAATACAGCTTTAGTTCCCAAATGTGGCAGAATAATTGACTAGTCTAAGAGGGATGCCCCCTATTGCCATTTAAATAACAGACATATGGTTACACAAGATTTCCAAAAATACAGATTCTTTTGCCATTTGTTCTTAGTTGGATGTGTTAGTTTTTTTAAGGAGAAGTGATGCCAGATTCAAAGCCACAGATAACAGGGAAACAAAGCATATTCTTTCAGAAATACTGGCCCCAGCCAAGTGAGACTAATACACTTGAGTTGTGACATTAATAGCAGATGCTTTTGCCAAGCAGAACCAGATTGGACAAAAGTGCTGCAAAAGATTGAATGGTTCAGTACAATCCTAACAATACAACATCATAAAATGCACAAATAAAATAAGAGGGTAATTTTATATAGAATAATATCTAGACTTTAGGCACCTGAAACATTGAAATATGTTTAATACTTCACCGTGATGATACTTGTATATAATAATTGTCCATGGCTTCCAAGCGGGAACCATGGGATCTAATTATCCTGAGAAGACTCATATTAAGGGCTTTCAGTTCAGTCTCCAGATTCAGTACTTTGGAAACCAGTCCGCCTCAGTCAAAGATGCTTAAGGGGCTGCCTAATTTGGCTCAGTGTTTATCCAAGTCCAATTCCTTCCTACCCCTTCACTAGTGAGAAATCAAAAATTTCAGAAGGATAGCTGCAGTGATTTCCCCTCAAGGCCAGTCTTTGCAGTTTTGGGGTGGGTAAAAAAGGAATCTCTTAAATCTCCCCTAATGTTTGCTTCATTTGCATAATTCATACCTTGTTGCAGGATTCTGATTTGCTTTAAATAGAGTACATGCAGCCCTGCATTAGGATTAGGATCATGGAAGGGACAGTTGGTGTTAAATGAATCCTTCTCCATATCCCACGTCAGTAAATTCTTGCCTTTTTCTTATATAACTGATATTCTTCCTCTAATTTCAGCCAGAGAGGATAGACCCCAGTGCATCCAGGCAAGGATATGATGTCCGCTCTGATGTCTGGAGCTTAGGGATTACATTGGTAAGTGAGAAATGCTAAGGGCTTTGCATGCTGCTGGAGATAAAACCCTAAAGCAGCTTGTGAAGCAGCTTTAGGAGAAGTAAAAGCTAAACTGGCATTACTCTTGTGAACATGTACGCTGTGATAGGGCCTGCATTGCCTCCCTGAATAACAGACCTGGCTCAGCTTTCCTCTGCTACGCAGTTTGGCTTCCGTGGCTACTTTTTATCAGCAGTGACTTTACTCTGTTACTAGGGGGCAGCAATGCATGCTAAACCTCAAAAGTACCATGCTTTAAGCTAGGAAATCTGTTCCTTGCTGCCCCTTTAGAGCCAATGTAAGCCCAGCCTTCCTAGGTTTGGACCACTGAAGAAAGCAAACTTAGTAGGAGTGGAGAAGAGTGTATTGAAGCAGAAAGGTAGAAACCAAGGGTTTGGTCTAATCAGAGACAATTCCAGATTCGAAGGGGCTGGCACCCTCTCTGGGCACATACACCCTTAGCATTAGCCTAGTAGTCACCCCCAAAGTGGAGCTGACTAGGGGTGGGGACAGGTGGCAATGGTATCGAAGGGGGAAACCAGGAACTCCCACAACCACCTCCTTCATTTCCCTGGAATGCCTCTGGGCCCTGCCCTAGCATGTACAGTGGACGCTCGGGTTGCGAATGTGATCCATGCGGGAAGCACGTTCGCAACTCGCAGCATCCGCAACCCGCAGCGCCGCATCTGCACACGTACAAGTTGTAATTTGGCGCTTCTGCACATGTGCAAAGCGTGATTTAGTGCTTCTGCACAAGCACTGAAACCCAGAAGTAACCTGTTCTGGTACTTCCGGTTTTGGCGCAGTGCATAACCCAAAGCTTCTGTAACCCGAGGTATGACTAGTATGTTTATGAGGAATGGGTAGACATTGTTTCCACTGCTTTTTTGTGGGAAGCTTGAGGTCCGTCAACCGGAGACAAATGCAAAATAGGGGCTTGGGTTAATGCAGAACACACACACACTATTATTTCATGTGTTTTAAAGGTCAAGTGCTTGCCTGCTGTTTTGTGAACATTTTAAATTTAATTGAAGCAGCTGGTAAGTTGCCCACTCTGTCTCCCCAGCAATTGCCTGCACACCTCGTATGATTCTTCTTCTTTTTAACAAAAGAAGTGGAAAGCATTGCAGCTCTTCTACAGCAGCAAGATAGAATTTCTCCCCTATCTGTGGAAAGCAGACTTGTGGGCTTTTCACAAATGGTAAAGTGTGTTTAAGGGGCTCTTCATCTGAATACATCCAGCTGCAAAGACAAGGAAAAAAAGAATGTTTGTGGGGAGCAGGGGGGATTAGGATGCAGAGGGTTGAGCTCTTTTAAGTTGCTACTATGTCTGGGAATCTCTTTTGAGTACCGGAACTATTATTTCTCAGGTACAAGCCATCTCCTGCTTTCCCCCAAGCTTTCTTGATTTCAGCTGGATAATTTGGGAGGGTTGCTATTGTTAAATCATAAGGAGTTGGAAACCCTGCACAGACCTTCTGCTGGTGGGGCTTGTTTGGAGAATCCTCGCTCCCACCCTCCTGCCCCCATGAACTTTACAATGGCTAATCTAGCCCATGTTGTTCCTTTTTCTTTTGGTGTAGTATGAACTGGCCACAGGACGGTTCCCCTATCCCAAATGGAATAGTGTATTTGATCAACTGACACAAGTAGTCAAAGGAGACCCACCACAGCTGAGTAACTCAGAGGAACGGGAGTTCTCCCAAAGTTTTATCAACTTTGTCAACTTGTGGTGAGTATGCCTCGCTCTGGGGCTCTTCAGGGCATTAGTAAGTGGTTCTGGCTCAGGCTTCCAACTCTGTCCCTCAGCAACTTGCATGTGGCAGCAACATCCAAGAGTATTCATGTTGCTGGAAATGGTGCATTTTTCCTCCACTGAGGATGAAAGTGGGTTGGGTGGAGAAAGCTGCAGTATGAAGAGCCACTTGCAAGCCTTAAATTAATGCCACATTTCCTGCATGTGTGATGGAAGTGGTGGCTTGGAGAGATTTAGACATGTCCTTCCCTAGTTGAGTTGCCACTCAACGTGAAGGCAACGCAGATCTTTCTTACTGACTTCTCACATTTGACAAGTAGCACTGGGATGGTAGGGAGGCCTTTCCTCAGGCTGTGTCTGTAGCAAGACCTTTTGTAGCCCCTAATTATATATTGGAGATCCGTTTGTTGTTGCCTCCTCGATATATGATAGAGGGAGCAGCGATTGCATCAAATAGAGTGCACACTGTAAACTGCAGAATATATCTTTGTAGTGCCTCCTGCTGGGAGTTTGCCTACCTGCAGGTTTGTAGCTGTGATATTTTAAATGAATGTTGATAAGCTGTGTTTGCCTCATTGCAGCACAATTATTACATTGTCCTGTGGATAAAACGAAGTGGATCTGAGTCGGTTGCTCTTGTTACATTTAGCACACCAGAATGGGCTCAGGAAGCGTTATGTGAGCAACTTAACATCGTTTAGTATATTAGTGGTGATTTGGAGCCTTGCAGGAGCTAGAATAGTTAAAGATACCTTTAAGATGAAACAGTTGCCTTTGAGGCTATAATCACACAAAAGAGAAAGCGGAGGAGTGGTATTTAAAGGAGAATGATCTATGTACATTTTACAAACTGATTAAAGCAAGACAGTGGCTTCAAATTCACTACAGTGTTGATGTGCTGCCACCTGTTGGTTTGACATTTTTCTGCAGTGTTTTTAAAATGCAGTTAATTAGCCTCTTGAGCTGATTTCTTAGAGGCAAATGGGCAGGACCAGACTGTCTTTAGTTCAGTGATGTGCTTTCCTCCTTAGAAAGGTGGGGAGCAGGTTTTGTGTTAAGTAGACAAGGCCCTTGAAAAGCAACTGTGGCATTTTCCTCTCTGCTGAGCTCTCTATATTCATATATGGCTGGTTATGGTAGTGCAAGAAGGATCTTTTTTAAGAATCCCCCTGTGTTTGTTTATGAAGGGTTAATTTCATGCTGCACAGGTCTTGAGAAAGAAGGAAAAGGAAACTTCCCTGATGCCAGGAAGTTGTTGAAAGGCTGTGTACTTCCTGCATTCAGAATTTTAAAACAATGGAGTGAGAGACGTACTGATAGGTTGCAGACTTCAGAGTGCTTCTGGTTATATTGCAGCATTTTCTTGGTTACCTGCAGACCAAGAACAGTCCTGGGATTCCCAATACCTACAACATACTCTGAGCCTAATAGGCAATACAACGGTGAAAATACAGTGTCCAGGGCTTCTGCATAGTTCGGTAGAAAGAGGAATTTCAATAGTGCATCTTGTCTTGCGTGGCTCATCTGCTGAAATTCCCACTCCTATACAGCTTGCAGAAGCCCTGTCCTCTTTTTAAAATTTATTTCTTTACCTGATTGCCCCGGGTGAAAGAGAAGGCAGGTCACTATCACTGTATGAGTTGGTTATATAGCCACAGCCTTTGGACAGAGAGGTGACTTAAATGACCATTAATGATCACCATCATCCATATAGGTGCATTCATGCGATAGAATTGCAGACTCTGACAGTGTGCAGTGTCTTAACTGCCCAACACTTAATTTCAGATGTTTTTCTGCTAATGTTCTGTCACCCTAATCCTCTTACTGATCTTTTTAGCCTTACAAAGGACGAGTCCAAAAGGCCAAAGTATAAGGAGCTTCTGGTGAGTATGATGGGATATGTGAATGCATGAGACTAGAACTGGCTAAGACTTTAAGGACTTTAAAGACTTTTAACTCTTTTGAAGCGTGGTATTATTATTATTATTATTATTATTATTATTATTATACCCCACCCATCTGACTGGGTTGCCCCAGCCACTCTGGGCAGTTTCCAACAGATATTATTAGGCATTCTGTAACAGCACCCATTGCTATTCCCATTTTGTGAGATATGAGCTGCATTCTACCTGTTTAGTGCAAACAGTGAGGCTGGGCTTGCTATTTTGTCTTTTGCTGTGGTGAGCAATGAAGCAAGCCCACATTTAGTTCATTCAGGGGTTGTGTTGTGTATCTAGAGAATTAAAGTTTTTTTGCAATTGCACAACATATTTAATTGGTATAATTAAAATTTGATTTTGGGATTTGTCTGCTTCACCAATTATCCATTTCCTCCCAAACGTAAGGCCAAGGGATGTACTGTACCCCACCTGCCTTCTCTGTGTGTATATGCCCATGTTGATGCTTGGACCCCTTCTACTGAATCTTGTGAGTTGGTACCTCAGCGCAGCAACTCATAACACCTGTTAAGTTGCATGGAAGTACCTTTGGGAGCTCACACGTCTTCTGGAGGCACCTTCTGTGCTCCAAAAGTGAGACTATATTTTGTTCCCTTCTCTTCTACCAGAAACATCCCTTCATCCTAATGTATGAGGAGCGAACAGTGGACGTTGCGTGCTATGTTTGTAAAATCCTGGATCAAATGCCAACGACTCCGAGCTCTCCAATGTATGTCGATTGATACTGCTGCTACATCAAAACTCTAGTGCAAATGCTGAGAAAAAGCAAGATGTACAGAATCTCCACCCCGTATTGCAGTGTTTTAACGCTCGCCCAGACACCATGTGCAATAATGTTGGTGTTTTTCTTCCATTCTGTCTGTATATTATTGTCACTTATAAAGTGCATCCATGTAATAATACCTGATCACAGTGTTAGTGTCAGTCAAAGAGAGACCTCATTTTGCTCTTTTTGTGGACATATTCATAAAACGTGGAAATAAGTAACATTTTATTTGTTGACCATGATTGGATAGCACCTAAAGTTAATTTCTAGACTCAGAGACTTCTCAGCAGCTACTGGAATAATTTTATTCTCTCAAACTCTTCCAATTGTTACAGATAATATAAAAGAAAGGAAGTTAGGCATTGGCCTATCTGATTCTGAACATAAACTGCTTGGGGAGAAAGAAACTTTTATGCAGCCAAATGAGCTACTTTTACCTTCTGAAGCCAACAAGGGCAAAGAGGGGATAATATATAAATATATATATAAATATATTTCTTCACAAAGTGCAATAGATTAATTGATTTGAAATTCTGTTGCTTTTCAGTCACAGTATATGTTTTGAAGACAATTGTGGCTCAGCAGAACTTCATATTTCGGAGGGAGAAAGAAGTGATCATGTAAAATGGACTATGTCTTTACCAAAAAATAAAAATAAAAATGCATTGCATTGCATTGAAAGGAGCTAACAATTAAACTCATGAGAGTATGAGTTTGAACTCATGGAGAATAATGTATTGTTTCATTTTCCAAGCAAGCCACTCTTCAGTAGAACTAGGTGTCCTGTAAATTGTTACCTGGTGAGATAAGACTTTTACCTGAGGAATTATTAAACTACTCAGTTGAATTTAACTGGCTTGTGACCCCTGATTTCCAACTCATGGCTAAACTTTCACCATTGAAAGGGTACGGGACAGTTCGCAGTTGTGAAGAGCTATTTTACATTGTTAATAATTATTTGTAATTTATCTCCATCAAACTTTTCATGTTTTCCAGTTACATAGAAACTTCCCACAGAGCTCCAGGTATGACTTGGATTTCTGATATTAACCATCAGATCAAATAAGCTCCCCATATCCCCATCAGTTGGATAGTTGGGCTTCCAAAATCATTACAAAGAGGATGCTAAATATGTTTGCTTTCATTTTATGGATGAATTCGTTTATTAGAAGAATTTCCTAACACAACGGTAACTAAGAGAACTGGAATGTTAAGTTCTTAAACGCATGTGACAGAAAAAAGGAAACCCAGAGGTTATATCGCCAGGGTGGGGGAGCCCTTTAAACAATTATATTGTCATCTCACCTGCATCCAGTATGATCTTATCTTCTAAGTCACAAGGGGGAGGAAGTGGTGTTTTTTAAAATCCAAAGTTATTTGTAATCTCAGTAACTGTCACTATTTAACATGTAATACTAGAATTGTAAGGGAATTAAGCTTTACCATTGAGTGGGTCAGCGATAACAAGACCCTGTTACTATAACCAGTTAACTTAATTTTCTCTAGTATACCAGCTGATTAATAGGATTTGGGGGCAAAAACTTGGTCAACACCATAAGAGATAATGTATTGAAATGGGAACCAGTTGGGACCAGGGCCATTCCAAGACATTTTGCTGCCTGAGGCAAATGACAAGTGCAGAAGCTGACCAAACTGCCAGGTAAGCACCCACCACCTGAGCGGCTGTTTCACTTGCCCAGTGGTAGGCAAAGTCCCTGGTTGGGACTGTATTAATGTAGTAATTATTCATTGTAATCCACTCAGGTGGAAGATTTTCAACCTCATCCAGATGTTCCCAAACTCTATATGCATATCTCCTGGCTTTTCCTCTTTGTGCCTGCTGGAAATTGAATAGTACTTAGAGCCCCCTTCATTTTGCATTCTATTCTCACGTACGTTAGCAGCGCATTTCCATTCGGTCAACCGCAAATGGAGGTAGCTCCTATTCAGGCTCAGTGGATGTCTGAGAGAAACTGACTGTTCTAGCATATTAATCATAGATTGATATATTAAGGGTGCAGCATTTATATTACAGTATATGTTTATAAAGATGTATAGTGTTCAGAAGCTGTGAAAATAGTGTAAGAACTGTACATTGTGAGCTCTGGTTTAATTTTTTTCTTGTACCATAGAAAAAAATGTAAAGTTTATTGAGAAGCTGATGTGCAGGGGATATTGCCTTATTGTCTGTAAGTAAAATGGAGTTTGACAACATGATAGCTTCTAAGAGCTTCCAACTATTTTATCCTCTCCTGGTTTGACATCCTCTTCTATTTAAAATACTCTACATGGAATCAAAGTGTTAATGTAATAGGTTCTCCCCCACCCCCCGCCTGCAGGTCAGTTGTAATAAATCAAGGATCTGAATATGATCTTGCTATAAGGTCAGACATGATGATGGGGAAATCAATAAATGCAAAATGAAATTTAAAAATGCCATCTTTCTCTGGCCAAGTTTTCCTATTTATTGATGTTTGCAAGAAGGACCAAAAGGGATGGTGGGACTTTGAGGGGGTGCCCCTGAAATACAAGAGGCTCAGCTGATCCTGACCATTGTTTGACCTTTAAACAATTTATTTACTCCCCTGAACAAATTACTTTGTTTGCTGTCTATGCATTTTACACAGTGGTACCCCCATGCTGACTGCAAGCTTTTTAATCTAGCAGACCTTCCATCAGTAGAATGGGGAGGGGTGTGCTTTTTGTTATTCCCCCACAGTCTCCTATGCCATCTCACGCACTGTTCTGAAGGGTTCCCCCAACCCTATGGAGTATGTTTTGGGGGACTTCAGGTTGGAAGGAGGAATTGCCAAAAATTGCCTCTTACCCCATTCTGCTGCTGGAAGCCTTTGCTGGATCAAAGAGCTTTCTATCAGCGTATGGGAGAAATCATTGGATAATATTTTTCATCTTTAGCTACTACTGTATTTGAGGTCTGACATTACCACATGAATGACCCAGTTACTTGGGTCATGCATGGCATATAACACTTGTGCATCCTAGATTTGAATTTGCCTTTTGGGCAACAGCATCACGTTGCTGATTTATGTTATATTTGTAATTTAACACAAAAGATATTTCTCATCAGTAGCCCTGCCCAACAAGGTAGCTGCCATTTGGGACTTTTGTTTCTTGTTCCATCTGTTTTGTATTTTTATGTTACTGGTTTCAATAAATTCATTGAAATCATTTTGAACTAAATTCTCATACGTTCTCCAGACCATTACCAGTCTTCCATTTCTATCATTTGGGGTGGGGGGGGGGAGGCATTTTTTTAAAAAAAAGATTTTATTTTGTAGACCAGAGGGGGAAATTGCATTTTTCACTTCTCCTTTAGCAGTTAAATGACAAGAAGCTGTGATATGACGTGTCTTTGAAGTTCACTGAAAAATTATTGACTTTTTGCCTAACTTTCTGCACATAGTGGCTTGTAAAGGTGAAATGAGAGATAAACTAGTCCAGGATGGCCAGGCTTTATGGATAGAGCACTGAAGAAATCTTGGAATATCTACTATTGTTAAAGCTTGCACATGACACAATAACTGCAAAACAAGCACTCAGTGTGACATCACAGGGAGTCTTTTAATTAAGTACAGCAGTGCTGATCACAGAGGTAAGGCATTGTGTTTATTTACAGTGTGGTTTTTTAATATATATATATATATATATATATAGTTGACAGCATCCCTTTAAATAAGGATAAAAAGCCCTGTACCGCATGGCAGTGTAGCACCTAAAACTAGTCTGTATTCAAGTGCTATTAAAAAGCCTCAATGGAATGACTTCTAACTTTTTGCATATTAAAATTAAGTAAAAGAAAACAAGCATGTGAAGGATTGTTCTATCCTACCAGTGCACTGTGTGAACATTTGTACAATAGAAAATTCATGCTTTAAATAGTGACCTTATAAAAAAAAATTAACATTTTTTTATACAACATGCAGCAATATTAAAACCAGTTGTTCGTTCTTCCCCTACTTGACCTCAGAAGTTTAGTCACCCTAGTGAGGCTGGAGTTCTACACATATTGAGGTCTGCAGAGACAGCTCTCCTGGTCCAGGCTGTTCTTCAGCCAAGAAGACACACGAGGGCACGTGGTCCTTTTTGTACTGTCTTGATTTCCAACAACTCCTTCCAGTAACACAATATTAAATACACTCATTTGGTAAATAATTTTGTAATTAGCTTTGGTTTGCAATACTTTTACACAGTTTCAGGAAATGGCCAGATCCGTCCAAAGCAGCCACAAACTGTTTCTTACACATGCCCTTCCATACTGTGCGACCTTTCTGAATTGCAGTGCACAGAGGTTTACAGAAGAAATAAAAACACTGATGAATTGGCCAGTACTGCAAAGTACCCAGCTAGCCAAGAAGAACAAGCTCCTCCTCTTTGGATGTGGATTCATAGCTGTTCTCTGGAAGACCTTGCATGGGATTTTCACTCTGCTCCCTGCACTACAGGTGAGGCTGGGCAGGAAATCCAGAAAAAAGCAATGGCTAAGGCACGAAGATATTGTGGTCTTGAGCATCCTCTGCAGTTAGTTCTGTGTCACAATACTGTAAATGGGAGCTTCTTTTCACAAGCCTTAGGCAATTAAAAGGTTGAATATGATGTCAATGAGGCTGCTGCTTGTGTAGTGTAGATCACAGACGGGTGTGTTGAAGGAAAGGATGTCTTGAAAGAGGTGCAGCACCATGTGAAGGAGGCAGTAGAGGTTTATTTTTTAAGGCGATTCTTCTCACTGGTATTGTGTGCATTGCAAGGTATCTGTTTGGTTCAGTTGACTGCTATTGTCTTGCTGTTCTGAGGCGCCATTCTGCTGTAGTAGAATGTGCTTTGTGATGCTGCACGCTTCCATGCTAGGTGTTTTTGGCTGAATGCTTCACGCTTTCTGTGGGACATCAGCATGATGTCATCAAATTATTATCCTGTTTTTCCTTCTGTCTCTTCATACCATTTTTAAAAGAGAACAACAGTACGATCCCCATAGCTGTAGATCACCATAGTACTATTCTATCCTTTTTGTGTGGATTTTATGTACACTCTGACATACTGGGTAGGTGAACCTGTTGCTAGTCATCTACTTCAGCACGCCATCCCTATTAGTTTTTCCATTTGCACAATTTTGTAAGTATGGCTTTTCAAAGCATCTTTTATTTGTGCTAGAACACTTTTGCCTATTTATTAGAATTGAAATAATCACACAATTGTACTTACATGAAAAACAATTTAACTCAAATTTTAAGAATTGAAATTGCTTTAAAAATTGTTGTTTTCTTACCATTATCTTAATTTAAAAAGTGCTGTATTTTTTAAGAAGCCATAAAAGTAAACCATATAATAGAACTTTAAAAAAGTGGTTTGTTGTAAATTAAAGAATTAATTTGGCTTGTTCAGAATGGTCCCTTTCCCACTTCCATGCCTATGTCATATCTAGTGGTGCAGATTACACATAAAACAAGTACTATATCCTCAACTCTGAGTGTGGAAAGTTTTTCTGTATGGAAAAGACTTTATGGAGAGTAATGATTGTGCACAACTAAGAGTTGCCAATTTGGAAGTACCTATATAAGTACCTGCCCTCCCCTTTCAACATATGTCTCACCACCTGCTTAAGCTGTATTAATTTATAGCACCGGTATAGTTCAAGCAAAGTTTCACTCAAGGGCCATAAACATCATAGCAGACTATTGTTTTAAAGGCTTATTCACCTGCTTAACTAGTATTTTGAAGCATGATGCACCTTTGACAGCAGCTGCCATTTTCAGATTTGGTTGCAACAGGAAGCAGAAGTGATTTTGTTTTTTAAAAATAAATTAATAGATCCTGACATATAGGGACCGGTTTAGTTAAAATACGCTTTCCATCACTGTAGATACAGTAGTGTTATTTGTTTTAAACTACCACCTAGCTTTGAGCCAAGTAGGATACATTTTAAGTGCCGTTGGGACTTTTGCTTCTGCATTTCTTTTGTCAGTCTCATAACTAGACTCAAGATTTAGCCCCCAGTCAACTATCTGCTTCCTAGGCCCAACCACTCAGCATTTGGTCTATAGGCAAAAGTAAAACTGAGGGGAATGTAAAGGGTTTTGAACTTGCTAGAATGAAATATAAGAAGGTATGTGCAAGAAGACAAACGGTAAGCTCACTGGGCATTAAGGAAATTATTAATAATCATTTACAGTCATACCTTGGGTTGAATGCGCTTCGGGTTGAGCGTGTTCAAGTTGCGCTCTGCGGCAACCCGAAAGTAACGGAGCGTGTTACTTCCAAGTTTCGCCGCTTGTGCATGCACAGACGCTCAAAATGACGTCATGTGCAGATGTGCCATTGCTAGTTACGTTTGCTTCTAGATGCAAACGGGGCTCCGGAACAGATCCTGTTCATATCTAGAGGTACCACTGTATAGGTAAATTATAACATTCAATTGTTACTGTGGACATTCAGCGGTGTAGTGAGGATCTGTTGCTCAAGTGGATCTGAGTATAGTTTGGAATTGTGGCTGAGGGCTGGGCCCTCACTTTGTGGTATACAGGGAGAACTATGGTTAAAATGGATAAAGGGTAGATATCTCACAACATAGTGCTTTGCTCATTACCCAGACTTTGTTTTTTATATGTAGCTTTGGAGTCATCACCTGGGTGAAGCCTACCCACATGTGAACAAAGGAACCCTACCAGGCTGGCAGCATTTGCATCTTCTTTTAATGAGGCAACATATTTGAGTGATACATTGCAATATTCTTGTCTGCCCTCAGGAAAGCGATGGTTAGGAACATAATGAGTATCTGGTGCTTGGTATGAAGCCTTTGGGCTGGGAATTGGTTCCTGTGTAGCTGGGCCTGCTGTAGTCCTGCCTTGTACCAGCTAACCTGACCTTGCCCTAGATGAAAATCTGGCAGCCTCCTTTTTGGGGTCTGCCCTGTGCAGTAACAGGTGTGAGGATTCTAGCAGCAGCTTGATGGTCATGTATGATACAGCATACAGATCTGTTGCGACATGTAGAGAAAACCCAGACTGCGTTCTGTACCATCACTGACGGACTTAGATCTGGCAATATCTTAATTTAAAGACCGACAAAGGCCATAGGTTTAGGCTACAAGGGGTAAGTTGCCCAGTTTCTTCCACCGTGGTAGACTTAGTTGTAGATTTGCAACCTTCACTTGTTATGCTGATTAAACTTTGTCACTTTTTCAGATCGGCTCTGGGCAACATATTATTCAATATTATCAATTTATTCAAGACTGCCTGTTTATTAAACTGAATAAATTATTTGGTATATGAGGAGGAATGTGAGTCCTTCGAAGTGTTTTTGGAATTTGAAACAGAATTTAAATTGGTAATCCTTTCCATTTTTATAAGTTACGATTACTTTATTGCTTCTTGTAAATTTATTCATGACGATCTGATACACTCACAGATAATATTTATATCATATATAAGAATATTGTTGGTTTTAATAGTGTGTTGAAATGCTATAGATTTATCTATATCAAATTATAGATATGTTTATATTTTTAATTTAATTAAGAAATGAGCAAAGTACTTATGAAGGGAGGAATGTACCCTGAAACAGAAAATTGATAGAAGTCGCCCCAGACCTCTAGTCAATTAAAAGTCCTTCATTTATGTACTTGCTTTTTATATTACTCTGCGTTCTTTTCAAGCTGAGTGCCCACCACATAAACAAGTCAGATTGCTTTACTTCTATTTCAAGTGCCTTTAAAATTGGTAAGACAGGGCAGAGAGAGGTGTTTAGTGAAAGGATGGCTTGGAGGTTACTGGTCTGACAATGGCTTCTTCGTGAGCTGACTTTTTTTTAAGTCTTCATGTATAGAATCAGGAGGAAAGGCAGTGGCTGCCATGCAGTGTGTTGCAAGCTGTAAGTGAACCAAATTTTTCCCCACAGTAGGTAATAAGAGACAATATAGCAGAACCTGATCTGGATGATAGATATGTTAGGGATGAAATGGATGTGCATACCAAACATAATTCTGCTGCAGAGTGAGTCTTTCTTGGAAGCTACTAAAGTTAGCTGTGCTTGCTGAGGAGGAGACTCCTGTGCCAGAGATTTGCTTTGTGGTGTGTGGGAGATTATCTGGCAATTTCATTTGTAATAGGGGAGGGGAATGTCCTGGGAAAACTGACTCCAGTTTCTTCTCCCTGGCTGTCACCAGAGCTCTCTGATAAAGTATCTGAGTCTCTTTAATGGAAATCTGTTTGTGTTCAGCTGCATCCCCACACATAAGGCTTATTCTGTTCACCACTGTTGTAAATGCAGGTCCATGGTACTGTTCAAGTTGAGATCACTAACATCTAAGAAATCAATGTTGAAGATGCTGGGCCCAGTGGTGGTGAGGGAACCGAAACCGTTGGCTGAGCTAGGCGGAGTGAGGTCCAGCCATTCCATTGTTTCCCAAGGAGACTCTGTGAAGCTCATGTGCAAACCAGTTCCTTCCCCAGAAGAGGGAGACAGCTGGGTCTCCATGGGCGACAGGGGAGTGGGCAGGATCTCGTGGGGTGTCAGCAGTTCATCGGCAGCTTTGTTGGAAAATCCTTCCATCACCCCTTCAAAGTGTGGTTCTTCACCCACTTTCAGTAGGGTGATTTCACTTGACCGCCCCAGAGGGCTGTGGGAATTTAACAAGATTTCCAGATGACTGTTGTTGCTGCTAGGGCAGTGTTCAAAGGACAGCTGACCTGAGGGGCCTTGCTCAAATGAAGCAGATGTCTTCAGTAGCGAGGAAGTCCCGGAGGTCCCCGAAGACACTGTTATCTGAGGCACCTTCTGAAGGCAAGGGCGGTCCTCTTTGGCATTTGCAGGCATTTCTGTTTGCAAACAAAAAAGGCTCATCAAGAGCAGATCTACAACTTTACTATGCCATGCACCCCAAGCCACCCTACAACTTGAAATGTTATAAAACATCTTGCACATCAGTGATTACTGCCTGTCAAGACGGCAGACTCCTTTGTCTACAGTATGAGATACCCAATGGAGCACATCGTAATTCACTGTTGCTGTCAGAGAAGTGTGTCCTACTTTTCTTTTGGTTGGATATAGCTTTATGTGATGCTATGCTAGAGTAACTTGGCATACCAGGAATCTACTTTGTGGTTCTGTGAGCCTGTAAGGTGTAACTAGGAATGCCTGGGTGAGAAGAACAGAAAGATCGCAGAAGAGCCAACAGCAGATTGTGGTCAGGGAACACAGTAGGTGCTCCATCCAAGGACCGCAGGAAGGAAATCAGTAGAAGAAATTATCACTAAGTATATGTGTGTTGGCAAGGACTTGTTAAGAGGGAAAAAGATGAGCGGATGAGTATGGGACATCCTACAGCAACTAGAATCGTAATATTTCACCAAACCATTATTAGGCATTACAAGTATAAAACATCGATATATAAAATTTAAAATATATACAAATAAATAGACATGTAAACTATATAAAAATGGGATTTCTTCCCACTAAATAGTGCCATTCACCACTCTAAGAGATACTGTTGACCAAAACTCAGCCACCCTTGCAGTTACTTCCAGGTTAATGTCAGACAGATAGATTCCTGTATGCTTATATCAGATTCTGATTGTTAAGACCACACAATCTATTTTAGTGCAAGGGTGGCTAAACTGTGGCCCTCCAGATTTTGGGCTTCATCTCCCATCATCGCTGACTGGGGTTGATGTGAGTTGGGGTCCAGTGACAGTCTGAGGGCCACATCTGGTTGCTTAAAATAAGCCCATCAAGAAAATGCACTTTGGGAGCGGCACTTTCTTTCATGGGCTATGACCATGGCTACATTGAGCAGTAGGCATTGGGCTCAAATTATGGCTTACTATGACTAGGGGGTAAGGACGCAGGTGGTGCTGTGGGTTAAACCACAGAGCCTAAGGCTTGCCAATCAGAAGGTCTGCAGTTCGAATCCCCTTGACAGGGTGAGCTCCCGTTGCTCGGTCCCTGCTCCTGCCAACCTAGCAGTTCGAAAGCACGTCAAAGTGCAAGTAAATAAATAGGTACCGCTCCAGCTGGAAGGTAAACGGCGTTTCCGTGCGCTGCTCTTGTTCGCCAGAAGCAGCTTAGTCATGCCAGCCACATGACCCGGAAGCTGTACGCTGGCTCCCTCGGCCAATAAAGCGAGATGAGCGTCGCAACCCCAGAGTCGGCCATGACTGGACCGAATGGTCAGGGTTCCCTTTACCTTTACCTTATGACTAGGGGAAATTCTCTGAAATTGCCATTTTGGGTACCACCCTTCAGGCAATGAAAAGCATTGGGGCTAGGGGTTAGTGCAGACACAGCGATCACAGTGCACCCTCTTTGGGCAGCCGGAGACTTCGCTCATACGTACTTTGACCAGAACCAACAGTCTTGCCTTAGGGTTATCACCTACCTCCAGTTTCAATAAGCACATCCAACAGTTCATCCATTTGCTGGCTTCGGGTCATCTGCTGCAGCAAGAAAAAAGCAAGGGATGTTAGGAAGTTGGTACTGGAGCCACACACTACTATACTAGAAAAATCAGCTTTGATGGATATTGAGAGATGCTTTCAAAAGAAAGTTGAAGCCTCAGACATATAAGGATGATAGAATCTCCTTGACAGGCATGTTAAATAAACAATGATTCCTTAGTAACTAGTTGAAACAGGTCTCCTACAATACTTGAGCAGTTTTTGGTGCGTATAGTAGGCTGTTATGTATTACAATTAATACCGTTATAGTTCATAAAAGCCTCAGAGAAGCAAGATCAATAGCCCTCCCAAAGTGGAATGAAAACTCCCTCCTTCACTCAGATGTTCAACCTGTAACTAATGTTACTTAGAATAAAATCCCACCACATTCATTGGTACTTACTTCCTAGTAAGTATGCTTACGTTGGTTCCTGTTAACCCACACAAACTTTGTGTGACCCACTGCAATTACCGTATTTTTTGCTCTATAAGACTCACTTTTTCCCTCCTAAAAAGTAAGGGGAAATGTGTGTGCGTCTTATGGAGCACGCTGCGCAGCTATCCCAGAAGCCAGAACAGCAAGAGGGATTGCTGCTTTCACTGCGCAGCGATCCCTCTTGCTGTTCTGGCTTCTGGGATTCAGAATATTTTTTTTCTTGTTTTTCTCCTCCAAAAACTAGGTGCGTCTTATGGTCTGGTGCGTCTTATAGAGCAAAAAATACGGTACCTCTTTAGGGGCCATCCTGCAGTGCTCTTGTGTGTACTTTTTTGAACCAAGTGTTCAGCTGTAGCTTGCAAACTTAGTTCATTCAGAGATCATTCTGTTTCTTCTAAAAATTCAGATGGCCCTTCCAACAGAAGTCACCTGAATCACTTCAGCTGCTTATTCAATGTCTGAACAAATAAGAGGTTGAATTAATTTGCATTTGCTTTTAATCCAATTGACTGTATATAACTCTTTCTACAACAATAAATTCAGTTTTCAAGGCTGTCGGTAGTCATCTGCTTTCACTCATAGGTCACACAACACTCTCAAATCTGCAATTGGCTTTGATGTACATAACAATCAAAGCAAGCTATCTGCAGCCAAGCATAGCCTACCAAGCACCAGACTGTTACCTGTTTCACAGCATCAGCGTAGGGTGGTGGCTGCTTTCCATCTGGGAGGGCAGCATTTGACTTGCAAAAGCCAGGAGACAGAATGGAATACTTCTGACTACCTTGTGCTGGCACCTGTGTGGAACCAAAATCAATCACAGGGATCAAGCCAAAATTGGGCCAAGACTGCTATTCAGCAGTTGCCTCCATAAATTTACCTCTTGCACATGGGAACAAATCAACAGTCAATGAGGTGATCTCATTGCAAATCCAGTGGAAGCATGAGAAAAAGTCAAGGCTCCGGAAGCCCATCTCCCTTGCTGTAATAACAGTTTTGCCATTGATAATGGCACTTACAAAGTTCTGCAAAGGAATTTTGAAATAATATTGAATTCCCCCACCCACTAGCAGAAAACTGCAGTAAAGGCTGCCTGGTTTAGGGCAGGGGTGAGCCAACTTTTTCAGCAGGGGGCCGGTCCACTGTCCCTCAGACCTTGTGGGGGGCCGGACTGTATTTTTTGGGGGGGAATGAATGAACTTCTATGCCCCACAAATAACCCAGAGGTACATTTTAAATAAAAGCACACATTCTACTCATGTAAAAACACACTGTTTCCTGGACCATCCGCGGGCCAGATTTAGAAAGCGATTGGGCCAGATGCGGCCCCGGGCCTTAGTTTGCCTACCCATGGCTTAGGTGATATACTTTCTTTTGAATGGGCAGGAGAGAGTTACAGGGACACCAAGGGTGGTAATAAAGCTGTATTATATGTGGAAGAGTGGGTAGTGTCCAGTTTCTTAATGACTTCTGAAAAAGTTGAACCTACTCTGCTTATGTGTATGCCACCATCCTTGAAATGCCGTTCTGCAACTTGAATGCAAACCAACAGATGTATATTTTAATCACTGGAAGATGGGCAATTAAACTCCTCCTTTCCTGTTTGGTATTTCATCAACTGAGAAGCAATAATAGCTACAGTAGGTAAACTGGGCCTGGACACATGGAACACAGCCTGCCAGTTTTGAAACATTGCACTGCCTCCCAGTCTGATTCTGGGCACAGTTCAAAGTGCCTTTGAAGCTCTGAGCAGTTTGGAATCTGGATAGAATGGGAGCTGCTTTAACACCCTCCCCTAACTCTGCACCTAGTAGTAATAATAATAATAATAATAAGAATAATAAGAAGTAGCTTTCTTACTGGAGCTGTGCGAAGGTGGCTGCTGGGCTGTGGAGAGCTGCTGCGTCCTTCTCCCTGAGTGCTGGGGGACACAGAGAGGAGGTAATGGCTGTTTGGTGAGGGTGGAAGGCTGATGTGTTGCGGACTCTTTGCTGCCTCTAGTGGAGAATGCTGGGGAGAGCACTGTGGGCTTAGGAATGTGGAGGACAGTATGCCGCTCTGTCCTGACGGTTCCATGCAATGGCTATTTACAAGATGGGGCAGCTGAGGTGTCCCACAGTTTCTCAGTGTGTCCGAGTTGCTAGCCTGGCCTTTCAAGGAAGCTTGCTTAGAGGCAAAGGGACAACTGGACGCTGGGTTTTCTTGCTTGATCGGAAAGCCGAAGAAGTGTGGAGAGGGCTGCTTCTCGTCCAAGCCGTGGCTCCTTTTGCGCTTCTGCAGCTGCATCCTCAGCTCTTCCACTTGCCTCTGCTCTTGCTGCAGTTTCCAGGTCAGCTCATTGATGACCTTCTGCTTTTCCACCAGCATCTTGTCTTTCTCTGTGTCAACCCTTTCCACGTCGAGCTGGATGCCAGCGCCGTTCATGCTTCCCATCAGGCTTTCTTCACACCCGCCTTGCACAGGGGAAGGGTGCAGGACAAAATGGGGGGAAGACATTGGTCCTTCGTTGAAACTGTCTGGCAAGGAGCCATTCACCGATAGGTCTGAGGAAGCTGGGGAGATGGGGGGAGTAGAGCTGGTGCTGCCAAAGTGGTAAAAGCCATTGGACAGCAGGCTGGCCGAAGACTGCGACTGGTAGCTGGAGAGAGAGTTGGTTGGTGTCACTGGGAAGGTGACGGTGGTTATCTCATTGAAGCTGGGCACAGAACCCCCGCTGCACTCCTGGAAGGGCCTCAGGCGTTCCATCAAGGCCGTTTTCGTACCTGATACAGGGAGGCCCCTTATTCGGAGCTGCTGCCTCAGCTCCGACACCTGGAATGAAAGCCGTTTAGTCAGTGGCAAGGTCGCTTTTCAGTTCAACTTTGTGGCAAAGTAGCAACCTGCTTACAGTGGATCCTGACCCAAATCTAAACCAGAGATTATTTGCACGGACAAAGAGTTGGGCTGGGTAAAGTTTGGGCTCCAAAATAGCTGCTATTAATTGGACTGGATACGTCAGTTTGTCCCTGTGCTGCTTAGCACAACATTACTTGGACATCTCTAATTATTTCTATTGCCTTAGGTGCTATGCTGTCCAAATTAAAATTATGCAAGTTGTAATAAGCCTGGAGTGGGACTGAACGTCTGCACCCAGGGCTTATTTTTCAGCCGGAATTCAGTTTCAGCACCTCTCAGGTGAGCTCCGTTGCCATTCTAAGAGAACAAGGGAGACATTCATTGTGAGTTCTGGCACCTCTTTTTCTAGAAAAATAGCACTGCCTACACCTAATGAATTTGTGGCTGGTTTTAACCTGGGCTGCCCTTCTTACATTTTAGATATAGACAGAGCAGTGCTTCTTGAGAAACTTGGGGGAAAGAGAAGGCATGCTTTCCAGTCAACCATCATTACTCCTGAGGATACTCTCCTGTCCCTGCTTAGGAGCTGCAGCCCTTTGGGCACAGGCAAGTCCTCCAGGTGAAGACTAGGCAGAACATCAGAGCTTGTTGAACTTCCCATTACTTTGCTTCCTGTGGATGGCCTATATTTTCAGCAACAGCTGCCTGAGGTTGTGCCTCTGGCACGTGCCTGTGTGTATATAAGTGTTCGCTTAGGGAACTTGGTTTCAATTGATTTCTTAACGTATGTTATTTTTAATGCTTGAGGTTTTTTCTTGTTCCAGGGTTGCCTTTGTGTTAATTTTGTTTTAATTTAGTGTGTTAGTAAAATAATGGTTTGCATTCTTAAACAACGAATATTATTGAAATAGAACTGGCTCTGCCATCTGTTTTTAAACAAGCTACGATGTCCGATTTTATTAGTTCTAAGTCAGCTTTGGCAAATAATAATTTGGTCTCTTCTCTACAGTCCACTGACCCTAGTTGGTCTGTTGATCTTATGGTGGTGTTTGACTGCTTCAATTTATGTGATATTTGAATTTCGATTAATTTGGGATATTGACCGAAGTGCATGTGTTAACCATGTGTTTGCTGGAAGAACACACTGCCTCCACATGCAGTTTCATATACCACACAGAAGGTTTTACACTTTTCATCAACTTTTGCATTCAGTACTCACTTTTAAATCATCCAGGTTGGATGGGAGAGGACCTGGCTTGAGAGACGAAATGCAGGATTGCCCTGAAAAGCTTCCCTTCCCAGGGGAAAGAGGGCTGTTGGCAACTGTCGATGGGGAAGAGTTTGAGGTTTTGGCCATTTGCTCATTGGGTTGCCTGTAAAAAATAAAAGTGCAGAACATTTTCCCCCTTTTGTTTTCTTCTTCTTTTTAAATATCAGTATTCTTACTTACTTCACCAAACCTTTATTAGGCATTACAAGTACTGGCCATCATAAAACATCCATATATACAAATAAAAGCCATGTAAAATATATAATTACAAGAATTATCATTGGGATTTCTTCCTGCTAAATAGTGCCAGTCACCGCTCTAAGAGATACTATTGAGAAAATCTTAGCCACCTTTGCAGTTACTTCTGAGTAAGTGTCAGACAGATAGAATCTGATATTTTCATTGTGCCATGATGTTAGACTTCCCAAAAAAGGGGATAGCACGTGTTTACATAGCTGGTTGTACAATGGACAGTAGAAAAGGATATGTTCTACAGTGTCTGGCACGTTCAAATAACATCTGCAATGTCTATCATTTCTGGGGATGTTTAAATATCTGCCTTTGACAAGAGCTGAGGGGGAAATGTTCAGCTGGGCTCACATAAAGGCCCTGCGTTGGGCTGGAATTATTAATTTTGAGATTTAAGTGACCCTGTTATCTGGTGTATTTAAACCATAGAACTTGGGGGAGCAAATTTTATTTACAATTGATTCGATGAATGTCCCTTAATCTAGTTTGAATATTGCAATAAATATATTGCTCACTTGAATTATACCAGGATTCCAAGTCAATACCAATAGATCTAATTTTGCTATGTAAGAGCTGGAACAATCTGGATGTATAAGAGTTCTTAAGCAAGTCAGAGAGCAGACTCAAAGGTTGGCAGCAAAAATGGCAACGCAGCCAGTATTTTATAGTGCTAGCCTTCATCCAGTATTCCATCATGTGTACACCTAGTTCTGCATACATCGTCTCATACTTGATTGAACTTAGGAGCCCCAGGATACATCTCAAGAAACTTGAGTGTATCTTATCTAAATCACTATTATATGCTTCTATCCATATTGGGATCCCAAAAAGTAGCTGGGATGACACTTTAGCTTGAAAAATCTGAATAGCAGCTGGTATAATTTGGTCACCTTTCTGAAAATAAAAGCAAGCTATTGCTGAGGAGTTACACTTTGCCTGTTTTATAGCACTTGTGCGATGGGTTGACCAACCTGAGTTGCTCTGCAATAAAATTTACTGCATCACCACTGTTGTCCTGAAGGGTACAATCCTGCTGAAGTTTGGAAGAGTTGACCACACTTAAAAGGGAGAGGCCTATTTAAATTAACAGAGCTTAAAAGTGACTAATGGGCTGGAATGTGCCCCAAATTGATTGCGGCAAGAAATCAAACCTGGGTAAGGTGGAAAGGTCACTCTAGGAAACCTTTCCGTTACCAACTCACTTCAGCTGCATGGAATGGGGCCCCGGATAGTTGAAGTGCTGCTGGTGCCGGTGCTGCTGCTGCTGGCTGAGGATCTGGAGCTGCAGGAAGAGCTGCTGCTGCTGCAGGAGCCTTGCATAGGCCGAGTCCATGGGCGGAGGGGACTTTTCCGCCTTCTGGTCTGGGGGAATGTACTGGTGGTACTTAAGCTTCTTCACTTTTGGCTTCATCTCCTTGGGCTTTTTGTGGCGATTCTTGCTATCGCTCGATGGTTTTGACTAAATGGGGCACAAATAAAAATTTCAATAAGATTATCTGCAACATGGAGTAACTGAAGTTAGTTAGAAAGTTTAGCGAGCTCCCGTGCCCAGGGCCTGTCAGCCTGCAAGTCAGTGGAGATAGTATCAAGACTGTGGGAGGTCATAATAGATGTCCCTTCTCACTAGGGTTGTCAATATCAAGCAAATTTCCTTTAATCTGCCCATTTTATCCCCACTGGCAGAGACACTCGCTGTGGAAACTATTTACCTTAATTATCTACAACGAACTTAAAAAACAAACCACACCACATGAACATGTTATGTGTAAATAGATATGTAAATTGCTTTGCTATATATATTATTTACATCATCATGTATACAGGTGCCTCTTTACTGTCCTTGTTTCTAAAGTGTTGTTCGCACCCTAAGGCCACCTATATGCACTAATATGTTGCAATCCCAACAATGTCTACTCAGAAGTAAATCTCACTGACTTCCAAGTACGGTTACAATTTCAGACTTAATCTGTATCCTCTTGTGTATTTTAAAGCCAGTGGAATGCATTGCTCCTTATTCTTTTCACATGGAAAACCACACTTCCTGGGGTTACCTTGACTTACAACTAAACTGTTCCTCCCTGGTGCCAGAGTGAAAAAAGCAAGATAGGATGATCATGTAGCGTAGCTGGTTAGAGCATGGTGCTGATAATGCCAAGGTCACTGCATATTCCTGCATTGTAGGGGGTTGGACTAGATGATCCTCAGGGTCCCTTCCAACTCTGATTCTATGACAAGTTTATATTGAACTGTGAAATCAAGGTAGCAAGAAGTAGAAGACTCTAGTTTTTTTGCTGCAAAATACTAACATGGTCCCCCCGCCCCCCACCCCAGAAAACACAAGGAATGTAACTCATTTGTAAGTTATCTGTTGATGGCTGAGATATATGTGTCTAATGTGTGCTACATAAAAAAAAATGTTAGAAATTACAAGTATTTCCACATCAGCAGGCAATGAAACAGCACACAAACTTTTGCAAAATAAACCAATTGCATAGGAATGGAAAACATCAGAAGAAAGTGCAAATGAATATTACAATTGAGACGTGTTTGTACATCCCTTCTTCCCATCTGACCTTCTGTAGTTGAGTACAAGGAACAAAATATACAGGCACCACATCATTTGTAAAGGGCATGTTTATATATTTATTAGCCACACATTCCTTTTAAAACAGTCTGAAGCAGCAATCTGGTCCTTACCCAGATGACACTTCCAAGAATTTTTAAATGATATGTATCTAATAATATACTAATGCAAGTTTTACAATCGTCACAGTACTGGTGTATTTTGTACTTGGATACTCTGACCCAAATATAAAATCTCAACATGTAACGCAGTCTTAAGATAGGCCTGCTGCCCCCACATCATGGGGCAGTCCTCAGGCCACCTCCCTGGTGACCATTTTTAAACATTAGGTGTGTTTGGAATTACAACTCCCGTTATCCATAGCTAGCATGACCAGTGCTCAAGGGTGATTGGAGCTGTAGTCTGTAACATGGGCAGGACACCATGTTGCCCATCGTTGCTTTACGGCTTTTAAATATTTCTTTCATTTTTAACTTGGGCAGCATCCAGCTATTCCCCTTTCCCCCAGAATGCCTCTGGGTCCACCTCCATAGGAAAGGAGTAAAGAAGGAAAGCTATAGGGCAGTGCTTTGCCTTCCAACTTCTCTCTAAATATCATAAGAAAAGGGACGGAGGGCCCTCTTGTTGCCCTAGAGGGACAAGGGAGTATTTTGTCTGTTTTGAAGGGCAGAGTTTCCCTAGATGTTTTGGGAAGAGATACGTGCATAAGTGGTTTGTCTGTTACTTAGTGGTTTACATGGAATATTAAATATACATTAAAATTATCCATAAAAGTTAAGCAACTTTTTTTTAAAAAAAAATCAAAATATAAATGGAAATTAGTAGTTTAAAATATACCAGTGTTTGGTTTGGAGTATGCATGGATATTATTTCTGTTGTCTGGGGCAATATTTCTGAGTATTGCCATTTTCCCTCTCTGAAATGGGTATTTTGTAGTGCCCATGACAGCTTCATAGAATTCCACAATTCCTGAGACAGATGAATGAGCCATCTAACACAAGGTCCTGTTGGCGCTATTGTTGGAAACAGCTTGGCTTCAACAGATCATCAAGTCTCAGCTTGCTCCTTTTGCAGGTACTTTCACCCCAGAATTCTAATGGACCCAGTTTTGTGACACAAGGAGGTACTGTCTGGGTAGTTCCTAGCGACTCCCATCTCCAAGCAAAGTCAACACTGTAACTCACCTCCCCAAACACCTAAAACCAGCCCCCCCCCACTCTTACTGCAGATGAGTACTAGCTGTTGTCTAGCCAATAAGCCATGTTAACAATTTTTCTTCCTACGTAGTGGGAGGTTAGGCTCATACCTTTGCAGATGTGGTAACAGTGCCAGGAGGTGTTTGTTGCCCATTCTGTTGTTTAGGACTTTCTGGCTGGCCATTCCTCAGAGATGTCATATCAGCCGTATCATTTTCAGAGCCAACGGAATGATCCTGGAATCAAAATAAATACATGGAAATTAATAAACATCAATATGCACATTTTCAAGAAGCCTATCCACATGCAGGCAGCTTACAGACTATTGCAGAAATGGTCCATGCTAGTCTTGCTCAGGACCAGTTATCTTGACCTTGTTTGGAGCCTTAACTAGGACTGGACTACATGTTATCACTTTTTTCAACTGACATCTCTCCATGATCTGTATTTAGAGCAGCATAACATGGTAGTTTCCTTGCCAGCATCAGATGCTCCTGGAAACTATGTGCACCAGCCTTCAACAACCTAGTGACCACCTGATGTTACTGGACTACAACTCACAACATCCAATGGGGATTGTAGTTCAAAGCAAGCTTTAGTGTATTAGGCTGGGCAAGGCTGCTCTATGCAATCAAGAGGATCTACGGTAGATGTTAAAGCAATAGCATGGATTGCCGACAGAAGACAGTCTTCCATAGGGATAAGGTTCCATATAAAATGGGCTTGACACTGAAGTAGGTAAAAGAAATGGATGACAAGCTGTGAGAGCAGTGAACTACACTCCTAAAATCACTTGATCTTAAAACGGCTAGCTAGCTAAATCCAATCCACCAACTGATAAATGCAAAGTTCTTCTGTAACGGACATTCTATAAATAAATGTGTTTTTTTTAAAAAAAAATAAAATCTACCTTGGAGGCCCCCAATTTCTCAGTCTCCATCATAATCAATCAGCATATTTTGCTGGTGACTCGGGACTCCCTGCCATGGCATTTCTACACAGCTGAGACCAATCGCATTTATCAGGCTAGTGTTATTAGGGAAACCAAATGGACGAATCGTTGGGCTCTGTGCCATAAGTGCTTGGAAAATGGAGGTGCCCCATGCCAAGTACACTGTGTAACAAAACTGCCGGAATGGAGGAGGGCACTCCAAGCCAAGAATATGTCGTGTTCAGGTTAACAGTGGCTCAGGATCCTTTGCAGGACACCCCCATGTTTTATGTAACCACCAGAGGCTGACCTTACAGCTGGCTTCCTCCATAGGCTACAGTGCCCTCAGAGAGATCTTGGCATGCATTGCATCTTTTTACCCACAACGAGTTCTTATTCCAGCCCCGAGGAGAGGAATATGCTTCCTCTGGCATCAGACATTTTTTCCTAATAGAAGCTCTTGTACTCATTGTCCAGTACTGGATGCTGACGGGGGGTGAAGACAAACGTAAAAAGTTTATATCAGAGGGACTGATTTGGAAGCACACTCACTGTGCTGAATCTAAGCGCATGTTTTCTGACCTGGATTGAGCTTGTGGGAGGTGGGTGTGGCTTGGTTCTGCAAATTTAATCCAAAGTATCAGGACGTCTCATCTGTCCAAAAGTAAGAAATACCGTTTTACCTGAGTTGTCCCTGACATTGTGGGTAACGTTGCTTCTGAAATTTTGATTCCGGCTGCTGATTCTGTGGATCCCTGGGAATCCTCGCTTCTGATCTGCTCTGGGGACAGCCCATCATTGCTACTATCTTCTTCAAAAGCAAAAGCATCTGAGGATTTAGAGAAGTTTGCTTGGTTACCTGTGGCAGGAAGGAAGAAAAAGACTCAGTGATAGATGATTCTGAATGGCAGTAAGTTTTTAACAAAGGGAACATGTAGCAAAGCAAACAAGTGATCTTAACACACTACAGTATTCACAGATGTACACTTTCTTGTTCCTGTCAGGTAGGTAAAGCTGTGATTTATTTGTGCTTAAAGGCAAGTACCAAAGCAGCAAATTCAGTATGGTTGACAAACATTCAACTGAGAACTATTATAGAAAACCACTAATGAAGCAGTGGTTCGATAACATGTAAATGGTGTGCTAATAAAATCTGAATTCAGCAATTGGTTCCACTGGCTCTGTTGAAGGTCCAGCTCCACCAGGCCTTTCTCCATCATCCTGGGAGCAGTCATCCCACCTGAGTGCATCAGACGGAGAGATGGGAAGCATGACTATTGAGAGGGACTAGCTCCTTGACTCCTCTCCCTGAACTGTTTCCACACCAGCTGGCCCTTGTGAACATTTTGTAAATTTAAGAACTGCTGCTTCAGCTTGCTTTCCCCCTCCTCACTCCATCCTTTCCTCCTTTTGAGTTCTGCATTTTAGATCAGAAGCCTGAGGGTTCCCATGTTTCTTAATTGCTCTATAAGCGGCTCTGGAATCATTTTCAGCTGCAGAATGGGATTACAAATGCTTTAAATAAATAAATAATTCTCAGACATTGGTTACTGGAACTATCTGATTTTCCATGAGGTTCTGATTCTCCGTGGAACACACATTTTCAGGATTGTTACTATTTTACTGGGTTTTGTTTTTTTAAAAATGAGGATCTTCTTTCTTTTCAACTGTTTTTGAAGATGTTCATGATTTTGTTTGAGGCACTATATTATATGTGTCACAGCTTGCACCCATCAGTCTTCAGACCCTCCCCCCTGCAAGATAGCAGATCTTTAATAAATCCAGAACCTTCAAGGATAGCATCATTAGAAGGCTCTTGTTTTTATCCCAAAATTTCACAACTCTGCAGAATGCAATCGTTATCCCATTTCAAATTGCATCGTCTCTGTATTAGTTCAGATTATTCGTTTAAAAATGCAAATTTGTTTTTAAATGCACATTTCAAAGTGGATGTGGCCAAAGTGTAAAAGTGGACAAGGTCATTCTATTTTTAAAAAATATAGGGCACATTTTAAGAGTCTTGGAGGTTGGGGTTACAAAAAAACCCTTTTGACATTCTGGAGTCACAGCTGGGAATTTGTGGGAGTGGGGAAATAGGAGCAGTCAATTTTTTAAAAAGACAATTGATGTGTGTGTGTGTGTGTGTGTGTGTGTGTGCGTGTCTTGGAAGCCCACAAAAAAAATATTGGGGGGTCAAATGCTGCTTGTGCACCATGGTGAGAATACTCCAAGAAACTCATCAAGAATGTGCCCCCAAACAATTCACCAAATCAATAGCTTGCATGGTTTTTTCATCCTACAACCTCCTTTGAGAAATGCTGCAAAGATGCGACCCATTTTGCTTCTCCGCGCATCAATGTGGCTTATGCCAGATGATGCTTGTCTGCCACTCAGCATACTCAGTGGGTTCTGGAAAGTGTTCCTGTGCAATATCCCGCAAACTAGCAGGCAAAAGCGCTTGACCCTTGGCTTTTGCTGATAAGTAAAGTGCTGGGAAAGACAGGCTCTATCACAAAAGCCCCTGCAAGGCTGGAAGACAGAGAGTAGGCAGTGGAAGGAAGGAAGATTCCTGCTACACGCTGTAATCTTTCCAGGGACATGTCTGGCTTTGATCAAGTTTCTTCCTACTCTGCTAGTGAAGAGGGATTTGAAGAGGGCAGGAATGAAGGAACCATTCTAGGGTGCTAGAATCCTGCTAGCTCTTCAACATGGATCTGTACTCTCTTATGGGAATTATTCCAAAGGCATTCCCATGGAGAAAACATCAAGAACCCTACATCACATTGCAAGGGACCCTCTCCACAGCGAGTCTTTCGTATAGCCTACTGTGCATGGATGTTGCTATAGCACCAGAGGTGCCTTTCCTGGTATTACCTTTGATGGCTTCTTTCACAGCTGAGTCAACAGGAATGATATTCTTCTCCACCAGCTCCAGAGGACCTGGCCTAAGAGCAATTTTCTCATTTAGATTGTCTGCAAGACGGGCTCTTTTCAGTTTCATCTGAGTAGCCTGGACAGACCCTTCTGTGGCTGAATCTGTAAAGCCAAATGGTAAAAATATAAATTATTCCACAAAATAACCAGCCTGTGCCACAGCTCCTTTCCTTTTATCACTTCTAAGAAACACAGGATAAATTCTATGTCAGTTCTTTCCCAGTAATTAGAACCTGAGTGTAGCTGTAGCACAAAGCATTTCTCTTGAACCATAAAACAACTGTGGCTTGCCAATCAGAAGGTTGGCAGTTTGAATCCCCGCAATGGGGTGAGTTCCTGTTGCTCTGTCCCAGCTCCTGCCAACCTAGCAGTTCGAAAGCACGCCAGTGCAAGTAGATAAATAGGTACCGCTCCAGTGGGAAGGTAAACAGCGTTTCTGTGCGCTGCTCTGGTTTCGGTGTTCGGTTGTGCCAGAAGCGGCTTAGTCATGCTGGCCACATGATTCAGAAAAAACTGTCTGCAGACGAACACCGGCTCCCTTGGCCTGTAAAGCGAGATGAGCGCCGCAACCCCACAGTCGCCTGCAACTGGACTTAACTGTCAGGGGTCCTTTACCTTTACCTTTAACCACAACTAGCCACAGAGTGCAATGATGACAGGTGTGCTTGTAGATAAGCTTTTCTCACTGCTGATATGATATGCAGTCAATTTTAACAATGTTCAAGATACACAGAAAGTATTACCTGTACATAGTTCCCTGTAGCCAAACAAAATAATTCCAATGTTCTCACCCAGTGCACCACACCCTTTATGTGCGTCTGCATACCAGCATGGCTGAGCCACAGTTTGCTGGGGAGTGGGTAGCACACAAGCAAACAATCCTTCAAATGCAATGCTGGGCATGGAATCCTATGCAGGAAAGTCATTTCTGCAAGCCCAGTAAAAACTTGGTTTCAAGAGCTAAATGAGAATTGCAAGAAGCAATATCTAAAAGGGAATAACTTGCTTCATGAGATGTGCATTTCCCCCCAGTTGTATAGTGTGTGCCATACATGCTGGAGCAGCAATTGCCCCAGCCAGGCTCAAATAAAACCCACCCCAGATTTGTTTATAGAATAACATCATGCAAACATCATCATAAATCAGTTCGATGTTTATTCTTGTCCCCACCCTGAAGGAACCCAAGGTGGCAAACTAACAAAGATTACAAACATTTTAGAAAAGTTTTAAAACCTAAAATAATTCATAAGCATTCCATAAGCAGGAGATTGCTACCAAGAAGGCCTAGATTAGGGCAATAAAAGGTGCTTTTATACCTTTCCTGAAGAGGGATCAAAAGACACTGAGGCTTACTCAAAACATGGCAGAAGTGTCTTCTGCTGTTGGCTTGCCACAACTACAAGAAGTCCAAAACATCTAAGGCAGTCTCCCACAACCTGGTGCCCTCTAGAGGATTTGGACTACAATTCCCATCAGCCCCAGACCACATCGTCAATGGTCAGGGATGATGGGAGTTGATGGTCAGGGATGATGCGGAAGTCTAGACTATTAACATAGAACAGCTCGTTTGCAATTCGGTGGTGTATTTCTATACTTCCAAACATGTAAAAAGAAACCTCAAGGTTGTGATCCCCATAAAATCATCAATAAAATACACTGCTAACAACAAAATTACACCAACAAATTAGTAAATCAGAAATATACACTACTAAACTGGATCACCCTTGAGTAAACAAATGTGTTTTAAGTAGGTACCGGAAATAGCAACACTATAGGTGCCTGCCTTACCAGGAGCTCATTCCAAAGGGCATGTGATGTAATACTGAAAGCCCTGGGTTTTTGCAGACATAAGATGAACGTCAGGAGTAAGCAGCACCTTTAAGAGTGTCTCCCCCAGGGATTGAAGTGACTGGGTAGGGATATACAAGATTAGGTGGTCCCAAAGATAATCTGGTTATTAAGGACTTTGTATGCTAATAGCAAGATCTTAAACTTATTCATTCAATCTTACCCTGTAAAATGTGCATATCAACCAGTTCTGAGCGCTCAGGTCTGTTTCGGGTCTTGTGCTTTAAATAATCTTCAGTCTACAGAACATAAGAACAGAGATCATTACCTCACTAGCTTGATTTAAAGTGCATTAGGCAATGCTTCTTTAAAAGGATTCAGTCAGACTTGGTCTAACTGACGTTCATTTTAGTTAACATTTGTTCTTCTCTGGTAGGACCCACACTAAAAGATTCAAGTTACAGGAAAAGAGATTTCAGCTCAACATCGGGAATAATTTTCTGATGGCAAGAGCTGTTTGACAGTGGAACCAACTAAGCAGAAGCCATCTGCATGCTTTAGTTGAGATTACAGGGGTTGGACTAGATCAGGGGTCTGCAACCTTTAAGACAAAAAGAGCCACTTAGATCCGTTTCCGAAGAAAAAAAAACCTGGGAGCCACAAAACTCCTCATTATAAAAATAACTTTTTTGTCACTTTTTATTATTTCTTTGTTTGACCCCTCAGAATTACTCCTCCTCATAGAAATAAACGTTAAATTAACAAGTTACCTTTTGTGTGTGTGTGTGTGTTCTTCACTCCCCTTCAAAACAGTGACCAGTGTACATGCCCTTTCAAAACAGTGACCAGCGTACATGCCCCTTACAGTGTAGCAGGCGGGCGGGAAGGTGACGTCGGTGCGGTGCGTGACTAACGCACGCACCGCCCCCATGCGACGTCACAGCCAGTACAGTGCCCGCCACAGTGGGGAGTGTCGGGGCGCACAATGCGCCTCCTCCCCTCGCTAGTATCCGCCCCGGAGCCGCGGCAAAGGTGTAAAACAGCCACATGCAGCTCCAGAGCCGCGGGTTGCAGACCCCTGGACTAGATGACCCTCAGAGTCCCTTCCAATTCTATAATTATCCCACAACTTTTTGTCTGGATACTGAATGTCTGTAGGCTAGGACTTGGATCTTTTAAGAGCTCCATTTGTGCAAACCCGAACTTTTGGCAGGTTTCCCAGAATGCAAGTAACTTATAATTGGCACGAAGGAATCATAATACTACACCAACTTTTAATATGCACTATATTCAGCACAATTTCAGTTTAGCTTACGGCACAGATCTTAAACAAGTGTAAAATTCAGCCCTAAGTACCCAGCTGTATCAAAGTAAATTTATTTACTTCACTAGCACTCATCTAACAGCAGCTCTGTTGTGTTTTAGCTAATAGGTATTTAAAATCCACCGCAATTAAATTGGTGTAGTTTCATGTTATGTGTGAACAAAGATTTTCAAGTAGGCTTCCCATCAGTCCCTCTCAACCAAACTAGCTGTGAAGTGTTCTGATATTGCTTCCCCCTGCCAGCCCCCAGGCCCCTCCCCAGCTGAATAAAGGCTTAGAATATATTTTTGGTTCTACTTCTCCCTAAACGAATGTAGTTTAGGGCTTTTGACTCATATAATCCTTTTTTCTTCCAGGCAATCGGCCAGTAGAAGCCTTTGAAGGGAGACTGTGAGATATTAACCTATGCCTGAACATTGAAATATAGGGTACTTCTAAGATACTTCAGACTTCTTGAAGTGTTCTAAGCACATTTATTTTTCACAGGGGGCTATACATCCTTCCTGACGTTGGTCTTGAATTTTTGCAGGACACTCATATACAATAATGTAACATAGGCATCTTCTACATGTGTGCAGGTTTTTGATAAATGCCTATAAATTTCATCAAGAGTTTTGAAAGTAAGTTAATATATATGTACACAGAATTGTAGAGACTATAAAAGGATTCACTTGTTTGGCTTCCTGACCTAAATTTCCTCTACATATTAACTCCTATACCATAAACAGAGGAAATAAAGGATAAGGTGCACCACAAGTTCCCATTAAATGGGACAAGTTAACAGACGGCAACTACTACTACTAATACAAATTCTGAGCAAATCAAGTCATAGTTTCTAGGACATTACAAAGTTACCATATACTATTGTCCATCTAGCCCAGCATTGTCTATTGTAACTAGCAGCATATCTCCATATCTCTTTACCAATCTTGCTGCTGGTGTCATTGGACCCGGGTCGTCATCCGTGCAAAATACCAGCTTTATGAATGAGCTATAGGCCTCTCTATATATGGATTGTATTCTTTATATAAGAGAACTGCTATCAGTCTTGGAAAAGGCTTCTCTAAGCAGACAGTTCCCCAATTTCCCCCTTTGCCAAACTGCAAAATTCAGAGAAACACAAATTTTGAAGGATGGCCTTGTTTAAGTTTGCGTATTATTTCTGAAATTGCAAATTAGGTAGGTTCGCCTTTAAATGTAAACGGAATCAAATTTCTGCCCCCCCCCCCACTACACCTCTAGTAAGAGCCTTGGCTGGAGACTTGCAGCAGGGAAAGCTTGAGAATATCTTGCACTTTCTCTAAATAAGACCAGATCACCAGCTCTTCCACTAGTGGAGTAGGTGGGGGGGAACTGCCTCTTAATCTTATCTTTCTCATTAGCTTTAATTAACAGCGCCTAAACTCTCCTTGATAACTGGTGCCAGCAAGAGACAAGAGTACAGGTTAAGAACAGCCCAAAAGCACTCTGCAGTGTCACAAGAAGAGAAGGGCAATATGGTGTACTGCAGACATCAGGCACAAGGTTTCCTACTGGGGAGATATATATATATATATACACACACACACACACACACACACACACACACACACACCACAAAGCCACTTTCTCATGGGACATGTGCCAATTAAGTTTAGAGCCCTGTAAAGGTGTGCTAAAGGCATAGTAGTATCTGCAGAAATGAATCCAGTGATTTTCCAACATTCCACTCACATTCCTGCACATGGCCACAACCTTCTCAGCAGCTAGTTAACCTGCATGATGCCATATCCAGCCACCCCCTCTGATGCCTACCCAGGGTTACCTTGGCTCTCTCCAAGCTCTTCTTTTGCTCATGGAAGGGAGAGGGGTTTTTCAGCGCTGCAATCAGAAACAGACAAAAGCACAATGAGCACAGCGAGCAACAAGTACATTTTCAGCATTGTGCCATTGTAACAAAGTTCAACAAAATTAGCCACACAAATCAGCCAGCCCCTTTATTGCATCAAATGAAAATGGATGAGGAATAACCAGGCCAGGCTGTGGCAGTGGAAACGAGGCAGAGAGGAGCAAAGACACAGATGGTAACTAAAGCAGGGGGAGAGCTGAGAGTTGTTTGGAGACAGCCATCTTTTTTAAGGCATCTTAGAGGGAGGTGAGTGGCCTGGCGGTAAAGTGCAGCCTGTCCAGTATCCAAACACATTGGGTGAGAAGCTCAAGAGACAGAGCCTTGCACGTTAATCCTAGACGCATTTGGGGAGCTTGGTTTCAGTGGGGTTGACTTCCAGCTAAAGTGATCAGTCGGGGAGGAAGGATCTAGTTATGGAGAGGACCACCAGTGAGATTAATGTCCAGAGGAGACCCGCTAATAAAATTGAGAGTCTGAGTCTCATTGTATCACATGGGTGTCAGCAGCACATACAAAATCAGCAAGAAGGATAAATTGCTCCATTCTGTCACACATTCTTTTCAACAATGAGCTCTCCTTCCTTCATCCATTGGCAAAATCTCCTTCTCGATATAAGAGAGTGAGCAGAATGCTCCAGTAAATTCTGATACTCTCCACCAGTGCCTGCTCTGTGTTCTGAACCACATTCCGGATATTTGTTTGGAGGACATATTTGTTTCTTCAGATTGCATTTCCATCGAGATAAAAAAAAGAGGGTCGCCTCCTCCACCATATCTTAACGCCCTTCAGTGATGAACATGCTGTTAGGATTGAATCACAACTCTGTATTTGTCCTACAGGAATAAATGGCAGCAACGAAAAGGTAGGGGCAAAACCTGCTCCTTGAACTCCACTCCCCAACTGGCAGTCCAGCCTTTTCCTATCTGCATAGTCTCATCATGGAGCCTTTTCCCCCTCTCCCTACCATCAGTGTTGGCTAGTTCTCACTGACTAGGAAATTTGTACTTCGTTGTACTCTATCACCAAGGGGGAGGCTGTCCCAGTGTGTTCACAGGCTTCGTGAAGATGACTTGGCACACAGTTCCCAGCTCATTTGGGTCTCACTCTCTGAACCATTTCTGGGTCTTGCTATTTCTTCTGTGTCATGGGTTAAGGGCATGAGAGGAAAGCATCGCTCTTCCCAAAGCTGCGCAAAAGCTCTTTATCTCATGGCTGAATTGTAGCCTAGTTATTTATACAGTGAAAGTTGTCCAGAATCCAAAAATAAAGATTGCGGACACAATTCTCATCTGCATTTTAATAAGTGTCAAATTATTGTTTGTTTGTTTTCTTTGCACAAAATGTGACTGGGAGCACAGTCAAACTGTGGGATAGGAAAATCAAAGGCCAAGAGAATTATATATTGTGTGATTTTTATTTATTTAAAAACCCTCTTTTTTTCAATAAAATAAAATAAACAAAACAACCCAAACTGCTTTTAACAAATGGCTTCTCTAGTCCCCACATGCCAGTTGTTACCTCCCGTCACCAAACGGATTTATTGTCAGAGTTATGAGTCATTTTGCATTGACGCAATTGGATGAGCTAATTTATTATTTGCCTCCTGTAGTTAACTAGATCCTAAAGCACGATAGATATTTTGTTTTACTGAAGACTCAAACCCTGCGCAACTAAAAGGCCAAACAAAAAGAAGAAGAAAATCTTAAAGTGAGTGAGTAAATAAAAAAGTGTCACAGAGCACCAAAGGCAAAGTTAGAGGAGACACCTCAGTGGTAAAAGACGGTTGTAAAACAGATTCTGGTAAACTTCATAGGGTGAAAACCATCCTACTTTCAGATATTGCAAGAGCAATCTGAGAAGCTGGTGCACCAGTGCAGAGGCCTGGTTCACAGCTAGTGGGATGGTGGGAAAAGCTTTGAGAGAGCATCCGATAAAAGTAATCTGCAAGGCAGAAAACCAGTGTTGTTCTTCTGCACAGCTCAATTAATGCACATTACAGAACGCTAAAGTTATGTAGGATCCATGACAAAGGATGGACGCAAAACAAAGGGACCTTTGCCAAGAGGATTGATGTGAATTCTGCAGACAAACCAACAGCATATGGTTGTCTGAGAAAAAATCTATGTCAATATGGGGTTGAATGTGTTGGTTCTTCTATGAGGGAAGTCGTGGCAGTAGTGGAAGTTTAGAAGTTAAAGTCTGGAGTGAGAGTACAATGATGAAAGGAGAATTACACACATAGGATTGTATCCAAAGTAGCATTGAGTAATATTTTCTGACAGAACAAGGATTTCCACTTGCACAGCTGGACTTACCTCCTCTCCCCTCTTGTGTGCTTCCTAAATCTGTTATAGGGGCTCTCCAAACTCTCCAGCAGAGTAGATTTGGGGAGTGAGTTGGACACAAAGGAGGAAAAAGTCCCAATGTGCAAGCGGAAATCCTTGTGCTGATGGACCACGTTAGTTGGATACTGCCCCACAATACAGACCTGTCCTGAGCCTTCAGTTATCACAATTTTTAAGAGCATGTGCATTGAATAATGAGTATTGCAATTAAACATAATTAACTTTCTCGTTGTGCCTGCCAGGAAAGGCTACTGCTTTTGGCCATAGGGGTGGGAAGTGTTTTGTTTTCACAAAGAAAAGAAATCAGGAAATTGCTATAATTTTAAAAGACAAATAATAGATTTGAAATCTTATAGTTTATAGCCATTTTGATTTTAAAAGAGTGACATGAAGTTTGAATGCTCTGGTTTGAGAGGAAGGGTCCCAGTGAGAGTGCCACCATGGTGTTAAGAGAGGCTTGTCAGCTGTGTGACTTGCTTGCCGATGATAAATAGTGACAAATCAATAATGACTAAAACCTGTGTCTATCACCCAATCATATCAATCTTTGTTCATATGAGTTTGGGTACATTGATTAATTTATTGATTAAACTTGCATACATTTGCATATGAGATAAAAATGGTTCTAAAGAAAAACGTACTTTGTTTTAAAATTATGCCCACAAGTGGCACAGTAAGCCTCATCTTTGAAGAGCTGTCCCCTGTTCTATCACACACAGAAGGACATGACGCTGCTTGACATCTGAAACTTCTTTAAGTACTTATGTTAAAAACTGATAATGTAGATATACCAATTTGGGGGCAGCTTGTCAGCTGATCAAATTAAACCTATTAACCTAACCAATTAACTGACTAAATCCTGAACCCCTACTAACACCACTAACTAACTGACTGCATTTACACACCTCAGTAAATGCTTTTGCCATAAACACAGGTAATGGTTTAAACATAAACACACAGGGGCTTCCTGTTTTGATCATTCCCTAGCAGGAAGAACAAAACATAATCCCTAGTGTTACATCTGAATTGGAGATAGCAGTTTGTTTCACTCCAAACAAAGTTTGTCAAACTTAGTTTGAGTGAAACAAATCACAATCCTTGGCTCAGATATTATTAGGGATGTAAGAAAACATCATTTTCTGTTCTGACCTCTATTTGTTGCATGCAGCACTGTTTATGTTCCACTGCGCTTTGTCTTCCACAAAAAACCACTTTATCTGTATTTCCATCCACTGTGTCAAATTATGTACCTTATGTAATTTACATGCAAATTATGTTGCCGTGATGTTATTCCCCCCTATTCATTTCAACGCAAAGGAAACACAATGCAAGTAGGGGTGGGGAAAAGTAATAATTTATGTATCATCTGTGGACTGAAAGCAGCAACAACAACAGGTGGATTTCCATTTTGGACATGGGATGAATAAGTGAACATTGGCAATTTCCACTCCTGTTTTCATTTTTCTTGGAATTCTGCAGCATCCCCAGATGTAACGTTAAGCCAGGGATTGTGCTCATGCTTGTAATAGGGGAGAAGCAAAGCAGGTGTGATCTCCACATTCACAACAAACCATTAACTGTGGTTTATATTAATTGTGAACTGGGCAATGAGGCTTCTATATAGGCTTATGAGCCTTGTCAATGTGAGAAAAGGCATCAAAGGAGAAGGCAAAACAAAAACCCACCCTTAAATTAGGAGGGCTGGAAGACCTAATACTATGGACATGTGCAGAAAACATGTGATTTATTTGCTATATTTATATATGCTGCTCCTCATTTTTTGTGAGGTTCTCAGTGGTCTCCTATCCAAGTCCACACTCACTTAGTATCAATCAAGTTACATCATGTATTCCCAAGGGATTTGCTGGGCAGTGACTGCAAACGGGATGTAGTTGGGTGTAATTCTCTAACTACCTACCACTGATGAATATGTGAATGCCCAGGAACAAAAGTAATCAATGGGATCTCTTCCTACAACATAGGAAGCATGATTATATTAAGGGCAATTACCTTGCCCTTTCTAAGTTTTGCATAAACCGATTAGGAAGGCAGTCGAGAAATGGGCAAAGATGTGCACTTTTTGTCAAACTCACCAGACAGGTATGAGATGCATGTATTTATCATGGGTCCTTGGGCATTTTTTATATCCTTCAAAATGCATCTAGGGAAATGTCATATCTGAAATAGCCCTAAGCACATACTAGTTGAAGCCCATGGTCAAGCACTGTGTCCTAGAAAGAAAGATGTTTGGGACTGTGGAAGAGGGGGAGATGAAATAAGGTGAAAAGTCTGGAGTCATGGTGGTAACCCATTTGCCTCGGACGCCTAAACAAATGCTGCTATTCTTGCCTCCATACCCCTTGCCACTTTCTTTCTCCCTCTCTTTGAGGAGTAAAATGCCTTTTAGGGGGTAAACTAGCAGCCTTTATGGGGTGTCAGAACATCCCCTGACAGTTGGCAAACACCAATGACACCTCATTTTTGCAGAACATGACAGTTAATTCTGATAGTGGGATAGGATTAAACCTGCCAAGAACTTTGGGCAATGTATTAAATAAACAAGTCTATGTGGATCCACTCTGTCACACATAACATGCTGTACCTGCACTACATACACTGAAATGCCTCATGAAAATGCCAAACTGCTGCATGCACCATTCGTATGGAAGCGACAGACATTCCATGCCAACAATGTAGAATGTTTTTCAGGAGGTGGCTTAAGAGGAAAGCAATAGCAGAGGCCAACTACAACATGCGGCACCCAAAGGCTTAGGCAGTCACTGTGTGTGGCTCAGAATCAGTGTGATCCAGCAGAGAGAGAGAGAGAGGGTGGGTGCTTGGGGTGGGAGACCTGGATTCAGATCCTAGTTTGACCATGGACTCACTGGGTGGCCTTGGGCAAGGTGTTATCTCTCTCAGTCTCAGTTTCCCCATCTGCAAAAAATTGGAATAACAATGACCTGCCTCATAGGGTTTTGCAAGGTGCCCTACATCCTAAATGAGTTATGAAAATGATACAGTATAGTCTACTTCAGGAATAATCAAGCCCAAACTCCCTTTCCTGTGAGGCTCATTAGAATCCTAGATTTTGGGATGCATGTGTAAGTAATCTTCTAGTCCCGAGTTTAACAGTAATTGCAGTAACAAGCTGAGTATGTGATGGCAAAAATTCCATGCAATCTGTAGTGCCGGACCAGTTGCTCAACTCAATCTCCTGCTTATGATTGTACCAGAAATAAATAATTTTTGCAGCAGTATAGACTTCTCAGGGTGGGCACTATGTAAGAAGGTAACTCTCTGCCACAAATATTTCCTTCCTGCATAAGAGTTGATTCTTGCAGAGGTACATAGCACCAGATCTGTGTGTGCTAAAGTGGTGCACGTGTACAAGCCTGCTTTGCCCTTCTTAGAATCAGAAACAGTCCCTAATGATGCAAAGTTGTATTATATTTATTTGGTGGTGGATAGTGTGACCCTCAGCTGAGGCTGCATGGGCCTGCTAGTGCATAAAAGATAAAAGTGAGAAAGCAAAGTACTCACGTGGCATGATTCCCTGGCTGGCGAGCTGCTCTCGGCTTCTTCGCTGCTGCAGCCGCAACTGTAAAACTGGGAGAGAGTGCATCTTTCAGAAAGGGACCTCGAACTTCTGCCACAAATAACTCCAAACTTTTCATTTGCTGAGATACCTTCCGCTCTGCTGCTAAAGAGGGAAGGTTCAGATCTCTATCACATGCCAAAAAAAGGAGTCATCCTTGTTACAACAGCAGTGTAGATCTGACCTATTACTGGAATGCAGGCTTTCTTATTATCTTACTAAAACTAAGCCAATTAACCTGGAGTTTGGTCAAATGACCATTTCCCTTTCTCCATCCTCTCCACACACACACACACACACACACACACACACACACACACGTTAACAACTTCATAACGCAGCAGACACAGTTGCTAATGTTACTACATTACCAAAAAGATGAAAATTTATCAAGCTATTCTAACTGTGCTGCTTATTAAGATTTTTGAGTAAATGCTTCTCTGCTACATATGTTATTTAGGGTTGAAAGAAGAGGAGCATTTTGCAATAGTTTCCATTCTAGAGTTCACAGGAAACAACTCAGAGTTACAAAAAAACTTGCTGCAGATCTGGAAAACATGGTCCACACGGATATGTGCTGCTCCATTAGCTTAAAGAAGGAAAGGGAGTTAAAGAAAATGAATTATCTATGATCACATTTATATGAAAAGGTAGACAGGATTTGTTTTATATGCAATAGATATGCTTGCTCTGCCAGGCGCAGCCAGGAGATGATCCACTGGACTGAAATTCTAGCTTAAACAAATTCTTAAAAATTTAGTTTGAAATGAAAAGCAAACCAGCACACCATCTTGTGTAGGGATGAAATCGATCCTCTTGAGATTTGGCCCATTTTAATGAAAGTGATGAGTGGATGTGGCTCAAAATGAAAAACTGTCTAGGAAACTATGGCCTAATGTACATAACAGGTCTGCCTGCAGCTATAAATAATCCAACTTAATCTTGACACCTCTGACATATATTAAGTCCAGCCTGCTCCCCCTGTTACTGCTTCAGTTCCTAGGAGCCAGGCTAGCTGTAGGGGCAGTGAATGCCCTTCCTTCTTTGCACCTCATTGCACGATGGAGAGCCACTTGTGTTTGGCAGATCATTAGCTTGCCCTGGAGAACAAACACTTGCCTTGTGTCTCTAGAACTGACATATCTATCAGGGGTGCAAATAAAAACAACAACCAATGTCTGCAAATTTCAAATCAAACCTAACAGTATTCTGAACATTTGATTTAAAAAAATGTGATGAGGGAAGACGGAAACTAAAGAAACTTTTATCTGCTTTGTAGATATATGAGGCATTTAGCAAGTGAGGGTCAATTTATTCATCAAAGTCACTATAGGAGGCCAATCCAAATTGCTCCACATATTGTACATGTAGACTTACTATTCTAAAGCTGCAACCTTAGTCATAATTCCTAGAGAATAATTCATTATGGTGGAAGTTGGAGTAAACATGCATAGGATTGCACGGCAACAGGATGGTTTTCACCGTGTCGTTACCAAATTTTAGATCGGGAGCTTCCAGAGTGGTTGTTTATTTAGCATGCATATGTGTGCACAAAACATATGTGGCAGTTATATGACATCACCTGCTTACTTGGCATTCATTCACGTGCAGGTAACCCAATACCCCCAGTGACTGTTATGCAACACTTCCCAGTGCAATTTCCCACCACTTTTCTTATCACTTTCTCCTTATCAGACTTTTAGTGGTTATAAAACTAACAGCATAATTGCACTAGAAAGTGTGGAATAATAACAATTTTTTCTGCATATTAACATCCCATCTGGAAATGCCCTTCATCTCTATAAAACTGAACTTTTAATCAGCAACAACCCGCCCCCCCCAAAAAAACCCAAAACCCATCTCAACTTAAGCAAAGAGCTACTGCACATTATGGCTAACCACATAATTTCCACAATGAGTGATTAAACTGGCCTCCACATGGTGAGCTTAATATATAAACAAACCCTTAACTTAATATATAAATTTGCCCTTTTAAATTTCCATTGAAATATATATATAAAGAATGGAATTATATATATATATATATATATATATATATATATATATGTACAAAAATACATATTATCTCAATAGGATATACAAAACATTTTGTGTGTGTGTGTGTGTGTGTGTGTGTGAGTGAGAGAAAGAGAGAGAATATTTCATTTCTCTTCTATGTAAAATGTATTCTAAAAGAAATCTACAATAGTGTCAGATTTTCATAACCATTCAAATGCATCTGATACTTCATTCGTGTTGGCAATGTCCTCATCTTTGCTGGAATTAGGTCCTGTACCAGTGACTTATCAGATAATTTAAAAGACACCATTCAGCCCTTTAACAAATTAGCTAATGGATCAAAGATTTAACCTGTCGGATATGTTAGAGGGTCTCAGCCTTTAAATCAGCAATACTGGGTTGTGAAGAACACGAAGCTTGTCTTTTTCATCAGAACAAGCTCTGAGGAACTGGGTGGGGAAACCCTCCAATTTCCACAAACAATCTCTAAGAAATGAGCACTGGAGACAAATGGCTTCCTTGGGGCACCAGCACCCTCTTGAAAAGCTCTCATGATTTGTTTATGCTTGCACAGACTTAGCACTATAGAGGGATTAAAGCATCTGTTTGCGTGCTGCTTTAATCAGGGCTAGTCAAGGAACTTGCACACTTAAGAGATGTCACTTCGGCAGGAGAACATGGGAGGAAAGAGATAGAGAGGCGGAAGAGGCAGCTCCCAAAGGTCTGGGCTTTTTGGAAAGCATGGCCTGTTTCATGTGGTCTCAGGAACCAGATGCAAAGCTTTGACGCCACTAAAACTTAACTGCCAATGCATCAAAATACTCCCCGTTCGCTGCAAAGCCCAGTATCCACAGTCTGGAAGACAGGCTTGGATGAATGGCTGCCACCACATAATCCAATTACATCCTTTAATTTCAGTGGTTAAGAATGTCAGATCTGCACCTTAAACACATTTCCCTGGAAATAATAGGCCCCAGGAATTTCAACGGAATTTGTTTCCCAAGAAGACACACCAGAGTATTGGAATCCCAGGTGTTTAAAATGCCTGAAATGCAAAGTTGTAAAGCATGGGTAGGCAAACTAAGGCCCAGGGGCCGGATCCGGCCCAGTCGCCTTCTAAATCCAGCCTGTGGACGGTCCAGGAATCAGCGTGTTTTTAGATGAGTAGAATGTGTGCTTTTATCTAAAATGCATCTCTGGGTTATTTGTGGGGCACAGGAATTCATTCATTCCTGCCCCCCCAAAATATAGTCTGACCCTCCACAAGGTCTGAGGGACAAAAAAGTTTGCTGGTCCCTGTTGTAAAGCATTTCTTTTTACGGATGAGTTGCTCCAATGTTAGGGTTGCCATATGTCCTTTTTTCCAGGATACGCCTTCTTTTTCATGGGTAGAGTCGTCCTAGCGATCCATAGTTAAAAGTAGAAATCTGCAAATGTGTCCTCTTTTTTTGTTCTTCAAAATATGGCAACCCTACAGGTACTACTGATTTTATTTTTTTAAAATAAAGCTGATATTTAATGCCTAATTTCATGATTGGGATTTTGCTTGCAGTGTTTGTGTTCTAAAGAACAGCAAAAGTCACAAAAAGAGGAAAAACCAAGAGAGAAAGTGGGGTGGCAAAAAGAGAGAAAGGGGGATCGATTTTTGGCTCTGACCCTGCCCAGTGCTGACTCCAGCCCCACCCACTGCTGGTATGCAGACCCTTGGAAAATGTTCCTGAGGGAATGTGGCCCACAATAAAAAGATACAGAAGTTACCCAACTGAAGAAGAATGGACAAATAGGGATAAATAGCAATCACTGGAAGACATTGAACTGATTTCTTTCCTCTGCTCTCAACTAGCAGGTGTGCTATCAGCCAACAGAACTAGTAACAGAACTAGCAAGTACTTCGATACAATGAAAATTAACACCAAAAACATTTAAGCACAGGTCCAGAATAAAGCCTTTTCCATATTGTATGTATTTGGTAAAGAGGTAAGTGCAATGATATGATAGACGATTGATTGTTTTTTAAATAAAGTGCATATAGGGATGTTTCGTAGAAACTTACTGTGGATAACACTTCAGCAATAAGATGGAATCCTTGTTTATATCCACAAATGACCCACTGGCAATTACTACTGAATGGACATGTTGTGAAGATGCCCACTGGAAAATACTTTATAGATCTGGCTTCTTTTTCCTGATGGGTTTTTAAAACAAGGCCTGTGCTTATTTCACAAACATAAACTGGCTGTTACAGAAATAGTAGGCAGGACATGCAATCATTGTTTCATTGCTTCTAGTATGAAAAAAATACAGGCTACACTGGCATCACTAAGCTATCAACTCATAATCTCTTCATAGAAGTTAGCCTGACCCCACAGATCTGTTGGCTAAGGCAACTTGCCAGTGTGTTTGGGTAGGGAGTAAAATGTATGGGTCACTCACATTTGAAGTTTGCTCCTAAGCAACAAAGCTGCCGTACAGTTGGTCAAGCCCAGCTGACATTTAATCCACAGCTATTTGGAGTTCGCTAACAAGGCACAAATTAACTCTTTTTGCTCAGTTAATTTCATCCCTCAGAGATCTTGTGGTGGTCCTAGGTCACAGAAGTGTGACTAATTTGGACACTCCACCTCATAATTAAGGATGAACCTAGATAAGATGCTTGTGTATATTGTTAATCTAATATGAACAAACCCAGGATCTCTAATAGCCGTTACAGTAATGTATATATTTGAGGCATGAAGGTTTCTGCTTTGAGGCAAGAGGCTGGGTTTGAAAATCATCTACCGCCTTGCAGACCAATAATTCTTTGATATAAGCTCCAGAGGTACACAAAACAAACAGGCCAAAAAAAATTTCATCTTGTCCGTTCACTCAAAATTATGTATTCTTCTATTATTAGATCAGCAGTTGAAAGAGAGAATGAATTATCAATACTTCAAGAGGTTACCGTATTTTTTGCTCTATAAGACTCACTTTTTCCCTCCTAAAAAGTAAGGGGAAATGTGTGTGCGTCTTATGGAGCGAATGCAGGCTGCGCAGCTATCCCAGAAGCCAGAACAGCAAGAGGATTGCTGCTTTCGCTGCGCAGCGATCCCTCTTGCTGTTCTGGCTTCTGAGATTCAGAATATTTTTTTTCTTGTTCTCCTCCTCCAAAAACTAGTTGCGTCTTATGGTCTGGTGCGTCTTATAGAGCGAAAAATACGGTATTTCTTAATTGGTCAGAAGGTGGAGGTAAGTGTGTTCTTGTGGGGTGAGCAATAGAAATCTTTAAGAATCTGTATGTAAATCCTGAACAGTATTCCAGTTGCCTTCTTTACAGTATGTGTATTTCATTCCTCCCTGTAATGTATGCAACATCTCACCACCACCAAAAAATAGCTGCACCTCTTAGATTACAGTTTTGGCAATGTAGGGATGGCTGCTACTTTTCTACATTATCTACAATACCCTCCGCACCTTATAAATCGGTTGTCTTTCTCCTTGAGCATCTGAAACAACCCTGACATAATCATGGACAAGATAAGTGGGGATAAAAAAGAAAATCAGACAGTCTTAGCCTACCTTGAGGACCTCAATGTACTTTGAGGAGTGGGCAGAATGTATTGGGGGTGGGGGGAATCTACAGTAAGAATTCCAGTAAAAAAAATATAATTATTGAAATTCAGAGTGTAAAATAAAACCACCAACTCTGATTTTTAGAACCCCAAAAGTGATAATTGAAAGAACAGCATTTACTCTTAACTTCACATGTTGCTCATTCTTTTCATCAGATGTCTCTAACCTTCAAATACTGTATTTAATTGATTATTCCTCTCCGTAACATTAGAGGGATCTTTACTCCAACTACAATGTCTTATTGCTAAAAGATCCCCTACCAGGTTCGTAATTTTAAAACAAAAACTCTACATTAACCCTAGGCGTTTAAGAAGACACTTGCTCTAACATTTAACCCAAATCTGAATTGCTAGACTATGAAATCAGCACCTCCAGTTCTTACGTCTCTCCCCACTGCCTCATAGATACTCAGGCTAAAGGAGATGGAGTACAGATGTACCGGTATTTTTTAATAATTTACACATCTGTTGCACTTGAAGATGAGCATGGGAGAGCAACTCTATCATACAGGTAGACACCTGGGATTTTGCAATTTAAGGGTCACTCAAACCAGGCAGAAGCAGTAAATATGGACTCTTGTGCTGCTTTGAGCTCTCCATACGAAAACAAATTGCACCTCGTATCTTTTGCAATTACAAGTTCTAGGGCACAAAACACTCTCAGCCAGCCCTGGACTCCTAGTCTGCATTGTGCAAAATGGGATTCATAGCATAAGACACCAGTAACACCCAGACTCATTTCATCTCAACATTTCACTATCTTGATGCTCTTGAGCCATCAACACTAAGTTATTGATATACCAGTGGCCCAGCTCACCCACTTTTCCCATTATGGCTCCACTGGAAGTCAGAGATCTCTGTTATCTACAAACCATCAAGTATCACTTCCAACAAACAATCATTTTTCAGTAGAACTTTTAAGATTCTCCAGCTATTTTATGCTAGACTCTGGAGCCCCATCTCTGAAGTTACCCAGTAAGGCTGAGGCAGTGGGCCTGGGAAGTGACATTTCCTTATGCAGACAATCAGACTGTGGCAACTTACCCAACCTGTCCCCTCACTGATGGCCAAGCAAGTGAGAGATGACCTCTAAAGGAGTTTAATGACTTCCATTTACAGCACTCCAATAACATATGGATTTGTATTTTTTGGAGACACAATGCCATGGATAGTGTTTCCTGGGAAGAGTTAAACACTTAGCAAGAGAATTCTTAGGCCAACTCCTCGTGCTTTGTCCTATTTGATTTAAGGCAATTCCATTGATATTTGGAAGGCAGGCAAAAAGAATCATTGTTTCTGTGGAATTTGTCAGGATGACCTCAGGTTTGTATATTTATCTTTGGTAAAATAGACAAAATAAACATACACACAAATCCTAGTCTCTTAACTCAGAAGGAAGTGGGAGGGGAGAACATGCCTGCAACATCGCTGAAGATTTTTGACATATTAGATTTATACTCCACTCAGAGCAGTGGCTTGTTTTACCATAAGTTTCACTTGAAGGCGCAAGTTTTCAATGTAAACAAGTCTTATCTCCCCCCCCTCCCTTGGCAGAACGCTATGCAAAAGAGCAGGCTGGATGACCAGCTAGTGGGAATGATTAGTAATAGAGTTGGACTAGTTTACCTTTGAGAACCCTTCCAACTCTGTAAAGCACATTTCCTCCCAAAGGTAACTATAGTTAAGAGTGCTGGGAATTTCTGTTAGGCGTAAACAAGAGTTCCCAGGATTCTATTTTTTGGGGGGTGGAGGTGCTTTAAATGTATGGTATGTATGCAACCTGTGATTATATGAAAAACTATGGCGCTGTGGGTTAAACCACAGAGCCTTGGGCTTGCTGATCAGAAGGTCAGCGGTTTGAATCCCCGCAACGGTCCCTGCTCCTGCCAACCTAGCAGTTCGAAAGCACGTCAAAGTGCAAGTAGATAAATAGGTACCGCTCTGGCGGGAAGGTAAATGGCGTTTCCGTGCGCTGCTCTGGTTCGCCAGAAGTGGCTTAGTCATGCTGGCCACATGACCTGGAAGCTGTTTGCCGGCTCCCTCGGCCAAAAAGCGAGATGAGCGCCGCAACCCCAGAGTCGGCCACGACTGGACCTAATGGTCAGGGGTCCCTTTACCTTTAACTTATACTTTGTTTTATTTACTTGCTGTTAGAACAACACACTTTTTCAGTCATAGGCATGCAAAACAGCTTGCAACATTCATTAAAACTATACAGCCATCATTTTGAAAGCACAAGAGCAAACCTTGGCTGCAACATCTGGTTAGCAAGGACAGAGCGTAACCAAGGGCCCGAAATCGGGTTACATGCTAAGCCAAACCGTGGCTTATTTCAGTGTGTTATGGGAGTAAAAAAAAATATATTGGTGAGGAGAAAAGTGCAAGTGAGCTCCTTTACAAGTGCTTCTGTGATCCTAGTAAGCTATAGTTCGGCTCACTGTGATGTGTGAACGAGGCTAGATAAAGCCTTATGCTTGGTAGGGGACAACCTTACCCCAGGAGATGGTGGCAACTGAAGCAGCATTTTTCCACTTTAGCCTAATTCCAGGAACAGGTAAATATGGGGGGAAACATTCCCTTAAAAATGCCAGGACCGTGTAGGTTTCTAAATGTCACAATCAACACTTTGAATTTGGCCAGGAAACATGTAGGTAACATGCAGAGCTCACCTAGAATTAGTGGCATGGCAGCTCTGTGATCAGCCCCAGACTAGGTGAGCTGCTACATTTTAAAGCAACAGAAGTCCTAAGGCAGATGCCTACATAGCGCAATACAGTAGTTTGAGCTGAAAGGTTACCAAAGCTTACAAGAAAATGGTTACGTCCTTGGATGAAGATCATGGTAATATTCGCAGGTCTCCAAACTATAATTCAAAGGAGGTCCTCAGTACGTGCTCTAAATAGGTCACCGGAGGTAGGATTGCAATGTACACGCCTGAACTGATGAAAGAACCACGGCTAATGGCTTATTTCAGTCTGTATACGTTCATTGCCGATATTCTCATGTAGGATGTTTATGTATCATTTATATTGGCAGTAGAAATAGTCCATGATAGTAAGTCTATGATACTGTATCATGCATTTTATGTACGGTAACTGTACATACAGAAACCATAATTTTTGTCACCTACAATGGTTAACGCTAGCGACAACTTCCCACCTGTACCTCAAACAAAGGCTGCTCTCCTACGTACACTTTTTGGGGAGTAATCCCCATCAAACACAGTGGTAAGAAATTCATATACTGACTATATTTATTATACAAAGTACTATACGCAATAAGCATTCTGCTTATGTAGTGCTACAATTCCATTTTGGAAAATTTGGGATGAAGTACAAATCGACATGAAGGACTTGTGCTCTATTTCCATGCTGCAGCTAAGGCCTATCCTCTTTAAACATCAAGGTTAGTGTTTGATCACCATGTGTATCATGCAAGAGACACCAGAGCAAAGACGCTCTTATGTTTAAACCCTTTATTTAAAATTAACACTTTTCAGTTTATTGCACTCAATATGCAAGTGACCCTCAAACACATCTGCCCTGTAGCTTGGGAGTCTATGGGAATATCCTTGGGATTCTAACCGTTTCCTGCTGCTGCTGTGGCCCCATTTTTAGTGCTATACTAATATTCTAAAATGCTAACTGTAAGGATCAATGTGGACAGGTTTCTACTTACAAGAAAACGTTTTTTCATAAAAGTAGCACCAAAATAAGATGGGTAACAGTCACAACAGCACCCTGTATTTCTTCACCCCAAGACAAAGAGGTGGTAATTAAAATGTGGGAAAGAGATTGGAAGAGTGCCCCTACAAAGCGACTCTGTTAGAAACTCTAAAAGAAACAAAATTTATGGGACTAAAAGAGTCATGAAGTTTACTTTTAGGTTAGAATCATTTGAAAAATATGCGATCCTACCATCAACTCTGTAATCTCTCAACCCCCAACACCCCGTCTTTAAAAATAACACCAAAATGAGTCTTAAAAACAATACTGGCTCACTGTAAAAGAATGCAATGGCCTGGAGAACCATCCCCCTTGTGTCCTCCTCACTTCAGGAAGGTGGCAGTATTGCTTTGGGATTACTGGGTTAGAGAGCAAGCCCTCTTCTTTCCAGTGAATGGCACTGTACCATTACCATAATACACCAATGGATTCTGAGGAATGACTTATTCTCATGAAATGTGATTACAGTGATAGAGAAACCACAGCAAAGTACTGGACCCAAACTGTGTAGAACCCCAGCCAGCCAGAGTCTCTTCATTTGTACATACAACTCTGGAGTTTTCAACTAGCTGCCAATTTTATATTTTCTAAGCAAACACTGCAAATGACCACCCAGCTGCCTCAAACGTCTTCATAAAACCCTAGTGGATTAGCAACAGTACGATAAGTTTCTGATCTTCTCGTTATCTCTGGTGTACTAGAGATCAAAAACCGCCACCCTTCCCCAAGCTGAGTGGGTGACATTCTGGAATGGGTGAAACATACAGGAGAACGTGATTATGCAGTACATTCACTGGATGCACGCAGCAACAACTCGGATGCTATTTAAAACAATAATGCTATTTAAAATAATGCTATTTAAAATAATAATTGGTATAGCCAAACCCAATAAGAATAACGTATAAACACAAGCATGCACACAAGAACACACACTATACAATGCTGAATTTATCTAAAGTTGCTGTGACCCTAAGCTTGCAATAGGACTGATTTCTATGTGACTGTCTCCTGCCTTTATTCACCATTACTCACCTTTATTCACGTTGGATGTCCTCAAAGAAGATGCCCCTAATGGGGCTTCAACACACTCTGGAGATCTGGTACATGTTTTTTTGTTGCAAAGCTTTAGAAAATGGCAATCAGTCGTTTGGCTCTAGCTATATTTCTCTGGTGATGTCATTTTAAATACTTTGCATGTTCCATTTGTTTTTTGTACTTCTAAAAAAAAAATCGATGCCTTTCTGCAAATTCATGTTTGTCCAATTAGTCACAGAACCCTAAGGCTGCCTGCCTGGATGCTGGAGTAAAGCATCAAGCTAGGATATACAGGACAGCATCTGACTTGTATGGATGGGAGGAGATCTACTGCTTGTCATAACAGCCCTTATGGATATTTGGTTCAGTTCTCATTCAAATATGTGGAGAACTCAGAATTGTAGAGCGTTTGGGTTTGTTTGTTTTTTAGTAAGCTACGCCACAGACATAAATTGTAAGTAGGGAAAGAGCAGAAAGAGAGGGAGCAGACAGAAAGGAAAACGCATTTCTTCATTTGCAGAGTAGCCTCTGTGAGAGCGAGCCCATGACAGCTTTACGACTCCCTGGGTATTTTACTTGCATGCTGCTTAATAAGAAACAGCCTCCAGCTGAGGCTTGTAGTAGAGAAAAGTTTTAGGAGAAATTCTTGCCGAGTTAGCCCTACCTGATCTGAATTTGCTCCGAATCAGCATAGAATGCTCAGACCCCAGAAGTGTCATGGTGATGCCTTGTGATAATTCCCAGTGCCAGAAAGCCCCTCAACGCTCAAACCATTAACTGGCTCCAAGAAGAGAAGCTGATCACGACCAATGAATCACAATTCATCTAGCCCTCCCTTGGAGTCTAGGTGATTGCAGAAAGCAGCAGAAGCGTAACTCAGGAAAGGTTTGGTCCCATCCAGCACTGACCCTCCGCGAAAGCCTACTGTATGCCCTTGCACTGTGTTGGGCTAATTAACTTTTAGCTAGCAGACCCCTCCTTTCTATCCCACCCTCCCCTCCTTTCTCAGAGTTTACTATCAGCAACATCACCGGGTGTCCTGACTGATGTCATAGTCTAGCGGGGAGCAGACTATCCCTAAAGGGTCTTTAGGAAAGACAGAAGTTTGATATCTGATCCGCTATTACTACCAACAGGAACTTGGCCAATCAAGAGCTTCCCTCCCTCTGACTGCAGGGGTTCGGAGCAGCTCTGAAATATCAACAGACTCCTGCTTAACTCTTTCCAGCATACAGAGCCTGTTGCTACCAGGAATTCAAGAGGAAGGGCTCGGCTGCATGGTTCCTGCAGTGGATTTTAATAGCTCACATCCCAAGGATTTTGGATGGCATAGTGGCTGTGTGTTAGGCTAGTTTTTGCTTTAAAGTGAATCTAGTGATACAGGCATCACCTATTAATAAACCCATTGATATGTCACACAAACACAAACTAATCATCAAAAACTCACAAAACTCAGACACCCTATGTGGACACAACTTTGCTGCACAACCTTAGCAGTACAAACAACAAGAACAGAAGTCCTTGTAAGCACATAAAGTATGTAACTGACAAAGTTCTCACCATGCATTATATCCCAAGCACCGTCACCTATATTCTGTTGACAAATCTCCATCAAAGTTCCCAAGCTCAAATAACTGTCCTTTTAAAAAATACCTTCAAAACAATATTCCACATCACTCAGGGGCTGATTTAAAAACAGCACAAGCATCATTTTAGTTAATTATTCTTATTCATGCTTTTCAGTAAAGTCTATTCAGATATTTGAGCCCTTTTCAGGTGTAATTAATGCACATGGTGGGATGTGTATCATCACAATATTTGTAATGTCTAAAAATGGTCCTGATTATATAATGTTGTGCTCAGAGAACTCTCTCTGCATAGTTGGGAACCCTGGAAAAGCAGCCTTGTTGAACACACAGTGAGAGGTCTTTGCATTTGCAGTTTTTAACAACAACAACAACAACAAAGTTAGTGTACACCCTGTCTTTCCACACTAAGATGCCCAAGGAAACTGTACAGATGAGAATATGTTCAGATCTTACACCGGATGCACATGGATTTGGGGTGGGGACTTTCACCACAGAGTTGCCCCTCTGATTCAATTTCATTTAACACACTATAAAACATTTGAAAAGGGCTCTGGCTGTGAGCCATCAAGTGTGGAATAATCAAGAGATTTATGAATAAATGACACATACACATGTATTGACTCTCAAAGGGTGGCAGTTTGGCTTAGCAGTTCATGTATCTCTAAGGTTTAAATATGGATTCACAGAACTCAAAAGAGACCACAAAGCCACATATTCCTTTGCAATGAGGCTTTTCTCTGTTCACACATTATAATTTAAGATTTCCTCCAGTAATGAATTGTCTGACTTGGATTTCCCCCTGGTGATGTCAATTAACATTTACCTTAAGTATCAGACTCTTCAGAACAAAAGTTCTTTTCTCAGTAGCTGCTTGATCTCATTAAAATGAGATTGAAGAAAGACAAAGTATCATATGTAAAGAAAAGAAGAAAATAAAAATATAGGATAGTGGATAACAGTATAGCAAGTGTCTTTTCGGATAGTCATTATTTTTTATTTAAAACTTACATTCTGCCAAGGTAGTTCAGAAATAAACTTAAAGCTATTAATACAAAACTAGTTTAAAAGTACAATCAAAACCATTACAAAGCCATGTCTCGCCCCCCAAAAGTCCTCATAAGGAGTAACATCTTGATCAAGAGGGTAAAACCATACAGTGACTCTTTATTAGTATTAAGTGTTTAAAGACAAACAAACAAACAAACAAACAAACCCAGCATTTTGATTTGAGCTTTCCATGACTCAACAGACTGATCCCATTTTAAGCTAAAATTGTTGGGTCAAAACATATTTGGTTTATTTCACCAACTATTTCACCAACTATTGGCATAGTTAAAGTATTAATGTATTAGGACATTAACAAAAATACTTTAATGTTTGAGTACAATAAATCTGTCTATGAAAGTAGCTGGACACCAGGCACTAGAATTCAACAAGAAACACTCTCTTTTATGTTTCATGTACTCAGAAAGACTTTCACCAGGCTTTATAAGGAGTTTGTTGTTGTTTTAACACATTTCTGTTTTAAAAACTTTTTAAGCTGGTTTCTCTGACTCCCCATAATTTATTACCTCACAATATACATCTTGGGCTGAATTCTTGCAGAAGTGCTCAGAAGAAGAAGAAGAGGAAGAGTTTGGATTTGATATCCCACTTTATCACTACCCGAAGGAGTCTCAAAGCGGCTAACATTCTCCTTTCTCTTCCTCCCCCACAACAAACACTCTGTAAGGTGAGTGAGGCTGAAAAACTTCAGCTCTGTTTCTAACAGATAGTGGTATTCCATAATGTTTCAGAAGGCAGTGTGTCGCAGGCCCTTTATGCAGAAGGACTTCTACACCAACCTTCCACAATGGATTCAAGCACAGTGCCAAGAAGCACACTTGCAGCAATGACACATGCAGTGGCTGGTATAGTAACCGCTTCTCCCAAATGAATTTTGTACAGTGGTACCTCAGGTTACAGACGCTTCAGGTTACTCCGCTAACCGAGAAATAGTACCTCGGGTTAAGAACTTTGCTTCAGGATGAGAACAGAAATTGCACCGTGGCGGCACGGCAGGCCCCATTAGCTAAAGTGGTACCTCAAGTTAAGAACAGTTTCTGGTTAAGAATGGATCTCCAGAACGAATTAAGTTCTTAACCCGAGGTACCACTGTATTCCTCTATGAAGATGCCCACAATTACTACAGGCAGTCAACTGAATAAGCTTGCTTCATTCATTCATTCATGTAAGACTGAGCCAAAATGGCACCACTAATTTCAGTACTCCATCAACAAGTTTCTCATAATTCTTAAGCACCAATGGGTTCAAGGCTACCAACTCCCTGTCTTTGATTTTCAGAGGCAAACATCTGAGCTTATGTAGCCAAAACAGCATTATCCACACACTAGTCATTTGTCAGCAGACTCGGAGAATTCCTAAAATCTGCAGTGGTATGAAGGAAGGAAGGAAGGAAGGAAGGAAGGAAGGAAGGAAGGAAGGAAAGAGAGAGAGAGAGAGAGAGAGAGACAGAGACAGAGACAGAGAGAGAGAGAGAGAGAAAATTGAGCAGTGTGTTGGGAAACCTGGAGGGTGGTGGTGCAAAATAGCTGAATGAGGACTGAGCATGCAAAGTGGCCAATAATGCTTACTAACCATTATGGAGGGATGGAAAACCTTGTGTTGTGGAGCACAGCACAGCTGAAATATGTTCCATGCAACAACATTTTGTGAGATCAAACTCAGAGTCCTGCACTTTATGACTGATTGAAAATGATCCTGTCTTAAGGCAGCAACAGTGTCCTTCTTATGCTACCTTAAGAAGTGTGGAAGGCAAACTGCAGCTATGTCTGCTATTCCTGTGCTGCTTTGCTAAAAGATTTAGGCCTGCACATGCGCAGTGGCCTCAATATCAGGAGATGGGGCAGTGGAAAAGCCTGGCAATACTGGGAGAAGTTTCAAGTCTATGGGTGCTGCCACTATGATCTGGATCCTCTAATGCTACTAGATCCTGTGTAATAGCTATACGATGCAGCATCACTCTCACTGCTAAGGTAATGTCAGGCCTGGCCCTCGGATGAAATGATTTGTATTTATTCCAACTCTTAAGAGTCTAAGAAAATTAGGAATTCCAGAACAAGATCACTCCCTCCATTGGTAGCCTATGGAATGTTTTGCAATTGACAGCACTACCAGAAAATGCTTTCTCCACTTTCCTAAAGTCACTGCTAAGCTGTCTGATGTTTTCATCATAATATTTACTTCTTAGTAAATAGGCTAAAAATCTTCACTTCTGATTCAGAACTGAAAGATTAGAGAATGAAAAGAGCAAGATGACATGGCTGTTTAAAAAGTCCATGCAAAATGTTTTCTGCCTAGCGTAAATATTTAATTGTAAAAAAGAGAGAAAATATGGCAATCTGTTGTGTTTATTGAGGGAGGGATGCAAAATGTGCACTGAGTGCAGGGTGGGGCCGGCTGGCTTTGCTACTATAGATTCCATCCCTCTTGAAGATCACTGTGTGTTCTCTCTAATCTCCAGGCCAATGTAACGCTGGTGGGCTCATCTGAAATGTCCTCATGAGAACTCCCTGGGACACACACTGATGATACAAGAGAAGCTAGCAGGCAGGCAGGAGGATAGTTCAAAGGCCGGCCTGAGTGTGCCTCCTTTCTCTAGTACCCTCTGTGTAGCAGTGGTTATACAACTCTTGCAATAATTACTTCCATAGTGGGCATTGGTGGAGAAGGTCTGGGATTCCGCCTATGGTGCTGGATTTTGGGGCACGAGAATTGACACACTGAAGCATGCTGTCATCCTGACACTACTGCATTTTCCTACCCTGATCTTAAGCATACCTGCACTTCCTGAGCGTCACACAGCAGACAAAGGGGAGGTCTATAAGAACAGCACGAGTGTTATGTGTAGATCCGTCAGTAGTCTCAGTCAAGAGCATCCGCATATTCAGAAGCCACTATACAAATGACAGTCCTAGATTTCTGTAAACTGAGACAGACACCTCTTCTGTATAAGTTACTGTCAAGTATGAAAGTGCTAAACTGAGCAGAGCAGCAGAGAATTACTGTGGCAAATTTGCTTCCTTATCTCAATCATATTCAGAGCAATCCTGTAAAGGTCAGTTACCATTACCCCCATTTTACAGACAAGAAATACAGCCTGAGACACAATGCCTCGCCCACAAACGTCCAGCAAGTCCACAGCTCAGGTAACATTTAAAATGAAGGATACCCAACATTTTATTGACTGGACAGCAGTGAATCTAAACACACAACACAAACAATGATCTTCTGTTGCTTAAAAGCATTGTGCAATCAAGTAATGAAGTAATCTGTGAAACAGGCACAGCAACCCAAGAGAATGTAAGCTAACCAT